CTTTAATAGTTACTGGTGACAACCAGCCCAGAGGATCATAAAATCTTGAGATATTAGAGAGTAAGGATCTTTTCGTTTGGCGTTTATGATGTTTTATTGGCCAGTTGAAGTGGAAGGTATCGCTACTGGGATTCCAAGTGAGACCTAATGCCTTTGAAGACTCTTCATTTTTGAAATCGAACATCCTTTTGTTTGAGATTTGATCTTCACTTAGGTTTTTTATTAAATCTGGGTGGTTGGCGGTCCATTTCCGCAGATTCATGCCTCCTCCTCGCAATAGTTGGATTAACGATTGTTGTAAATGTTGGGCATTCTCAATATCGTTATGACCGGTGATTACGTCATCCATATAACACGATGTAATAAGAGTGCGAGCTGCTTCGGGGTACTTGTGACCATCATCCGTCGCAAGTTGTTTCAATGTACGCATTGCTAGCCATGGTGCAGCTTTTGTGCCATACGTGACAGTGCGCAATTGGAATGCCTGCAAATTGCCAGAAGTCGAGTTCCGCCAGATGATTCTTTGAAGATGTTGCTGATCTTCGGAAAGCCAAAGGCAACGAAGTTTTTGAGTCGTTTTTCTAATTGTAAATACTGTGAAATAGCTGTGGACTTTGAACTGCCTAATTTATCTTCAAAGTCAAAACATAGCGGCATTTTCACAATGTATTTCCCATCTTCCGATCGTAAGACAGTTTCTTTATAAAATTGTTCACATTGATCGTCTGTTGATGAGTCTTGGGGAGTTTCGATGTCTTCAATATTCCAAAACCTTGTAAGTTCTTCTAAGTTTATCATAGTTGCGTGACAATTTACAGTTTTCATCTTGCCACACAAAATCCACCCAAGGTGTGTTTGTTGAGCAACAGGAGATTGGTTGTATCCCTTTAAGACACCGTCCAGGATGATATCAGAATATATATCAGCTCCTAATATGACATCGATATGACGTGAGATGTTGTATTCTGGATCCGCTAGTTTTAAGTTCTCCAGATGCGGCCATATTGTTTTTTCAAATGTTTTGTTCGGTAGGTTATTAGTTAGTTTTTTCATAATGAGGGCTTGAGTTTTAAATGTATAATCGGAGTGGATTGACTGGCATATCAAGTTGAGTTGCCCTCTGCATTCCCCGGAAACAGCTCCAATTCCGGTTACACACGCGTTGATCCTTTTGCGTGGTAGACGTAACATTTGGGCTGCATTCTCCGTAATTAGGTTTACTTGTGAACCTTGGTCAAGGAGAGCTCGCAATTTGATATAGGTTCCGTCCATTGCTTGAATTTTCAGCTGAACGGTAGTCAACAAAACCTCTAAGTTGCTGTCTGACAGATGGTTAGATGTTTGGGCCTGGGTTGATGTGGACGGGCGCTGACGAAACTTATTAGGTAAAGTAATTGGTTTCCGCTCCGAGTTGTGCAACAGCGTATGATGCTTCAAGTTGCACTCTTTGCAGGTTTTAGTTGACCTACATTCTTGATCGCCGTGACTGAATAGACAATTCTTACAGAGTTGCAATTTCGTGATAATTTCATTGCGTTTGCTTGCTCCCAATTCAATAAATTTATCGCAATTCATTAGAACGTGAGTCCCTTTGCAATGTGGGCATTTCCCGTATGTTGCGAAATAGTTGTTTGTTCTGACAGGTCGATAGTAAATGTTTTTCATCGGGGTTTGCTTGTATGATTTATTGGAAGATGGGTTGTCGGCGCTTAGTATGTTTCCTTTCTTAGTTGATTTCATGGTTTCGTAGGCCATAAATTGCGTTTCCAGAAAGTATAGAAAATCACGTAAATTCTGTAATTCTCTATGGTCTTGTAACTCCTTCATATAATCGCTCAGAGTGCTTGTGTCGAGTTTTTGAGACATGATATGTACGATGATCGGGTCCCAGGAAGCAGTGTCAATGCCGATGTTAGAAATGCCGTTTAGACACTCTGTGATGACGTCATGCATCTTCTTCAAGTTAAATGAATCTGGATGTTGTATGACAGGGAGATTCAATATAGTATTCATGTAGGCAGTAAACTGCAGACGCCGATTATCGTAACGCTGGGTCAGAATATCCCAGCAAGTGTTGTAATTCTCAGTACATAATGTCAAATGTTGTACTAAGCGCTCAGCTTCGCCTCTCAATTTAGATTTTAGGTGTTGCATTTTTTGAGCGGGGTTGATTACTGGATTTTTATGGATGGTTTCCAAAAACAAATCCTTAAAGGAGATCCACTGAATATAGTTGCCTGAGAATTCCGGAAGGTCGATCGTTGCGGATTTTTTATAATGGGCATTCGACCACTTGGTGGAGTTAAGCTTAGTTCGCAAGTCATCGTACCTTTGTTCAACATCCGAAAACGTTTTGTAGTATTCTTCATTCGAACCCTTCAATAGGAAATCTATTTGCCAATGGAGATTATCGATGGGATCCCACTTGGATTTCAAGGTCGACAGATGATCTTCTAATTCCCATTGTTCAGATATAGGCATCATGTTGATTTTTTCCATGGTTCGGTATATGGCGTTAAAGTTGCATTCTTGTTTTTGAAGTAACAACTGTTGCTTGTCACCACGCTCCGTAGTTAAGTCTTCCGAAGTACCAGTTAAGTCAAATTGTACCTCTTTTTGTTGTTCGTGTAATTCCGTTATCCTGTTAGTGATATCGGTTTTAGTGGCCACGTACATCTCCTTGGTTTTCCCGTAGATGTCGTCGGCGAAGTAGTTAATTTTCTTATCTTCTAGTTCTAGTACTAAGAGAGCATGTCTGTTATCGAAATCCTCCCATTGATGTTCTAGAGAAGATAGCCGTTTGTTTAAGTAGTCCACAGTTTTGCGGACTGAAGAGTCCTTGCGATAGTTAACACACAAGGTCTTGATATTATTAAAACACGATGACTGGAGCTCAAGTTTGTCCATCTTGGTGTTTCTAGTTATAGTTAAAGTTGATTCACCTGGTTCGGCGAAGAGTTATCGAAGAGTCGTCTTCGTTAGTTGCTGCAGCACAGCGACGAGTTACTTGAATGTGGCGTGTTCACGTCCAAATACTCTAGCACTCTCTACAGTATGAGCGCCTTCTCAATACAACTGGGGATTCTCGCTTCTGAGAGGCCAGCTGCACCGATTCGCTACTGTATTAAGACACTATAGTATCCGGCTCGAAGGACCATAAAATGTACGGTTAAGTACACCTTGCTTAGGTTCGCTGGTAAAGATGTTTGCTTCTTGAAGTTAAGTCAGTTGAGTTGATGAGTGCAAAGAGAAAGAATCACTTATGATACGTTTATTAGTTAAGTTATACAAGTTGAAGGTTGGCGATTCCTTTCTCTATCGTTGGTTTATTAGCACACACAGAGTTTACTTAATCGATGACTATTTATACTTAAATTACGAACGCGCGACGCGACATAGTTGCCGCATCAGCACTACCCATATACAGCGTGTACAGTTTAAGACTGTACAACTATCGTGAGATATCAAATTAACTAAAAATCGCGGGTGATTCACGTGAATATACTGAAAAAAGCTCTACTAGTTTCGAACCACAGAGGGGTACTTACTTCCTCGTGTGCAACGTGCGCGGTGGTCGCGGCGATGTCGCGCAGTCTACCGTATTTTCATAGTTTTTAAATTACAATGAATTATATGTTATATGTATATGATATCCACGAAAATGTACACCCCGTGCCCGTCTTTTAACACCTTTTTTCACCTTACTTTACAAATGTTTTTTCAGTATACTCACTTAAAGTTCACCTTAATTGGGTACTTTCCTTGATCAAAAATAAATTAATTTAACGGTTCAATACTACAAAATATTACAAAATAATCACACTTTCATTAATCGATTTCATGACCAACATAATTTTAATATTTTCCCAGCAAATTTTTAAAAATAAGTATGTAGTTGGAAGCTAATTCACAATTTCGTACAAAATTCATAGAAAACTGTAGTTTTTGACATTTTGAAAAAAGTATTGAATTTGACTAGTTGGTAGTAGTCAAATTCAACCCAATTTATTGAGGATATTTGGTTCGTCGAGAAATGATATTCTTTTCCAAACTAAGCAGTTGGCTCAGAATTTATGATTCCATGATACTGGACCACTATTCAGGATAACGTTAGTAAAAATATAGACGAATAAATAAAGAAGTAGTCATAACATAAGTCATTGTAATTTAAAAACTATTTTTCATATCTATATATACATATATGTAAAGGACATCATTCTTTTGTTTAAATTTTCCAAAATAACTTTAGCCTAAGTTACTCTTTAGTACAGCTACCTACCAGTTAAAGTCCCGTCAAAATCTGTCCAGTCCAGTCCTTGCCTACTACAAACAGACTAACAAAAATTTAAAGTTTTATGTATGTTTCTGTCGTATATTCATATTATGCACGAAGGTAGTAAAACGCAGCATATACACCGCGTACAAATTCACAGATTCCGAGCTGTTACTGAGAACTTTGATATTGCTTTTGTATGTTTCCATAGTGACGACATACATGGATGTTTACATGGGGGCAGCGACGGAGATGGCCAGTGTGGCCTCGGCAATAAGATCACTCGTTAATTACAATTCCGTGTTTATGACACTTCCCGTTTACTAAAACGAATTAAAGCAAGGTTTGTTGTTTGGCCGCGAGTGGCATCCGGCCCGCGACCGCTGACCCACTGACTCACTGACTCAGTGACCGCCACAAGCATCTTGTCTTGATGTCCAAGTGACGAACGGGTTCGCTCCCCAGGGTGGAATGAGGAACTATTTAAATGATTTGGGGACAGGGGTAATTGGACCTCCGAAAACCTCACTCACACAGCGAATCAAAACGCAAGTTAGCGGTTGTGGTATCGCTGCGGCCGATGCGGCCCGCGCGAATAAAGTTTACTTTCCATATTTATTAACCGACGTTTTAAAAAAGGAGAATGATCTCAATTCAGCCAATATCCAGTAATTTCACGTGAGGAAACCGTTATTTTAAATTAATACCGAGCCCGCGTGTGTCACAGGGTGGTGTCGGAGGCGCGCGCGCTGCAGGCGCTGCCGACGCTGAACGGCACTATGCGCCTGCGCACGCTGCGCCTCGACCGCGCGCGCCTCACCGAGCTGCCCGCCGCGCTCTGCACGCATGCGCCGCAGCTGCGCTCGCTGTCAGTATACATCATGCTACGCCACAATGTCATGTATACGGTATACCCGTCTAACCGATGCGCTGCTACAGCTGCACCCTGCACTTGTAAACTGCAACTCTGTCGCCTGTGACACTTCTATTGGATATCATATTGAAGTTTACTAATATTCACAACGGTGACTGTTGCTTAGTTTTGGCATTGTAACGTTATGTAAAATACTGATCACTTCAACCCAGCCACTCACAGATGTAAATAACTTGAAGAACCCTGCGATCTATGGCGCGTCGAAATTTGCCTTTCGGAGCTTTTTCAGTTGACGCTTAGGTACAGAGACATATTCCCTATCAGTGTTATGAGTGATTGTGTGACGAACTTGTCTAAAAAAGAAAGTCTGTGTCTGTGACATTTGCCTCAGGTGTAAATTATGATCGATAGCAGATTAGATGAGGCCCAAACAAAGCTAACAGAGTGGGAATGTGTCGCTGTCGCTGGTCCGTCGAGTCGCCGCTGCGCGCTGTCCGGCGCGCGGCGCGACATTGACCTGATGACCTATTTCTGAAATGGCGAATTTCCGTAAATGAGTTATCGGCAGTGTGGTATCAGCGCATTAGTTAGAACAATGAATACAATACGCACACATTATGCAATGTTGATCGACATGGACGTATTACTACATGTGACGCGTGGCACAGGGACCTGAAGCTGAACATGCTGCGGCGCGTGCCCGAGCTGCAGGGCTGCGGCGAGCTGCGCGTGCTGTGAGTACCCGGGCGTGGCGACGTGGCGGCGTGTGTGTGTGCGTGTGGTGCAGTGTGTGTGTGTGCAGGGACCTGTCGGGCAACGAGATCTCCGCGCTGGACGGCGGCTCGCTGCGCGGCCTGCGGCGCCTGCACGACCTGCTGCTGGCCCGCAACCGCCTGCGCCGCGTGCCGGCCGACGCCTTCACGCACACTCCCGACCTGCAAGTGCTGTGAGTACTACCCACTGTCTTCCCTGTCAGCCACGACTCTGGCAAATGGATAGGTTTTCTGTATCACTCGTACTTATATAGCAACTTTAATATTAGAAAAAAGATTCACTGAATGTCATTCATACTTAAACCATAATAATTATGTTGGTACTTAAATTAATATCCACTAGAACATGAGAAAATGAGCTTCATTACTGTTGCAGCAACCTGGAGGACAACATGATTGACCACATCGACATGGAGGCCTTCGTGCCTGTCTCCAAGCTCGAGGACCTGTGCGTACTACTACTACACACACACAACACACACACACACACACACACACACACACACACACACACACACACACACAAGTCGGCATTGAAATACCGACAGTTTAATAATAGTTCGACCATTAAGGACGAAATATAAATATAAGAAACTGGTCGTTTAAAAATAACGACTATGACATAAAGACCGGTGCCTAAGATGACATCTCATATGTGTGGGTCATCAGATACAGCTCAGGGCAGAAGATTATTGACGAATTCCTAAAATGTGTACATCACAATCACATTCGTTAGATGATTAGGTCTATAAAGGACTACACTATAAAAAATCCGCCGCTTTAGTTCCATTTTGCAGTCAACACGATTTTCTCCTAAAATGCACAGTAAAATGTTTTTGGCCATTATTTATGTCATTTTTCCAAGATTGCGGAGCGAACGGCTCACGTACGAGGGTGCAAATGGAAGTTAGAAATAGCTTATCCAAGCATGTCGTGGTGGCCCGGAGGTTAAGACGCCCGCTTCTCATGCATGAGGTTGCGGGTTCGAAACCTATACCAATGTGACTTTTTCCGAGTTATATGTCCTTTCTAAGTTTATTTGAACACCACTGATAAACGGTGAAGGAAAATATCGTAAGGAAACCAGTAGGTCTACTCTGATTCGACGAAAAACGAAGTTTCGGATGAAACTTCGAAGATTACCTACTACAATGACATTTATTACGAACGAAACCGGTCCGCCGGTAGCCCGTGTTGCTCTATGGAAAAAGGAATGAAACAAGCCAGAAATTAGTATGAGATGTACTGTTTGCCATCTGAATTTTCGGAACCCTATAAATTGTACAATCTGCACGAACGAAAATTCGAGTTTGACAGATTATTATTCGGACGTTCGATGTCATTTCGACGAAACCAAAATAGTTATCATTTGATTTTCGTTTGGTTTAATTTTTATTCAAAAATAAATAAAAGTAATCACAAGTCTTCGTTTCATCACGGTTTCTTCGTGTGAGCAACACGTAGGGCACCAAAGGAACCACCTAAATGACGATATAGAATCAATATACAGTCAGCTCAAATAGTTGTTGACACGAACCTATATATTTTACTAGCTGACCCGGCAAACTTCGTATCGCCTAAAAAATATTTTTCTCACCTTTTAAACCTTCCCTGCACTTCCACGAACATTTCAAGACCAAAATTAGCCAAATCGGTCCAGCCGTTCTCGAGTTTTAGCGAGACTAACGAACGGAAATTCATTTTTATTTATTTAGATATGTCTATGACAGTTATTAACATTTAGGGTAAGTAATCAAATACTTATTTGAATACCTTATGTATTGTACATACATAAATGTTCCATGTGTAATGTTTTATTTTAAAACTAATAATACTGCTAGAAAAATAAACCTAAGTATGGCTAGTATTTTCGCTATTCTTTCACATCTATTAATATAACAACATTTATAGATAAGATAAATTCTTTCAAAAATGTATAGGTATATTGTCAATCATCATAACATGAAATAATTTAGTCTCTTCAAATTCTTATGTAGGTATTTATAATTTTTAAAGTGACTGTACTAATATATGTAATACGAATAAATTTGGTTATCATCCTTACTAATATTATAAATCTGAAAGTGAGTTTGTTTGTTTCGTCTTTGACGTCTAAGACGCCAAAAATTATATACAACACAAAATTGACTGCACGGTTGGTGCGGTGGCTGGGCAACCGGCTGTCGTGCAACGTGTCGCGGGTTCGATTCCCGCACGGAACAACATTTTGTGTGATCCACAAATTGTTGTTTCGGGTGTGGGTGTCATGTGTATGTGAACTTGTATGTTTGTAAACGCACCCACGACACAGGAGATAATCCTAGTGTGAGGCAACGTTTAATAAAATTAAATAAAAAATAAATAAATAATATGTCTATAATTTTAGACATATTAATTGTAAGATTTATTAGAAAGGTTAATAAGTGCACTATCCAAAGTAGTAGTCTATGATCTAAACTATTGTCTATGTCTAAATTTGTTTGCAAAGAGTAAATTCGTTTGTTTTGAAAGATGAGGAAGTTCTTATTCCAAGGATCCGATGATCACAACGGATATGCCCTTAGAATTTAAACGAATTCAATTCCTGATTCGTCTTGCCTTCGCCATGACGATTAACATATCACAGGGCCAAGCATTGGCTATTTGTGGCCTCCGTTTAGAAAATGTTTTTCTCATGGTCAATTGTACGTGGCATGTTCACGTGTCGGTACACCATCCGCTTTATTTGTTCTTGCGCCTGACAATAAAACAAAGAATGTCGTTTACCACGAGGTGCTTGAATGAACAGAGTCAATCCGAGTGCATCACGTGCTACACAACATACTTTAATTTAATAACAAAATTCTGACACGTGTTTGAAGTATTTAATTTTTATTCTCTTTCTATATGTATTGTTCATAATAATAAAATACTTTTATATATCTATGTTCATATTTATATTGTATCATTGTATTACGTTCATCAAAGCCTAAATTAGTTCAGCTAAAAGGTAACACGACATTAATTGACTGTTAGGCGGTACAAAGTTGGCCGGGTCAGCTAGTATCATATATAGCTATACTATCCGTAACCGGATGTCGTATCCCGCAGGAATGTGGGCAACAACCAGTTCTCGTGGCTGCCGGGCAGCGGCCTGCAGCGCCTGCTGCACCTCAAGGCACACAACAACCCCAACCTGCGCCGCTTCCACCCGCCCGACGTGCTGCCGCGCATCCAGGTACGGCCGCCCCGCGCCGCCAGCCCGGCCCGCGCCCGCCATCCCGCGCCGTCTAACGCGTGTGTCGTGTGCAGACGCTGGTGCTGTCGTACGCGTACCACTGCTGCGAGTTCATGCCGCTGATGGAGGAGGCAGAGTCCGAGCCGGCGGCGGAGTCCCCGTCCGACCTGGTCATCCTGCCGCCGCAGCACATCGACCCGGCAGCCTGGGCCAACGCCACCGACATCTGGGCGCACTACCGTACGTGCCGCGCCGCCGCCCCCGTTCCCTTTTAGAGTGCGCGCTATATTGTCTCCTGTCCGCAGTGAACGTATCGGAGCTGGGCGGCGCAGGGCTGCAGGCGGCGCTGGACGGCTGGGCGGGTGCCGGCGCCGTGGAGCTGGGCGAGCGCGAGCTGCCGCGCCGCGTGCACTGCCTGCCGCTGCCAGGTGCGCCCGGACTCTCGTCCCGTTCGTACGGCAGGACCCTTGCCCCGTTCGTACGGCAGGACCCTTGCCCCGTTCGTACGGCAGGACCCTCGCGCCGTTCGTACGACAGTACCCTCGCCCCGTTCGTACGGCAGGACCCTCGCCCCGTTCGTACGGCAGGACCCTTGCCCCGTTCGTACGGCAGGACCCTTGCCCCGTTCGTACGGCAGGACCCTCGCGCCGTTCGTACGACAGGATCCTCGCCCCGTTCGTACGGCAGGACCCTCGCTCCCGACTAACGTGCCGTTGTACAGGTCCTTTCCTGCCGTGTGTGGACTTGTTCGACTGGTGGACGCTGCGTTGCGGCGTGTGGGCCGTGTTCCTGCTGGCCCTGCTCGGCAACGGCACCGTCGTTTTCGTCCTCGTCTGCAGCCGCAGTCGCATTGATGTGCCGCGGTTCCTGGTCACCAACCTCGCCGCTGCCGACTTCTTCATGGGCATCTACCTGGGTGAGTGTCCTTGCATAGATATCTAACACGAATGTACCTACATTGTTCTACTTCTGATATTCTCGTAACGGCCTGTGATGTGACAGGGTTCCTGGCAGTAGTAGACGCGGGTACGCTGGGCGAGTTCCGCGCACACGCCATCGCCTGGCAGATGTCGGGCGGGTGCAAGCTGGCCGGCTTCCTGGGCGTGCTGTCGTCCGAGCTGTCGGTGTTCACGCTGGCCGTCATCACGTTGGAGCGCAACTACGCCATCACGCACGCCATGCACCTCAACAAGCGCCTGTCCCTGCGACACGCCGCGGCCGTCATGGCGGCCGGCTGGGCCTTCTCTCTCACTGCCGCCACGCTGCCACTGCTGGGCGTGTCCGATTACCGCAAGTTCGCGGTGTGCTTGCCCTTCGAGACGTCCACTCCCGTGGCACTAGGCTACGTGGTGACGCTGCTCGTCATCAACGGCGTGGCCTTCCTGGTGCTGCTGGGCTGCTATCTCAAGATGTACTGCGCCATTCGCGGCTCTCAGGCCTGGAATTCCAACGACTCCAGAATCGCCAAGCGCATGGCGTTACTCGTCTTCACAGACTTCTTGTGCTGGTCACCCATTGCCTTCTTCGCGCTCACAGCGGCTTTCGGCGCGCAGCTCGTGTCTCTGGAGGAAGCCAAGGTGTTCACGGTGTTCGTGCTACCGCTCAATTCCTGCTGCAATCCATTCTTGTACGCCATACTCACCAAGCAGTTCAAGAAAGACTGCGCACTCGTGTGCAAAGCCATCGAGGAGTCTCGCGTGACGCGCGGCATCGGGCGCTGCCGGCACTCGTCCAACTTTAGCAACCGCCAGACCCCGGCCAACACCAACAGCCTGGCCGAGCGCTCGTCGCGCGGCCAGCACGGCGCCACCTGCGCCTGCCGCCGCCTGCTGCCCGGCGCCGAGCGCGCGCGCGCCCCCGCGCCCCGCGAACGCCTGCTGGCCTGGCTGCGTGCCTGCGGGCGCCGCGCCGCGCCCGCGCCCGCCCCCGCGCCGCGCCCCGCCACCGCGCCCGCCCGCGCCGGCTCGGTGTCGTCGTCAGTGGAGTTCTCGTCGTCGCGGTCGGACTCGTGGCGCGCGTACGGCCGGCCGCCGCCGCCGCCGCCCGCGCTGCCTCGTGGCTGGTGGCGCGCAAGACCTCGCAGGACTCCAACCTGTCGTCGTCGCGGAACGACTCGTCGGGGTCCAACGCGACCGCGTCCACGGGCACGTGGCGCACGTCGCGGTCGGGCGGCAGCGCGGCGGCCGGGCCGGCGGCGCCGCGGCCGCGCCTGACGCGGCAGCCGGCGGTGTCGGGCGACGAGCCGCCGAGCTCGCCGCCCGCGCTGGCGCCGCGCCTGCTGCACACGATCCCGTCGGCGGCGGAGGCCGAGCTGCAGCCGGACGAGGAGACGCGCTCCTCACAAGACTGACTCCGCACCGTCCACTCTGGCCCTCTCCCCACTCAGGCTCTAGCTTTACTCAACGGAACACATTTATGATTAATATTTTGTACAGTATTAGGAAGTCGCCGGGAGCGACCTCCGCGTAAGTAAGAGTACGTCATGTAGGTGTCGAGGCTGACAAATAAAGTATTATGACAAATTAATTATTTATTTAGAAAAATATTGATATAAGAATATTTACGAGTCGATTATATTGCTACAATTATATTTACAGTTGAATGTATACCGCCGTACCGTGTACGGCCCCTAGACTAGTGACAAGTTGTACATAGAGACGTTGCCGCCCGAGTTAGACTAAGCAGTGCCCCTACGATAATAAATTATTGATGAATAATATTAGGTTTTGTATGTTGTTACTCGTTAGTTACCGTAGCTAAGTCCGCGACGAGGTGCCAACTACTGCAGTAAGCCGTTGTTATATTGTTACAGTGCGCCACTTGGTGCGACTCTATATAGCGCAGTGCGTATTGTTCACTTGCCTACGTAAACGAAATCAATTTAGAACAATACGCAAACTGTTTTATGACTGTTTACAATTAAGTTATTATATTATATTATGTAATATGAATAAGCCTGATATAACGAGGACAATTTGGTAGGGAAAATTGTTGATACTTTTTATAAATAATATTATACATAACATTAGGATAGGTACGAGCGTGGTCTACAGCTGTACAGATACAGAGCTAGTGTAGCCACATAGTACTTGTATTTATTGATACCCGCGTGGCGGGGCCCACAGCTATTTATTTTATTGTACATTGATAATACAACACTTGAATACAGTCTCGGCGTGTTTTATTTTACTATAATGACCGCGCGTATCTTGCTATCCTGTTATTTGACAACGAAGTGCCTCTCTATTATTATAGAGACGGCTTAAGAAATAAGAAATCATTGCGACCAGGATATACGTCCATCCTTCTCAAATAAATACAATCTGTTATACCAAATTCCTTCCGGCGGTATGACGTGTACAGTGCAGGTTACAGGCAATGTGGCATAATAGCAAGTACCGGCGTAAATATGTCTACTTCAGCATTGTATTTCTTCACGAATAAGAGTCAGGGCTGCGTCTGGCGGTGCAACGCGGCGGGCTCGCTGCCAGCACGCGGCAGGCCATGCGGCGAACTGTGCGGTGGCCCGTGCGGCGAACCGTGCGGCGGCCCAAGCGGCGGACCGTGCGGGGGCCCGTGCGGGGCGGGCGGCGGTGGCGACTCGTGCTCGCGGAGCAGGTCGCGGCGCGCGCGCCGGCGCCGGAACTCCGCGAACTGTCGGCCGAGGCGCTCCTCCAGCACGTCGGGCCTCCGCCGCTCCCCGCACACCTCCGCCTCTGCAGTCTCCTCGTCCACCTCCTACGTCACGCCGATCATTCAACATTTTGTCACGGATATTGGTTTATTTTGACCCTGCGGAATAAAATTGGCCCGAACTTCAAAACAAAAGCAGTGAAAACTGTTTTTAACGCCTTTCTTACTGTTACTTGTATGCGCTGCTGAGTGTGGCGCACACAACTTGACATTTAGATAGGAAGAAATCAGTGATAGTCAAAGAATATCCGTTTATTATATACTTCGCTACCAAATAACTAATACTGTCTATGTTGATGTGGCGAATACTGACGTATATGAGTGCTGATCGTGTACTGGCGCTTTATAACACTGATTTGAGTAAAGCGATGTAACAGTGCTGATGTGAATGTGCGCGTGCCCTGTACGGTAGATGACTCGTACAGTTACCTACTCTTAGGATTAACTAAGTGAATTATGTCAGCGCAGCGTGTCAATCGCCGTTTCGGGTGTCGTAGAGGCTTATATTCATGAGGAGCATTTCCTCATGAATATAAGCCTCTAGAAGTGCTTGAAACCAGTCGAGTTTCCTATCAAACAGATACGTGAGAAATTCAAAAAATACTACCTAACTATTAATAATTAATATAATTTGTTTGATATGTCAGTACAAAAATTAAGTGAGCCTCATTACAATAACATACTTACACTATTGTACTCATTGGTAGCGTGATGTGTAACACACACAACAAGATATTAGATACCTATGTAAACACTCATCAGTTTCACAAAAACATGGCGTTTATGTCAACCGAATACGTACCTTGATCTCGGCGAAGGTGACGGGCGTGGTGCGCTGGCGCAGGCGCGGCTCGGCGCGGCGCAGGCGGCGGCCGCGCGCCAGCGCCGACGCCGAGGGCGGGTACACCGTGTCCATGGGCCACTCACGGGGACATGTTCGCCGCGGCGTACCCGCTGAGTAGACGCACCTGAGTATGCAACAACGTTCTATCTACGTAAATGGTGATTATGGCTGCGGCTTGCTGGCCGCTAGGCTATTATAATATGCTGATAGCATTCTCATACCTCCTTGTTTTACAACTCTAGGGACATTGATGTAGGCGTTAAACCACAATTCAGTTTGTTGGCATGCGTGCGCAGCATCAGCCGCAGCTCACCGCGAAACGAGGACAAGAGGACACTGCGCCGCGCGCCGCGTGTCGCGGGTCACTCGCACGACCTCAATGCTGCGAGCCGCAGCGAGCGCGCCCTGCGAATGTGTGACAGTTTAAGAAATTAAAGTAATATCACCGGTGTATGACATGGCTCTGATTAACATTACTATACCTCAGCGGTAGCAGAAACTCGTGTAATATAACCAACACAGTCCACGTCTCACCGAGCTCTGCGAGCGATGCGCTGGTTTCTTATTTTTCTCGAGAAATCAGTATGTTTTGGTGAGTGACCGCGTTCCGGTGGCGACTTGGCGCGGCGCCAGAGCCCCTCCCCCACGGGCCGGCGGCCGCGCTCTGCCGCGCACTCGCTAGCAGGTAAACAAACAATTCTGTTTGTTTGCCACTAATTCATCGTTGGTTTCAAATGGAAACTTGCACTTTACTCACTTATCTTAAGGCTTTGACTGCCAATGCAAAACTATTGAAGGCAAATGCTCCGCTAACGTTGGTCACCAGTGACCCCCATGGCGTTTACCGTTTTAAAAGTATTTGGAGAGATCTAGTCAGGCAATCAAATAGATCTGCACTTTACACAATTAATGGGATGTGGCGGCAAACGAGCAGACTGATCACCTGATGGTAAGCAGTTGGCGCCGCCCACGGATGGGTGTACATTGGTGAACATCTCTTACTAAGTTACGAAGACCTGTGAAGACGCGATAAGCGATATGCTGATGTGTGTTTTTACGACCTGAATGCAGATCTCAATAAACTTGACCGACTTCTGAATAACTACATTCAAATCGTTTTCAACCTGCGTAGATATGATCATGTTTCTGCATACAGATTGCAATTAAAGTGGCAATTGCCCATACGACAGCGCAGGGAACTAAAGGCTCTAACTACTCTTTTCTCTGTTCTTGACTCGCCCTCTTCGCCTACTTCTCTATCCTCTCACTTCCAATACACATGCGCAAACCACAGCAAATATCTTCGCTCTTCTAATAATCGTCTCTTCCAAATTTCTTCATTCCTCTTTTTTGTTTAGTCTATTCTGTGGAGTGCGCTCCCCCCGATATCAGGATGGTGCCCAGTCGTTTGTCATCCAAGCGGAAAATTCGGGAGCTACTTTTGAAGAGATTGGCAGAGTCGTAACAATTAATATACTATGTATAGAGTATATGTAGCATAATTATGCGCTATAATTGTGCGCTTTTATTTATTCTGACTATTCTTTTTTCCGTAACCCAACTCCTCAAAATTATGACATTCTAAAAGATTGAATTCATTCGGCACAAAAATTGTTGCGACAAGCTAAATCTGCAGACTGGCATAACTTTTGTTCTTCAGTGGATGAGTCGACCACGTCCAGTGTCATCTGGCGTAAGATGAAATGGTTAAAAGGATATCGTACTCCCAGTCGGTTTGTGGACTCTCAAAGCGCCAAAAATCTTTTAGAGACTAACCCCTGATTAGGTGTCTCCCTCATGCCCACACGTGGGCCATAATAATGCTATCTTAGAGTGTGACATCTCCATGCAGGAGCTTGAAAAATGTATTAAAAAGTAGGATACATTTCCTGGATGTGACGATATTTCATATTCTATGGTTAAAAACTTACCCCCTGTAGGCAAACGCGTGCTATTAACTTTATATACAATAGTTTTTTGGTCAACAGTTTCATCCCCTATCAGTGGCGTGAAATATATATTATCCCTATTCCAAAACCTGGGCGTGACCACACTGACATTTCATACCCTATTTCTTTATTATCGTGCATTTGTAAAATTTTTCATTCCATTTTATATCGACGGCTAGAATGGTTTCTTGAGAAAAACTGCTCCTTTTCAGAAAGCACTGTGGGATTTCGTAGGTGTAAATCATGCTTAGATAGTTTAAGTTCTCTAATTAACAAAATACATATAGGTTTCTCCAAAGGTATATCTACCTTAGATTGTTTTGTGGATATAAATAATGCGTACAATAATGTTAATAACTCTGCCTTAATTAATATGTTAGATAAGCTTCAAGTTGGTTCTAATATGTAAATATTTATGGAACTTTCTACATGAAAGAAGGCTCAATATTAAGACGTGAGATATTGTTTTAATAGGGTTTTAGGGCAAGGATTGGCTCAAGGCGACCCATTGTCACCTTTATTATTTAATATAGCTACGCTAAAAATTTGTAATAACCTGCAAAACAATGTTTACATAAGCCAATATGCAGACGATTTTGTATTTATGTTCAGTGTTCGTCCATTCAAGAGGGACAATTTAAATTAGAGGTACAATCAGCCTTAAATTTGATGGAATCGCTATTAACTAACGTAGGCTTAGATATTTATCCATGTAAAAGTAAGATTTATCTTTTTAATAAAGGTCTTCGTAGATCAGACATTAACATATGTTTAAATGGGTCGTCTTTGGAGGTGGTTGATGGATAACGTTCGTTACCTATTTACCGACTTCAAAAAAAGGAGGAGGTACTATGTTCGGCTGATTAAGAATATTAGACAGGGGTCTTCGTTGGAAGAAATACTTTAACGAAATTTGTAATAAGATAGTTAAATACTCTGACTTCTACCATATCTCTATACTGATGGTTCCAAACATGGTGCGAATTACACTGGCGCAGCATTTTTGGATCCACAAACAGGCACTTCAATGAAATTTAAAATATCCTCAAACTTGTCTATTTATTATGCATGTGGAATTAATTGCTATAGCGGAGGCGTTGGCGTATATTAAATCTTCAAACGGGAATCGCTTTGTGATCTTTTGTGATGCGAAAAGTTCATTACTTCATTTAATTAAATGTTCAACGCCATTCAGAGGACTCCCATTGGCCTATTCTATTTTAAAACTATTCGGTGAAATTGTCAACAACCACAAAACGATTATATTACAGTGGATTCCCTCTCACATTGGACTGAAGTATAATGAGGCAGTCGATGGCATAGCTAATAAAGCTAGATCTGATGGACAGTCTTATATGTGCTTGTGCTTACAGTCTTATATGTTTTTGCCAGGTAAGTCTTTTGTCTGAATGCAATCCAAGATATATTACATGATCTGCTTCTAGGACTTCAATGTTGTTTAGTGTGATTGGGGGACAGGATCATCTTCAAAAGTAAACGTAATATTGACTGCTTTGGTTTCGTTGGCTTTTAACCGCCATTTTTAAGCCAATCAGATGTGACATTTAGTCCTTCTTAGAGTATTTGTGAGGCAATTTTTGGGTCACTATGTCCAGCTAGTATGGCGGTGTAGTCAGCAAAGGTTCTAGTAGTTAGTAATTCGGATGTCGGCAAGTCTGCAGTGAACAATAAGTAGAGTATGGGACCCACTACGCTACCCTGTGGGACTCCTGCCTGTATGGGCTAAAAACCAGACAGTGCTTCCCCAATTTGTACTTTGAAGTGGCGCTGTTGTAGAAATGATTTTAGTATTCCATACAGGTGATATGGTCAGGCGTTTTTTAATTTAAAAGGCAGACCTGCAAGCCAGACGCAGTCAAACGCTTAAGATATGTCCAAAAGTGCACTGGTACAGTAAGACTTATGATCTTATTTGCTAGTCTGTGCACTTGGTCGACAGTGGCATGTTTATGTCGGAACCCAAACTGATAAGTCAGTAATTAGCTTCTTTTCCTTGAATATAGGTAGAATTTGAAAAAACGGGATATGAAGAAAATATTATGTCTTGTGTTCATGGTGTGACTGTAAAAGTAATCGTTGAATATTGCTTGTAGTGAGAGTTTTGTTTGGTTTGTTTGTTGTTGTTGTTACTCTGCTTCAGGAAAGAGAGTTTAACAAAGGTAGCTATTTGTGATAGTGTATCCAGCAGCTGTAGCCAAATGCCATTTAGCGCTTGTCTACATGTAGAATAGAAAACCAAATTATATGGAATTGACGTAAATTTTGACACTTGTCAGTGTCATCCCCATACATTTTGATTTCTACTCTCACTGTAGACAAGCGCTAAAGTGGCTTTTGGCTAGAGGCCAAGAGTCGGTAACTGAAACGTGTGAAATGAGTCCCATGTAATAGGGGGTGAGCCTATTGCCATACACCGGGCACAATTCCAGACTCGGTGCTACTACTGAGATTTTTATTATATTACTAGTTTCTGCCAGCGATCCCAGGGGTAAAATGCCTATGTATCACTTCAGACCATAATCTACCTCTATTCCGGTCCCTTCAGTGGTTTTAATATGACTGAGTAACAAACATACACATGAACTCACATATTTTCGTTTTTAATATCGAGTCAAGCTAATTTCAATCATTGGCCTTTCAGTTACAGCGTAAAGTCTATGAATCAGTATTGTAAACGTTAGAGTAGACAAATACAATCAGAAATCACAGAATTGCGAAGCTATCGGGAGTTTCACGTGTTATGTGAGTCAACCATAAAAGATAGACATATGCTGTCGAGGAATATTTTTTATATAATTTTAAGGAGAATATTTTCGTCATACATAATTTCTATGCAGCTTTAACCTATAAGCCTGCACACGCGACGGAAGCTTAAAAAATGGAGTAACTTCTCCCGTTTTCCCAATATTTCCCTTCACTGCTCTGCTCCTATTGATTGTAGCGTAATGAAAAGTATACTATAACCTGCCCAAGAGTATGAAGAATAATTGTGCCAAATTTCGTTAAAATCCATCGAGTAGTTTTTGTTTCCATAACGAACATACAGACAGACAGACAAAAATTTTACTGATTGCATTTTTGGCATCAGTAGCGATCCCTAACCACCCCTTGATAGTTATTTTTTAAATATATTTTATGTACAGAATTGACCTCTCTGCAGATTTATTATAAGTATAGATTTTTATTATTTTATTATAGTATTACTGGGTTTTAAAAAAGTAATACTTTGCCCGACCCGAGAATCGAACCCGAGATCCCCTGCCCGGCAGTCGCACTTGCGACCACTAGGCCAGCGAGGCAATCAATGTAACAAATAGACTCAAATAGTGTAAAGTGCAGTAAACGAGGTCCCATTTTTATTAATAAACAAAATATTAACATATTCAAAGAATAGTCACATAAAAAAGAAAATGGATTAAGTTTTACATTGGTTATTTTGGTGCACTTTACTAAAAAAAGTGTATTTTGTGGGTATATCTAAAAAAATCATAATACCATGAAAACATCTCTGTTCTTAAAAACCAGACACAGATAGATGCTTTAGAATAAAAAGCATAAAAACAGGGTGGGCCCTATTTAGTTTTGACGAGTATATAACTGTGGTCTATGATTAAATAAGTATGCGACGCGTCGGCGACGGCCGCGCCTATTAGCGGTGCCGCGAGCGCGCACTAAGTTACTGAGCGAGGCGCCTCTGACGCGCGCGCTGCGCACGCTCAACCTCATAGCTGAAGACGTTGATATGTTTTATTGTACTCTGAGTGAATTCACTAAAGTAGCACTTCAAAACATTTGTTATGGTTAGTTAGTAAAAAATTTTAGTTTGTAATTTAGATATGAGAGGCCTCAATATCGATTTGGATTAGTCTGTAAGGATATTTCTGGGAATAAAATAAAATAAAATAAAAAAAAAGTCTATGGTTTTACAGTGTTGTTAGTTTGTTGCACTCAGATGACAGTTGACATTTCGCTCAACTCAGTTCACTCAGTAGTGTCATAGAGACAAAGTGGTATAATAATTTATAAAAATTATCTTAAAATTTATTACTTTGACAATAAAATAAAAGCTAGAAAAAATATTTCCTCTACAATAAGTGTGCTATGTAAATAAATAATTCTAATTCCTGTACAATTCCTATATTTGGTTGTTAGTTTAAGCACTAAAGGTTATTGTTTTGACTGTTGGCATTCGATTTCGAAGAAGACACTTATAAACCTTTACGATGAGTTACATGCTTGGGCATTTACATAATGGATGGCAAGTAGACCAAGCTATTTTGTCAGAAGAAGACAGAGTTGTGGTAAGCCGATATTATGTTCATAACCTATATGCTCATAGAAATTGCTAGAGCAACTTATTTCATCGTTCATTTTAAAGTGAATGTTTCATGGTAGCCCGCGGAATTTTAATTTTGTAAGGTTATTGTGATTTACAGCTCGTTGTCGGATAGTAAAATAAAATGTATATGTTGACACAGTTATACTTGCAATTAAAACCATCAACATATCTCTGTAACTTAGAAAAGTTGTGCAACAGCAAGTTTTTACTTAAATGGTATGTTGTAGAACTTTACCAAGTGAAGAGGATGGTATTAACAAGTATTGTTGTAACAACACTTCAATGTTAATGATAATGTCATTTATTTCTCGGCACATATTCTGTGAATATATTTTGCAGGTTACTCTGGAACATTCACTGTAATTAATCACCATTTATTATTATACCAGCATTTACAATGTGGTTATTTGGAAGATATTTATTGTGTAATGTGTAACATGTTTAGGTCATACGTTTTGGTCATGACTGGGACCCAACCTGCATGAAGATGGATGAAGTGTTGTACAGTATTGCAGAGAAAGTGAAAAATTTCGCTGTCATATACTTGGTGGACATCACAGAAGTTCCTGATTTTAACAAAATGTATGTACCTACATATCTATAACCATCATTTGCATCTTTGTAACTTCAGAGGTGTTTCATTTCAAGGGTTTGTGACAGGGATGATAATGATAAAGTATTGGATGCATATTTTTTATTTTGTCATAAAAGAAACCAATACTAAAGGCAGCCTTTAGTATTGGTTTGGCTTGACTTAGCTACTTCCCTCTCTTAAACGTAAAAAGTTTGAGCTTAAGGCGGCCACACACGCTGGATTTTGCATGATGGATTTAGCTGTGCATGCATGGGAAGTAGCTAAGTCACTGGTTGCTACTTAATGTAGGTAGAAAATGATAACATCACTCAATATTCTAATAAATAATAATAAATCTTTATTCATTATAAGAAATTGGTCATAGTACAGATAAAAATCTTAATTTAAAATCAGAGACCTCACTAGGTTTGAATGCCTGTACTAGGAAAAATATCCTGTATCACAGGCGAAAGGAGCACACACAATGTTACTAATTCTAGGACAAGTTATTTATATAAACAAATTCCATAACATAAGTAATCGATCAAAAGTAAAGTAAAGTTGATTATTTAATATACATACATAGATACATACACAAGTACATGACTACATAACATGATAGGTAACTAAATATTAATATTATCGTATAAGTACATTTATTAAACAAGTAATTATATTAGCTTACTTAAATACAAAACATAGATATACATATAAATATAAAACATTGGAGGAACTATAGTACTGAAGAATTTGATACATCAACAGAAACATAATCTAGTTTACAGTCCAAATCATTCACTTGGCGTTACAATAAAATACGCTTGAACAGCAACAAATTGTTGAGTACACTAACTTGTTACGATGTTAATTAATGTGCAAGGGAAGGTTAATCAACTCTGTAATCCGAGAGTATGACACTTTACGCGTCCTCATAATCGATAGAGTTGATGTACCTATATTCAGCTATTTTCCTAGCCGGACAGTCAGTGTCTCCGGTTTTATGTTTATTGGGCTTATTGTAACGAGAGCATGTAGCACATTTGTTCTAAATCAATACATCATCAATAGTTCCATGGAAAAAGAAAAATGTGTGTCTAATATTGGGAATTAATCAAGCAGAGTTTAGAATAAAATTTAGTCAACATCCCTATTGTACAAGGTGACAAATAAAACTTGATACTGAAAAATCTAAATGACTTACTATAAATACTCGGCCTCCAAAATGACATCATGTGATAGGTTAGTTTATTAAGATATTTTGGTAAATGTGCTATTTGTTGTGCCAACTTGATGTTTTTTGCTGTGCAGGTATGAGCTGTATGATCCATGCACGGTGATGTTTTTCTTCCGCAATAAGCACATAATGATTGACTTGGGCACGGGCAACAACAACAAAATCAACTGGCCTCTGGAGGACAAGCAGGAGATGATTGACATTATAGAGACAGTGTACCGCGGAGCACGTAAGGGCCGTGGTCTTGTTGTCTCGCCCAAAGACTACTCTACAAAATACAGATATTAACAATGTGTCGTGTCAGTGGCTTGTCTCATTAAAGACAAAAGAAATCAGTGTTACTTGACAGTGGTTAACTGCTCTGACAGTAACCTATGCAAAAGTTGCTACAGGGTACCAACGTATCAAATTATGGTTGGGATAGAATCATTCATTACTAATGTAGTGGTGAGTTTGTCAACTCTGAAGATTATTAAGAATATAATTATAATATATTTAGTATTGTGTATGAACAAGGAGATGTAAAATGTGATCTGGTAATAAACATAAACATGTATTAAAGAATATTGCTATTTCTTTCACTGATAGCTATGTAAGTTTTCTTTAATGTTGTGGTGGCTTAGAGATTAATGACATGTTATGTCATTATTTTTATTCTCGAGCATGTCAATGCAGGTTAGAATGCCTGCTGGCAAGTACCAAAGGGGTTTCTTAGAATATTTAGACCCATACACAATTAAGTGCCTGAACAACAAAAAAAAATTAATTTCAAACTATAGCTTAGAAATCACCAACCTCCTCCAGCAGGAATGGTGATAGTGTTCACGTGTTGTTTCCATCCATCTTCGTGAGGTAGGGCCTTTTATGCGTCGAGCTCTTGTTACCGCCGGAGTGCCAACTGTTTTGGAACCAAATGGTTTGGCGCGCGACGACGGTATGTCCATTATGCCCTAGCAGTTGGGAAGGTGTTTGGTGTGGGACGCAAACTGCGTCGACACCCTTACACCTTCTCATCTTCCAGTAAGCAGCAGCGTTTGCAGAAAACCTCAAGCGGCGCAAGTATAACAACCTTGCTGGTAATTATAGTTTTGAGCCGTTTGGGGTTGAGACCAGGGGCGTAGCTAGCGCCAGATCTGCCGTATCATAATACATGGCCCCCGGACTACAGAGGCCCCAACGTGCGTAAGCTAAAATTAATAAGAAATTCGCAATTTTTATTTTATTTCAGTTATCACAAAATTCAAAGTAAACGAATTTTCTCTCGTAAAGCATACATTCAAAGGTTGGTTCGTAAGAAACTTTAGAAAAACTAAAGTAATCATAGTCTGCTAATTTGGGCAGAGGTAGTTACCTGGAAAGTTTTCCAGTTTTCACACAAATTATTATTAGTAGGTACCTATATTATGTAAAAGTAATCCCTCGTGGGAAATTTTTATCCTTCAAATGCTCCTAAACATTTTTGTATTTATTTCGTTTCAAATAGACAAATCCAAGTTATACTAAAAGTTGTTTGAAACTTTGAAAAAATGTCGTACAAATGTACTGTTGGTACTGTTGACGCCTAACCTTACGTCGAGAGCGGGGGTCTGCCCGCCTCCCCCCCCCCCCCCCCTCCTCGTCACAGAGTGTATACATATATGGTAGTGCATCATTTAAATCATCGATCGACCACTAGTTTTGTATTCATTACGCTCATAAGGACAAGTAATATTGTAAAAAGTTTAAAAGTAATAAATCAGTTAGTATATTGGCATCCAGGGTTTATTTTTAGCTCCGCACACAATACCACTGTGTTATTCATAGTAATCAATACGGATTTAATTATCTATTTAAGTTTACTACACATTGGATACATGAACTGGGCTGCCTTTGTAAGACGAATAAATCCCCGGTTTACCCCTTCAAAAATGTAAACACGTGATGTTTACGTTATATTAATATTTAAAACTTCGTTTTCGAACGTTCGTAACTTTCGGAAAAAGTCAAACTGTTCAGTGTAGAAATAATCTGTTTAAAAGATGCACTCGGCCAACGCCATACTACTATTTATTGTGTTGTCCCATAGCTCGATAGATGGCGTTGGCCGATTTAAATTCAAGCTATGGTTTCGTTACCGGCAAAACATTAGGTTGTCTGCTTTGACGCAAAAAAAATTGTCTTGCTCTGAGGTACTTCGTATTATTTCAAGTAATAGGCTCCAAAGGACTTTCGGCCGATACTGTTCACAAACAAAAAGTATCCGATGTCCGTTTCCTGGTTCTAAGCTACCTCTCCGCTAGATTATATATTTATAAATTAGATTAGATTAAATATAATATAACCAGAGAAAAACATTAATGATAATAGAAAGGTAAATTATAACTAAATAATAAGCCCACATCACTACAAAATAACCAGACTATCTATTAATTATATTTACACTGTCAATGGTTGTGGTAGCGAAGTGACGTCATCACCGGCACCGGCCGCGGCATGGAGTGTACATGAACTCTACAAGTTTTACACATTCGAACACACATTCAACAGTATCCAGTTGGGAGTTGTGGAGTTTTGCTGATACCTTACTCCACAGACATTACACGTAAGCCAAAATTAGTGACACGAACTACAAACCATGAATAACGTACGCATCTAATTATTGAATGACATTATTTTATTTATTTATTTTATTTTATTTAGGAAACAAACAGTCACATAAAAACAAAACTTATATAAGAAAACAATAGGTTCAAAAAGACTTCGAGTTCCATACAATTTTTAAGTGTAGCATAAGTAACCTACCCACAATTTATTTTAAACAGAATACACAAGCACATGCAGTCAAACATAGGTTACATTATTTTAAGAGTAGGTTGCGCAATTTAATTTTATAAGATGCTAAACTGTGGTTAAATATATCTATTTCGTTAAATTTACTATAATAAGTGTCTGTGCTACGTCTGAAGAAGCTATTATTGGCGTAAACTGCTTTATAGAAAGGAACTGAAAAAAGTTTTTGTGAACGGGAACCAGGTCTGGGTACTCTTAAGGCAATTTCTTTCAAAATTTCAGGGGCGTCAATGAAATTATTCAAGATTTTATAAAGAAATACTTGGTCAAACATCATGCGTCGGTCGGCAAGAGTAGTAAGAGAGTGACGAGTAATTGAATCCACGTAGGTATGATACACATTCATGATTTCCACGGTAATCTAAATATTTAATAAATTTCTTTTGCACTTTTTCAATGCGGTCAATATGACATGCATAGTATGGACTCCAAACAGTACAAGCAAAATCCAGCAGTGATCGGACGAAACTAAAATATAAAACCTTTAGAGTATGCGGATATTTAAAAGGTCTTGAAATCCTTAATATAAAGCCAATTTGACGGAAGGCTCTGCTCACTATGTCGTCTATGTGTAAACTAAAGGATAATTTTGAATCCATAATTACACCTAAGTCGCGCACAGCCATTACCCTACTTATAGATTTATTATTGATCTTGTAATCAAAATTTAGAGGTTTATGTTTACGGGTGTAGGATATAATAGAACACTTGTCAAGGTTTAAATAGCGTTGATTTGATGAGCAATATTCAGATATACGGTCTAGGTCACACTGCAGTTCCAAAAAATCGCCATAACATGTTACTGTCTAAAAATTTTCGCATCATCCGCATACAACAGAATTCTTGAATAATTCATGACTTTATCAATGTCATTAATATACAAAATAAAAAGTAATGGTCCTGCATAGGATCCTTGAGGAATTCCCGAAGGAATTTCTAGGAATCTAGACAAATATCCCTCTATAGAAACTGCTTGGGATCGGTTCCTGATGTACGAGTTTATCCAGCGGAGTAGATGATCGCCATGTATACCTATAGTCCACAGCCTCTCTATAAGCAAATCCCACAAGCCCACAAGAGCAGAAATGACAATTTTCTCAAAACATTTTATATTATGTAGTCACCTCTTTCTAATTTTTAAATGGGTAGTTACGTTACGAGGCGAGCTGTAGATTTACTATGGAATAGAAAAAAACTACTACAATGTAACAACCATCCCATGTAGGTATGTAAGTAATAGAGGTAAACCTATTACGTACACCGGTCACAACTCCAGACTGGGACTGTGGAGAATTTTCGAAAACTTTTTTATATTTCAAGATGAATTTTTATATTCTATTTATGCTGCACCGTGTCTGGTGCTAAATAAATGTATTTTCTTTTTTTCTAAAAACTCAATAATACTGTGTCCAACCCGGGAATCGAACCCGAGATCACAGCATCGTGCTCGAGTGCAACAATTGTTCAGCACTCAACGTAAATGTCATGACCAAATGGTAATATTTTGAACACAGCCCCTGAAGATATCTTTCCCGTAATTCACGTAAAATAGGTTTTAGCCTGACTAAAGCTGATACGTCTCTCTGTTCATCTGTTTATTAAATAGTAAGTAACTCACTATAAATGGTGTAATGGTTAAGGAGTGGCCTTACCTGAATTACTTCTTCATTATGAGACCCTAACGACCGTCACTCTCCAACTAGGTTTAACGCTCTTATCTACATCGCTTCGACTCCTTCATCAGACTGATTATAAGTAGTATACGCCACTACGAGTTTCGTAAGTTCCCCTCATGGTCGAGGTAATTTTAGTGCAATGGTTCTTGGAAGGCAGAGAGAAGGTTCTTTACCATGTAAGTTTTGGATATCGTGTAATGGTGCCAGCCTGTACCTACCTGGCTACCTATCTTTCGTGCGAACAACATAAACGGTTCGGTCAACTCGGGTATCGAAGAGGTCGGTCAGGCAATAAAACGAGTAATTGATCATCATTTGAGATAGTGTAAGTTTAATTCAGTCTTGAACAGACAATCGAGCAGACGAGAGAGTGCGAGCGAGCGGAGCGGCGCCGGCGCGGGCGTGACTAGGGCGCCGGCTACTGGTCCGGCTCGGGCGGGTCGGGGTCGGGGCGCCAGTCCAGCGCGCCCGGCGCCCAGATGGACGCCAGCGAGCGGAACGGGTCGTAGGGCCGCACCGGGCGGGGCGGCGCGCCGAAGCCGGGCGGCGGGCGCACGGCCGGCTCGCCGTAGCCGCCCCACAGCCAGGCCGCGGCCGCCGGCCCGTCGCGCCGGGGCTCCAGCGCCGCGCCCGCGCCCCACACGGAGCTCAGCGAGCGCCCCACGCCCGACCCCACGGGGCCCACCGGGCCCACGGAGCTCGCCTCGTCCGCCACCGGACCTGAACGTACTAAACTTATTACCGTCACGCCTGAGTCTGTGTCATTACTGTAACTTCAACAACGGGGCTCCAGAAGTCAACGTCTACCAGCAGGTGGCGACAACAGTATAATTTTATTCACTAGTCACTCAAAGTAGAGTATAAAATGTATTTAATTTTATGTCTCTTCTTTAAGGATCTCTCATTGTAAGCCCGCGAGATCTCAAAATGAATATAGTTGTTTATATTTATGTCATAACGTTTATATATATGTTGTAACTTCGCAGAGTTCCTGGTGACGTCGACTCTTAGTTGACCATGTATAAATATATTTCATAGATACACTGGTAATTTATAAAAATGCATTTCAAACCTCGAGGTCATAACAAAATAAATGTGGTCTGATGATGTTAAAATAAGCTCACCGAGGAAATCGTGCGTGGGCGAGAAACTGGGGCGGTCCAGGGCAGGCGGCGGGCGCCAGGAGAAGTCAGAGTCGTGGCAAGCGAGAGACTGCGGAGTGTCGCCGTTGAAGTAGAACAGGGAGTGGTCGCCAGAGCCCGCCAGCGCCCGCGGCTCGGGCTCGCGGCGCCGCACGTGCTCGCCGATGGGCGCCAGCGGCGTCGGCGCCGGCGCGCGCGCCACCACCGAGCTCCACGACGCGCCCCAGCGCAGCGCCGCGGGCGCCGGCGGGCGCGGCGCGGCGGGGCTGCGCGGCGGGGACGCGGGCCGCGAGCGGGCGCGCTTGGCGGCCTTGTCCTTGCGCGCCGGGTGCCGCGCCGTCGCGCCGCGCCGGGCCTCGCGCACGGGCGAGCCGGACGCGGCGCGCACGCGCATGCGCAGCGCGGGCACGCGTGCTGGCGCGCCGGGCGGGGGCTCTCGCCGCCGGACTGCGTGTGGGGCCGCGGCGTGCCACTGGGCGGGGAGTCGTCGCCGGCGGCGGTGCTTCTGTCGTGGGTCGGTAACGTTTCGGGTTCGTCCCCTTCTTCTGCTTCATCGCGGTCGTCGACGGTCGGAGACGATGACGATGCAGATGCGGAACCGGAGCCGTAGATACGGCGTCGTCGTCTCCGCTCCCACCGCTTCCTTGCGGTCGATCTTCCGTTTCGGGATCAGCTTCGTAGCCGTCGGCTCCGGGGCAGGGGCGATCGTGAAGTTCCGGTTTGTCGGTATCCAAAAGGGGTCGGTGTCAACGTGGGCCTTGTCTCGGTCAGCGTCTTCGCTCGATCGTTCGTCGTCATCGTCGGCTCGGCCCAGCACGTCGGCGCGCCACCGCTCGAAGGCGCGGCGTTCTGCGCGCGGGTCGGGCGCGTCTCGGCGCGGCGGGCGGCGTCGGCGCGCGGCAGGGCGGCGCGGCGCAGGCGGCGGAACCTCGTGCACGAGCGCGCGCAGGTCGAGGGGCGCGCGGGCGCGGGCGGGGGCCGCTGGGCGCGCGCGCGGCGCAGTTCGCGCTCGGCGTCGAGCGCGGCGGCGGCCAGCACGAGTGCCAGCGCGGCGAGCGCCAGCCAAGGCGGGCGGCGGCGCGCGCGGCGGGCTCCCAGGGCGGGCGCGGCGCGGCGGCGGCGCAGCGCGGCAGCAGGCGGGCGGGCGCGGAGGCCTGCAGCAGGAAGGCGGCGCGCGCGGTGTCGGTGCGCGCCGTGAGGTCGGCGGCGGCGCGCGCCAGCGTGTAGTCGGGGCTGAAGGCGAGCGTGAGCGGGCGGCTCTCGTTGGGCGCCAGCGCCAGCGCGGCGCAGGGCGAGAGCCGGAAGCCGCGCGCCTGGCAGGGCTGGCCGGCGAGGCGCCAGTCGCGCAGGTAGAGCGGCACGGGCCCGGTGTTGCGCGCCAGCACGGTGCGCCGCACGGTGCCGCCGCACGAGCTCACCTGCGCATGCGACACGTTCTCATTCCCGTCTCAAAAAAAACATTTATTCAAAAATATTATATTTGATCTATTTTTCAAACTTACTTTACCGCAATTTGACATGATATTAGAAATACTTAATAGTTCAGTTGAACCCTCCGTTACGAAACAATTGATTTCGAGTGAACTGAAATTTTGTACACCTCATATATTTTATTTATTTATTAAACTTTATTGCACATCCATTATGAAATTGGCGGACTTAATGCCGTAGGCGTATATCGTACTACGTAATAAAAAAATCTTATCTATTTAAGATTAAATTACATTCAAGTAGCCGTGCTGCTGTGGTGTAGTAGTCGTAAGATATATATTAAGCATCCTATATTCAATATATTCAGTGTATTCTCGGAGCTCGTTGGTTTCATTACACTCATCCAAACACCCAACCTTACATGGCGACCGTGACCGGGCCGAGCGCGTGTGCTCCATATACGGGCAAATTATTCTAAACAATAAGTGGAAAGTTACAGGCGTCTTTAAAATGAATCGAATAACATCGGAGCTCACGGCGTATACAACACGTCTTATTGTTACGCATCTTTGTTCGTCGTTGTTGGTGAAAAATGGGCGGTTCTAGTTCCAAAGAAGTCAAAGAACAAGTGGTGATTGCCCAGACAGCAGGAGTCGGTAGCAATACGGCTCGTGCGCAGCAACTTCATGAGACCACTAATGTTATTCTGGTGGTTATTTGCACCGTTTTATTGATTGGATTGCTGCTGGTAACATACAAGCTGTATAACTATTGCCACAAGAAGAAGATACTACGCAGACAACAGGCACACTTGACTGCTATGCTACAAACTGACAAGTCCAAGGAATTTGATGTATAGCTGGGAAGGTGACAATACGCAGATGGTATCTTCACGACAGAGCCTTCTCAACTTCGTAAGCTGTAGTGTAGTGTCGGTGTCGTCCGAAAATATGTGTAGAGTGCTAGTAGTGATGTGATCGTTCAATATCAGTGGCGTACTATTAAGTAAATAGAGACAGTAACGTTTTATGTTAAGAGCTACAACATGTTAGTACAGGTTTGTTTATTATAAGAGTATAATGTTAAGTAAAATTATTATGTGTATGCTCGCTGAGTTTACATTAGTCGCAGTTTGCGTTAAATGTTTTGTTAACCTGTTATGGCTGAAGAATTAAGTCTGATACTAAATGAGTTAAAATCTGTAAGAAACTATAATAAAAATTGTCCCAGCCGTCGACAAGGAAAAATATTAGAGACGAAAAGAAAAGAGGCAGATAATATTTTAATAAAGTACAATAAGTTTTTAGAACTATATAAAGAAAAGTTAAAATCTATTGCAAGTTCTGAGATTAATTTAATTACAAGGATTTGTAGAGAGTTTGATAGCCTATTTTTAGAAGTAATTTCCTTTTGTACTTCAGCGGGCAGGGCACTCCCTCGATAGAAATCATGACTACGGATTCATTTGATCTTAAAACTGCGTTGCATTTATTGTCTGTCATGGATGACAGCATTGATAACACAAAACAGCTGATCGAAAGTATCGAGTACTATAATTCTGTGCTAGAAAAACCAACATGTAAAACTAAGTTAATTCAGTTTGTGTTGAAAAGCAGGTTATCCCAGCGTGCAAAATTGTTATTATCATCAAAATACGAGACAGTTACTGAGCTTATAAAGGATATGCGAAAATTGTTACTACCACAAAAAAGTTTTGTCGCTATACAAACAAAATTGCAACACTGTAAGCAAAATAATAGAACAGTAACCGATTATGGGAAAGAAATATCAGATCTTTTTGTAAATTTGACATTATCTCAAGCCGACAGTGAGTCAGAGAAATATGAGTTACTAAAACCCATAAACGAGAAGTTAGCAATCAAACGGTTTGCTGATGGTTTGAGGGACCGTCGTCTGAGTACCGTAATTGCCGCGCGTAATTTTACTTCTTTGACAGAGGCAATCCAGGCGGCCCAAGATGAAGAGGCACCTATTCCTAGTGGTTCATCAGAAATCATGGGTACGTATAGACAGCAATACCAGGTTCAGAGACCTCACAGAGGGTTTCGCGGTCAACGTAGATTTGCAGCACACCATTCACGTGGGCATCGAGGTCTACAGCAGCAGGTACCGTATGGCTATAATAATAATAACTACCGTAGTAATTATGGCAATCGTTATCGCGGTGCGAACAAATCATCGCGTAGTAACTGCGGTAGAGTCAGGGGTATCAGATCGCAAAGGAATGTCAACATTTATAACAGAGAATAGCCATTTGAAGGATCATGAGCACGTTAGTACGAAACTTGGATGTAGAACCAACAGAAATTTTTGAAATTACTTTAATTACTCACCTCGAACAGTAGCGGCGCACCGGAGCCGGGGCGGCGGCCCGCCAGCTCGAAGCGGGGGTACGCGCCGCGCCCCGTCAGCAGCACCGGCTCCAGCACCGTCAGGTTGTTGCGCAAGTACAGGTAGCTGGCCAGCGCCGCCGCCTGCGCCGGCACGAAGCTCAGCCGCAGCTCCAGCTCCGCGCCCGCCGCCAGCAGCAGAGCAGCGGCAGCGCGCGCCGCCCGCGCCGCGCCCCCGCGCCCCCGCCCAGGGCGCGCACGGCGCCGCGCGCGCCGCGCCAGTCCTGCAGCGAGAAGGCCCGGCGCGCCCACACGCAGTCGGCGCAGGCCGCCTCGTCGGCGCCCAGCGCCGCGCCGTGCAGCACGGCCTGCAGCAGCACGGCGTGCGTGGCGGACGGGTTGCGCAGGCGCAGCGAGAAGGGCAGCGCGGCGCCCACGGCCGCCAGCCCGGCGTGCGCGCGCGCGGGCGCCAGGCGCGGCCACAGCGGCGCCAGCGTGGCGCGCGCCGGCAGCTGCACGGCCTGCGTCGTGTGCACGTGCAGCGACACGTTGCGCGGCGCGGCGCCCTGGAACTGCGCGCGCCGGGGCGCCAGCAGGCCCGCGTCGGCGCGCAGGGCGGCGCCGCACGGGTCGGCGGTGTCGTCCGCTTCGTCCCCGTCCTCCGCCTCCCCTATCTCGTCTGCGCGCTGTAGCCACGCTGCGCCCTCTATAGTCACAATATTATTTCAATCAATAATCGAAGCAGGAAACGCACGCATAACATTGTGTTCAAACAGCTGCCTACTCCTGTCGATGAATATAAATAATATTTTTAATGAATATAAATATTAAGAATATTTTTATAGAAAGAAAGAAAAAAAAATATTCGTCACCAGGCATGGACCACTAAATTAACAAGAGTAAAAAAGGGCATATCTGGTGATGGGATCTTTCACACGTTATGCTTACATTTTATGCTCGAAGACACAACTGACTAGAGACTTTATAAAACTGGTTGATCAAGTGATCAAGAACAATGACGTTGAGATATTACTTTCTGATCAATATCCAGCATTAAATTCAAAAGAGTTTAAAAAATATTTAAAAGACAACTCCGTTAATTTAATTTTTACAGAAGTGGATGCTCCATTTTCGAACGGTCACAATGAGAGGTTGAACCAGACGCTGGTAAATAGGATTAGATGTGCCTTGAATAGCAAAGGGAAAGAAACAGCCTGGACAACCGTGGCAATGGATTGTGTAAAAGCCTACAACTCTACAAACCATACTATAAATCAACACTGGTAAGAACAGAAGACACTTGGGATTGTACCATGTGACAAAGCTCATTCCCCAATTTAGTTGCTCAAATTAATCCTAGTTAATTTGCACTTTAAGGGGGGAGATGTAAGAAGCTTTGTATAATGTGTGCGCAGCCTTATTGCCAGCCTTGTGTTCGTCGCCTAACAAGAATGACGTTTGACACGAAGTGGGACAGTGACAGCTGACAGCAGCCCGCGCTTTTTTCGATAGAATGCAAAACCTCGGGTAGATTTAATAATGTAATATTATTTTCTAAAGTTTTATAGAAGAAAAGTTAAAGTGCTTGTTCAACTGATTAATGTAATACAGTGTCGATCAACTGAAATATTGGAAGTAAAAACCTTTAATTGTCGATTTTTCTGTTTTACGTTGGTATTGGTAATGTGTACATGTTTGATCTTAATTAATTTGTGTGTTTCAATTGATGTTAATAATAAACTTTCTGTTTTAGATCAATCAAAATTGTGCGTTATTTGCTCCTGTATTATCCTACATATTACATACATGTAAACCTTCCTTAAGAATCACTCCTTGTATTAAAAAAATCCCATAGCGCCATCTATTGATTACTTACTCAACCCAGTCGAAAGGTATCGACATCTGTTAGAATCATTTGGAGTTAACAGATAATTGTGACTGTCAAATAATAACAGACAAATAATTAGCAATAAATTAAAATTGCGACTATAATTTGAGATTTAAACTATCCTATCTCTCAAGTTGGATCGAACTACACATGGTGTGCGAATTTTATTATAATCGGTTAAGTGGTTTAGGAGTCCATTGAGGACAAACATTGTGACACGAAATTTATATATATTAAGAATGTATTATATTGTAGCGTTTTCGAAAGATTTTTCTCTAGTAAACTACCACCACCCGGCAGCCACGTCCATAAAGTACGAGACTATGGACGTGGGTAGTGGTAGTTAGACCATTTTTATTTAGAAACTAGCTTTTACCCGCGGCTTCGCTCGCGTTACAAAAGGAGAAAAAGTAGCCTATGTGACATATACCAATACACACAGCGCCATCTATACCAATAATTTCGTTTTCCCTCGAGAATATCAATTTTTTTCTGGGATAATAAGTACCCTATTATTTAATGCAGACTTCTAACTTCACGTCTGCAAAAATTCAAAGCAATCGGTTTAGTAGTTACGGCGCGAAAGTGGAACAAACAAATAAACTCACTTTTCGATTTATAATATTAGTAAGGATATACTCAGCGCTAGGAAGGGAATTGTATCACGGTCACTTCATAAGTATGTAAATTCGTTTATAATTCTAAAAACTCTATAATTATTTTCTTTTTTTAATGTATACTACTGATTTGACACTTCTTAGAACAGTACCCTTTTAGTATTTTATTGTTTTATGGAAGTCTAGATTTAGTAGGGAGGTAAGTCAAGGTCCTAGGTGTAGAGCGCACACATACCGGCGCTAGTGACGTCCAGCCCCGTGTAGCAGTGCGGCGCGCACAGCCCCTCCGGCGCCCACACCAGCTCGCCCACCGCCTGCCGCCCGCCCAGCTCCGGCGCCGGCTGGCGCCCCGCCCACTGCAGCGCCTCGCGCGCCGGCAGCGTCACGCCCGCCACCTGCATGCGCAGCGCCATGCTGCACTCCAGCTGCAGCGGCGCGCGCGCCGGCGCGTACGGCGCCGCGCGCAGCACCGGCAGCGGCAGCGCCGCCACGCGGCCCTCGTGCGCGCTCAGCTCCAGCGCGGCGCGGGTGAGCGCGCGCGCCGCGTCGGCCCCCGGCGCCGCCGCCCACAGCAGCAGCGCGCCGCGCAGGGCGCCCTCGCGCGCCGGCGCCACGACGCTGAGCGTGGCGCGCGCCGCGGCGCGCGCCCGCCAGCAGCGGCAGGCGTGGCCGGGCGGGGCGCGCGTGCCGGCGCAGGCGTCCAGCGCCAGCGACGCGCCGGCCAGCTGCAGCGCCGGCTCCAGGCACAGCGGCGCGGGCGCGGGGTTGTGCAGGCGCAGCGCCACGCGCCGCGTGGACGACGTGCCGACGGCGCCCAGCCGCAGCGACCCGTCCTCGGAGTTGGGCCACTCCCACTCCTGCACACACCAGCGCTCGTTACGGCCGTAGCGACCTTGCTCTGACGTCCGTCCCTTTCTTAAAAGTCGCAGGAAGTATGTGTACCTAGTGTGTCTTCGCGACTCGTTGTTATTTCATTAATAATATTCAGTATCCGACCGCGGCTTCGGCCATTGTGTTTCGTATCATTTACGTGCGAGCCCAGCCTTATTCGAGTCCCAATTACATGAAACATGTCACATTGAAGACAATTGAAGTAAAAATTGGTGTTTCACACAGATCACAGCAAAGCATCGGATAGACCATGACAATAAAATGAATAAACAGATACGACAGTATGTGTATAAGTCGCTCGGGTACTCGTCATTACCGGAGCACGGTCCTAGGGCCGTGACGAGACACTCACGAGTCGCAGACGGCCGCTGTACAGCAGGAGCGGCAGCGAGTAGTCCGTGACGTTGGTGGCCACCTGCAGGCGCTCCGCCAGAGACTCGGGCGCCCCGGGCGCCAGCGCCGCCGCCCGCAGGCGCACGCGTGCCAGCAGGCCGTCCGCGCCCGGCGCCAGCTCTAGAGGGGCCAGCGACTCGACCTCCCAGTACCGCGCGCCCGAGGGCGCCAGCTCTAGCCGAGTGACGTGCACGGCCACGGGGAATTCGTTGCGCACGCGCACCTCGCGCTGGCGCAGCGCGTCCTCTCGGTTGGCAGTGACGAAGCTGCGATACAGGCACGCTGTTACTGTACGCGACGTGCACTCAACACAATAATACAACGAGCCCAAGTAACAGTGACGAACCACTCTTCATAATTATTAGTTTAGTATGTTAGTTACTAGTTGTTGCCCGCAACGTTATCCGCCTAGAATGTCATGAGAGCATTTAATTGGGATAAAAAATCCGTCTTCACCTAAGTCGGCTCACACCAAATTTCATCGAAATCCGTTCAATAGTTTCAGCGTGATTGACAAACATACATACATCCAAACAAAGAAACTTTTACATTTATAATATTAGTGTGATATTACATTAGTTTATAATATAATTTTTAATGAAATTTTTTTTTTAATCATAAACATGTCGTCATTGGAGTCTTTCGTAGTTTTCAAAAGTGTTAAAATGTGTGCATGCGTGTGTATGTGATACGTATGCCATTTGAGGTAGGTCTTTTTTTTTAAGGGGGGAAAATCATCGAATGACTGCTCCCACCTGGGTGAGGCAAGAGGGAAGTGTCAGAATCTTACTGACTAAAAACCACCGTGTTCCTTCTCCTGCACGTCGAGCCGGAGCCCCGGTTACCCGTTAGGTTCTCCGCGACTCCGAATCGGTTGAGGTATGTCTAGGAAGTGGTTATTGATGAATGTCTGCCGTAGCGCGAGTACGTACTGCAGCTGGTGCGGCGCGCGGCGCAGCGTGCCCGGCAGCACGCGCACGCTGTACGGCAGCGCGGCGCGCCCCAGCCGCACCCAGCCCGCGCACCACGCGCCCGCCGCCGCGCCGCCGCCCGCGCCGCCCGCACCGCCCGCGCCGCCCGCGGCCGCCGCGTGCTCCGCCACAGCGCCGCGTCTGCACAGAGCGCGCGGTGAGTGGCGGGCGCGCCGGCCGAGGGAGTGCCCCCAGTGTACGTACAGTCGAGCGTGAGCTGCGCGACGGCGGCCGGCGGCTGGTGCGGCTCCAGCTGCGGCTGCAGCAGCGACAGCTGCACGCCCGGGGACTTCGCGCCTGGAAATATGCCATACGAATATATTCAATGAGATGTCCGCCTTTCGAACAACTGATTCCACGGAATATAGAATACAATGGAAGTAGCTTGAAACAATATTTCTGTCAGAACCGGTGTCGCCAAACTAATACATTTATAATTTACTCATACTATAAATCGGAAGTTACGATTGGTTAGAAAAAAAATGGGCGTAAACGAAATGCAAAAAAAATATCATACGATATTCAACTTTAAAATGAACGCACTATAAATCAAAATAAAAAAGTATATTTTGGACTACCAAGTACCGCCATTCGTCGCTAGATGGCGTTTAACAATGCCATCTAGCGACGAAAAGTGGTACTTGGTTTGAACTTTAACGTCTTAAGAATAAAGGTGATATTTGAATGGCTTATCACTGGCTCGAATGCGGGTCTCTACTCAGATAGTGATGTAGCCTAATTCGATAAAAATAATATCGATAATATGCAAATGTGTTTTAAAAATAATGTGAAAAAAAATATTGACAGTATTAAAGTAATAAAATTAATATGTCGTTGATAACTTTTTAAACGTAACAAAAAAGGGTAAGTATTTATTTGCATGTAAATCAAAAACCATTTTGTTCGTATTTTTTATTAGTTTCTTTTTTCAAAAAAAAATTCAATTTTTTTTTTTATTTCACATAGGCAATATAAGTAGCAACTATTACATAAATTTTTACAAACTTTATATGGATAATGTGATAAATGAGAGGGATGGCGATAAGGATGACGGTGCTGATCTGCTCCGTGAAGTGAAGGTTGCTTCCAATCACGTCGGGGTCACCACTAAAATAATAAAAAAATAATCTAAATAAATGTTACATTACACTTGCATCGATATCCATAAATAAATTCAATATGTGATTTGACCACATCACTATTTGAGTAGCGTAGAACTGGCGAGAATGTTCTATTGAATGGAATAAAACCAAAATAAACTTTATCTTGAAGGCGTAAGGTTGATTTTGACTAACCGTTTTAGTAAATTGAAATAAAATAAGATTTCTACAAGAAAACAATGAAAATTGTACTTACCGATGATACGAAACACCTCCATTTTTATGATTTTTCGGCTGCTATCATTTTTACACACCAAAACGGAACAAAACGGCATAGTTGAGGAAATATGTATTTGTCACGTGACTAGCTCGATTTTGCCTCGAGTACGCAGTACACTGCAGGGTTGTGGCACGCGTGCCACGCCTACTTGCTACTTCCATTGTTTTCTATATTCCGTGACTGATTCGATCGAGCACTGATTCGCAACGTGACAAGTATCGCACATGACTCTTTTCAAGTAATTAAGATACCTTGTTAAAAACTATAGTAATTTACCATCATACACAACTGTACCAACAATTATTATAAAACCTGTGAAACAAGCTTCATTGTGCGTACTGCTAAGGAGTGGAATTCTTTGCCAGTCTGTATTTCCTGAAAGGTTAGAACTTGAACGTCTGCAAGGCCCGAGTGAATAGGTTGCTTATGGACGACGTGCTCCATCGTAGACCGCATCATCGCTTACCATCAGACGAGATATTAGTCAAACATCGACCTATCAAATATATTAGAAAAAAAAAACATATAAAATAAAATATTGTCGCACCATTTCCGTTGGCGGTGCCTTTGTCACTTTGTCCATTGGCGGCGGGGGGCGCAGTCACCGCGGGCGCCGCTGGCGGGTCCGGCGGCGGCGGCGGGTCGTGCGGCGCCTCGGCGCAGCGCGCGCGCCCACAGCGCAGCCTGCAAGCGCACGGCGGCGGCGGCGCTGTTACCGGCCTGTAGCTCCAGCACGTCGGGCGCGTCCCGCGAGCCGCGCGGCCGCAGCCGCAGCTGCAGCGGGCTGGCGTACTCGCCCGCCGGCGCGGCGCGCGCCTGCACACACAGTAGCAGCGCGCCGCCCGGCAGCCCGGCGCCGCGCACGCGCACGTACGCCGTCAGCGGGCCCGCGCCCGCAGGCGGCGCCACGCGCAGGCGCACCAGCGCGCGCTGCGAGTGCGGCGCCACGGTCCAGAGAGCGCGCGGCGCATGCGCGGTGCCGCCGGGCAGCTCGAGCCCCAGCCAGGCGGCGGACGAGTAGACCTCGCGGACCTGCACGGCGCTGTCGGTGGGGTTGTGCAGCGTGAGCAGCGGCTGCACGGAGGCGTTGAGCGGCACGCGCAGCCCCAGCAGCGGCCACACCCCCCACTCGCTGGCCACGCCCACCGCCGACACCTGCACGCGCCGCACACTCGGTCATTCATCGGTCGTACATTACATTCTGCACTTTTGTTTCCAGTTTACAGTTACAAATTCTAACAATATAAAGTTATGGCGATTCGCAAAGATAATTACAATTGAAAATTCCGATACGAAGAAATTTAATATATATTTTTTTTTTTTAATTTTGCCCCACACTACGATTTTCTCCTGTGTCGGAGGTGCGTATATAAACATACAAGTTCACATACACATGACTCCCAGACCCGAAACAACAATTTGTGGATCACACAAAGTGTTGTTCCGTGCAGGAATCGAACCCGCGACACGTTGCACGGCAGCCGGTTGCCCAGCCACCGCGCCAACTGTGCAGTCAATAATACTGAATCTGTAGTATTATAGTATTTCTAAGTACATGATTACTGATTGCACAGTTGGCGGTATGTATTTTTGTTTTTGTAATGCTGAGCGGCGCAGCGCGGCACGTACCGGGTACTTGTGCACGCCGAGCGACGTGTGTATGTAGAGGTGCGCGGCGGCGGCGCCCTCGCGGCGCCCGAGGTACACGACGCTGAACGACGTGTTGCCCTGCGGCGCCAGCGTCTGCAACACGGTACTGCCACTTTGACACCGCGCTGGACTCCTCCATACGCATAATCCTCATGTCATACAAACATACTATCGACCCTTGGCATAATCCCTCGGCAGCAAAGAGCACGAGCCCTCGGCTGCTTCTGATGATCCAATAAAACGGTAGCCCTCATTGACTTCTGTCGGTGTCATATACGTACTATTCGTAGGTAATATCAGTATACTGAGCACAGCGTAGACAGACTGGCTAACTTCGTATTGATGTATGTGTGTCAGATAAGAAACCGCAATGACATATTCTATTTCAGGACGTTACCGCCGCACCTCCGCCGGCGGACGCGGGTTTGTTGCCTCTATACACTCTGTACTGTAATGGTTGTGGTATTAAAATGTGATATCAATCACCACATTTGTAATTTTGATTGTAATGAAATGTTTCGTAAAAACAATCAAATATTTTTTACAATTTCAGTCCGCTCTCCCTATGCGAGCATATTGAGCATACAATAACACCACTGTTTACGACCCCACGGGCTGAAAGTACCTACACTAGCACACGTAAGAAGACGATACCTTAGATTCGAAGAAAGAAGCGTGGAAGTCGGGCGTGGTGCCGGCGACGGAGGCGAGGTGCATGGTAGTGTTGGCGGTGTTGGTGAGCGTCACGGTGAGCGCATGCGCGGTGGCCAGCGCGGCGCGCCCGAAGTCCAGCGCCGGCGGCGACAGCTGCAGCGCGCCCGCCGCCACCGCGCGCCCCCCGCGCCCCGCGCCCGCGCCGCCCTCCGCGCCGGACTCCTTTCCCCATTCCTTGCCATCACCAAAACTATTACATCAATTTATGCAATTTCACTGAGTAATAATACATAATAATATTATGTGTCTAAGGTACCAACCAGTAACCAGAGAATGATAGTTCAGTTCATAAAATAATTAATTTAATTACCTCCCTTACTGATGTTTTGTTCAGTATAGTAACTCAAACACCAATAACGCTGCAGGTAACACTAAGGGTCTAAAATGGCTGAGGTATCATTATTTGAGGGTATAATCAAATAAAAAATAGAAATCTGGAACTGTCCCTTCTCAGGCGAAATACAGGATCATTGTTACCATTTTACATTGATATTAGATATAACATCTGCTTTTTACTAATGAAACCCTGTTCGATTCACCACTTACATAATATGTCTTTTTGCCTTGTCTCGATTGATGGGACTAATGGTCGTGTCGTGATCGACCGATTGGCAACCTCTGCTGTAAACTATTCAACAATAATACAGGTAATCCATTTACTTGACAATCATGACTCATGACATACACCACTTTACTAAATCAAGAGTGGAAATTACTTGTTTATAAGTCATAATAAAAATATTTTCAAAATCAATTTGATGTACAGTAAAAGCTCCTTATTCGCGTTTTAACTATTCGCGGATTCAAAAAATGCGACCCAATTTCTATATTCGCGACTAAAAATTTTGTTATTCGCGGATCTAATAAGTATGTACATACATAATAATAAAATTATTCCAATAGGTATCCAACTCAATATCCTTGTCAAATGGACTAATAAAAAAGTAAAATAGATCTTATTACAAGTTAACCTAAAGTATGTAGTTAAATGATAACGAACGCCTTCGCAGCGATCGGTGTTTTTGAAAATGTAAACAGGCAGCTTGAGTCAAAGGCCATGCAAACTCAAATTTTGACTGCAAACATAGCCGAAATCGCGAATGGAATACGACAAGATGGGTTTGAACAGATAGAATCAAATGACATTCAGGAATTGCTTGAATCGCAAGATGACTATTTAACTGAAACCGACTCGGAGGAAATGTCGAAATCACAACCCATTGAAAAAGAGGCTTCAACAAGCACTGAAAAATCTTAGTGAAGGTTAAAGAATGGCCAATGAGCTTTACGATTTCTTTATGAACATTGATCCGTTTATGGAACATAGTATAATTTTTAAGAGGTAATGTTTCCGTATTCACGGTTTCTGTATTCGCGGCATATTTATGGAATGTATACCCCGTGAATAAAGAGCTTTTACTGTACTGTCAGGCAGTCAGGGTAGATTGAAGTTTGTGCATGCCATTATTAACTCGTCGAGTACCGTATTTATAGACACAATTAAAGAACAATAGGTTGCGGTCACTGGTGACCGCTTGGTGTTTGACAGTTTAATTGTAAAATTTTGCATACCAAAAACAGTAGGCAATGTATGTGGGAATGTTTTTTTATAATTATTCCATACTTCGAGCAAATAAACATTCTTATTCTTCAATTCAGAACTGGCCAATACATTGCAAAACTTTACTAGGGGGGTATTATGTATAAACAATATACAATCAACAGATATTATTACACATCTACTTTGTACTCATTGCATTTCTTTCATATAGCATGAGTTCATTAATACTAGGACTGTAAATATGTCTATGATTGATGCTTCTATTAAACTGTCAAACACCGAGCGGTCACCGGTGACCGCGACCTATTGTTCTTTAATTGTGTCTATAAAATCGGTACTCGACGAGTTAACAAGCACATTGAAATAAAAAATTCGTCCAGGATTGTTTGACTTATCCTGTTTCCATTTCATGTTTTCCTTGATACCAATACCTTGATACCAATATAATATTTGTATATTACAGAATATAGGAGCATACCGCAAACCAGCAGTGAACATGTAACACTACCCACATATGTACTTACTTAGTGACTTACAACAAAAGCTCACCTGAAAAGTTATTCCCTCAATAAGGGAATCATGTACTGTTACACCTGAAAACACAAATAATACACTTCATCAAACTTTATTAGGTCAAATTCTTTTCACCACAACCAACCACAAGTCTGTCAATCAGTTGGCTGTGCTGCTTATAAGCATTTACTTGCATGTGGGTACTTTGCTTGTCAGACAGTCAGAGCAGGATCAGAACATATTGCCCTATGCTGTGCCTACACTATCGGCTATACACCATAGTTTGCCTTCATGAGCACAGATACAGTAAAACGACAGAACGAGCAGCCCGTCTCGGCCGCGATCTAAAATAACATCGTGCCGCATACTACTGTTTCACGATGTACCTGCCAACTTATTGTTGGTATTTCATATCTTTTCTTGTCGATCTCTTACTGATTACTATGTTAAGAACTTTAAAATGTATCATTAAAGCTTACAAAATAAATAAAACAGGAAGAAAAAAATTTATTTTCATATAATGATATAAATCGATTTTACCATGACTCTTTCCCTGAGCTGTCAGCTTAGTGTTCAGTGATATATCCAATAACGTCAATACAAATACGTAACACCACACTATTTTACGATACATTTTGATGCACTTATTTATTGCAACTATGCAATATGCACTGTTTATTCACATTTCTTACATACAATTCGATACTTTTACAATAACAGTCTACTTCAACTCACGAGACGTGCAATCGCGAAATCGTGAATGTCAAAAGTCAACCAACAGATTACATAAAAAATACTTATTGGAAACTTACAACAAAACGTAAACATAATAATAATACGTTCGGTTTCGGATATAAAAATCTAAAAGGACATATTAAAAGTTTGACTATTGTTTAACTTTTTATTACAAGTCGTTACTTTATTTACGTCAAGGAACTAGAAATTGTAATGTGAATAAATGGGGAGGCCAAGGAACATTTTTTTTATTCTTTCCTCCGAAATCCCAACTAATGACTGACTGAGTGACTATTACTAACTGGATACTGGTTTTTGTATAAGTAATTATTGAATAATAATAATAATATTCTGTGTTCTTTGTAGACGTAGGAGAAGAGACAGATTCCCCTATACTTATTATACTTTTTGGAGACAGACGACGACGTCTCTTGCTGCTTGACAATGACAAAAATAAATATTAACAAAATGACATTGTCATTTCATTTGTCAAATGATCAAATGTCATTGTCAATCCATCTCTGGATGTGATAGTTTTGATTAGTGTTATTCATAACAAATAAAAAGTATATAATAAATATCTTATCCACTGACCATCTAACCTGTAAATTATTTTAATATAAAAACAGTCCTTAAAGTAACAATATTAATTCACTGAAAGATTTATTTCTAAGACTAATGGACGGCAACGGTACGTAAATATAAACTCTTTGTTTCGGATTTAATATCATATTTTTTACTGTTTTAATTTAAAAACATAGAACATATTAATCTACGTATCGAAACACAATAACAGATGTTTTCGAAAATTCCAGAGAGCGACAGCAGTGATAACGGATTCGAAGATCTACAGATTGTGAACCGAGGTGCTGAGGACGACGATGGCAGTGCTGATGGCAGCGATGTCGTTCACTTGGGACACGATGCCAATGACGAACGTGATAATGGGGACGGCAATGGCTCGGAGGCAGACTCTGAAGAGGAACATTTCTATGATATATCTATAGCAGCCTCTCATTCAGTATGTATTTTATATCAGGTACTGTCTGGAATCTTACGAGAACTGCACTTACTGCGCAGTCCAGCAGCAGTTACTATGTACAGATTACAGAATAGTACAGATAGAATTATAACATGGTGAGGGTGAGTAGGATGTACTACTTGGTCTACTGGGAAGCTGAAATCTACATGTTTAATACAAGTGCTATTGACCTTTTGATTATGAGACACCGTAAAAAATTATCTTAGATCTGTATTCCGGTAGACCAGGGGTTAAGAACAGGTTTATCTAATAGTTTCCGTAAACTGTTTCCATCCAAAAAAGTAAATTCTTTCAATTTCTATATAAACTTTTGTAAAAATTTCAAATTGTTCATATTTTGCATTGATAAACCATACATATTTACTACCCGTGAGTGTTCCTAATCCTAAAATAAATAGAAATTAAATGTAATTTTAACTGGTTACTAGTAGGTGTTCCATTTAATTTGTTATCAGTTCCTTCTGTATGCTTAACCATCTCACGACATTAATTACTGAACAAACGTGTCAATGGTTGATGTCACAACCCGTGGGCCAGTGAGTAGTGTTGGTGCGTGCGCAGTACCTGGGCGCGGGGCTGGCGTGCGTGCGCGGGCGCAGCGTGGTGGAGGCGGGCTGGGCGGGGCGCGTGCCTGCGCTGGCGCACCACGGCGTGCTGTTCCCGGGCGAGACCGTGCCCATGCTGCTGCCGCGCGCGCACGACGCCGCGCTACTGGTGCAGGCCATCCGCAAAGACAAGCTCTTCGGCCTGCTCTGTCCTGAGTAATCTTACACACTCCTTCACACACAGTCCCAAGAGACTAGTCTCAATACAATACCCATAGGTGTTACATGATTATGTGACATTTTATATATGTCTCAAGTCTGCGTCAGAAAGGGCAGCATTTTTATTTGAAATGTTTTTTTTTATATTAGTTGGGCCGACTGTTGACCACTATTTCGCCTGGTGGTAAGCGATGATGCGGTCTACGATGGAGCACGTCGTCCCATAAACAACTTATTCACTGGGGCCTTAAAGACACCCAGGTGGTAGCTAAATGATTGTTTCCATCTGTGTGCTTAGTCTGCAGAGTACATTTATTATGAATTCCCTCTCTAAACTTGTATCTAGTACGTACCTACGTAACGTAGGTAATTATTGTGTCACGTAATGTTGTTTGGAGTAGTGAGTAGGTAAGTTGTGGCCGGCAGCGAGGTGGGCGTGATGCTGTCGGGGTACGGCGTGCTGTGCGAGGTGATGATGGCCGGCATCGACGAGACGCAGGACGAGCCCACCTCTGTCACGTTCAAGGCGCGCGCCATCCATCGCTTCCGCCTGCTGAAGATGCCCAAGACGACGATCCCTTTGTCTGCATACGCCAGGCAAGTACAGGCGGCGCCTACTGCCCCCCCTATAGTGCGGCGGTATAGAGTGCGAGCGTGTGTGTCCAGGATGCGGACGGTGGAGGTGGTGGTGCTGCCGGAGCTGTGCGCGCGCGACACTCTGCGCGCCGCGCGGCTGCACTCGCTGGACCCGCTGCGGGGACCCACGCACCTGTACGTTACTGCCACTCGCTATTTATTTATGAACCGGAAATGTGTACGTGCGTATAGTATAGTACGGGTGTGTATGCAGCGCGGCAGTCCAGCGCCGCCTGCGCACGCTGGACGCGGCGGTGACGCCGTGGCCACTGTTCGTGTACGAGATCTTCGACTACGAGTCCATGCGGCACGCCATACACGACTACTTCCGCACCATCATGCTGGGTGAGTAGGGGCCCTGCGGGCGCGGGCGCGGGCGCGGGCGACGGCCGGGCTGAGACTGTGTGTGTGTACAGAGGACAAGTTGCCGGAGGACGCGGTGTCGCTGTCGTTCTGGGTGGCGTCCAACCTGGCGCTGTCGGCGGCGGACCGCCTGGCACTGTTCGCGGTGGACGACGCCCTGCTGCGGCTACACATGGAGGTGCACTTCATACGCAGAGTACGTACCCCTCCCCCGCCCCTCCTATACATCGCTCGTCCTCTGTCCTGTGCTCTACTGGTTATATTTGATTCCAGAAAAGCGTACTCTGTTGCTCGTCGTGTATGGCGCAGATTGCTCGGAAGGAGCACATATTCCCTATGTCCAGCGAAGGAGTGCACTCCAATTATACTAATTTAGGTACGATTATACACTATATTTTACTAGCTAAGGTAACATCCATAATTAACTAATTTCGATAATATGGATATTTCGCTTTTTTCGAAATATCAAAACCGTTATTTTGACATTCCAAAATTAATCGCAGCCGGCAGCCATTACAATATTCAGATGTCACCACTCACGCGAACGATTTGTAATGTCGTGTTGCTCACAAATTATTCTTTTTTATTGAATTGAACGCTTAGTACTACAATAATCTCCTATAGACTGGCAGTTGCTTATTATGTCGTGATCTGACTAGTCATTTGCTGCCCTATACCGGAAACACAATCTTTGAAAGAAACGCGCATTACATAAGTGTAATGTATGTACAATAAAACCTTTTTATTCAGATAACATTGATCCAATTGGTTAGTATTACAAGACTTCGACTAGTGTTAGTCGAATAACTTATCTACAGGTGTTTACGACCCCTGCGATCCATGACTGGAGGTATCAATACCTATATGAGTACTGATACATCCACTCATGTACAGAATCTCCTTCAGATTATCCTCAGAACCGTGCTACGACTACCACGCATGCTTAGCATTGCCGCGCATTGCTTACGCATAGTCGCGTAGAAGCAACTGTGCGCGTCTCCGGAAACGTACGTGATGCACTACAGTCTACAGTAGTGAGGCAAAATCGCTCTAAGGGCATTATTATATTGTACCCGCAGGGCACTATACGCCCCCGCAGTACCTATAGACCGCCCATAGGCTGCAGGTTTTAAAAGATGTACAAAATGTTAGAAAGAGTGTGATTTCAACATCCCTAGTACATCGCACAAACCTGCGAGCGATGGTGTGTGTGTGTAACATTGGGTGCTGCAGGCGGGTACATGCACGACATCCTGACGGTGTGTGTAACATTGGGTGCTGCAGGCGGGTACATGCACGACATCCTGACGGTGTGTGTAACATTGGGTGCTGCAGGCGGGTACATGCACGACATCCTGACGGTGTGTGTGTAACATTGGGTGCTGCAGGCGGGTACATGCACGACATCCTGACGGTGTGTGTGTAACATTGGGTGCTGCAGGCGGGTACATGCACGACATCCTGACGGTGTGTGTAACATTGGGTGCTGCAGGCGGGTACATGCACGACATCCTGACGGTGTGTGTAACATTGGGTGCTGCAGGCGGGTACATGCACGACATCCTGACGGTGTGTATAACATTGGGTGCTGCAGGCGGGTACATGCACGACATCCTGACGGTGTGTGTAACATTGGGTGCTGCAGGCGGGTACATGCACGACATCCTGACGGTGTATGTAACATTGGGTGCTGCAGGCGGGTACATGCACGACATCCTGACGGTGTGTGTAACATTGGGTGCTGCAGGCGGGTACATGCACGACATCCTGACGGTGTGTGTAACATTGGGTGCTGCAGGCGGGTACATGCACGACATCCTGACGGTGAGCGAGGTGTGCGGCGTGGCTCCGAGCGGCGCGGCGTCGGCGGAGTACTCGTGGTTCCCCGGCTACACCTGGACCGTCGCCGTCTGCGCCAACTGCATGGTGCACGTCGGCTGGAGGTATACTATATATATACCGCGCGATACTTTTAGTATAATACTTAATTATTTTTAGTTACCATCATTCATTCATCAAAACTTCAAGCATTCTGACAAAAATAATCTTCTTTCACTCGAAGACACATCACATTTTGAGTCCAGAAGCCTTAGTACGAGTTTCTTTTTAGTTTAAAGTAATCGTAACGAGTACGGGTTCGACACTGTGATTGGCCGGCTCTAATGAACGTACCAATCAGAGTACAGAGGCCTTAGTACGAGTTTTATTTACGGTTAAAGTGTTCGAAACGAGTACGCGTTCGGCGCTCTGATTGGTTGTTTCATTGGTGCCGGCCAATCACAGCGCCGAACGCGTACTCGTTACGTATACCTTAAACGTAAATGAAACTCGTACTACGCCGTCTCGTTTCGATTTCTTTAAACGAAAAAGAAACTCGTACTAAGGCCTCAGGAATCGGTTTAAAACTTTGATTGTGCGCGGTACGCGGCGCGCTTTTATGGAGATTTGGCTCTACGACTGATCTGCTAGGTGGTACAGCAATGTATACAGGCGCATACCGAGTGTGTTATTCAGAAGTGCACCGGGTTTCACCCGCTCTGCTCGGTACTTATTGATCGTAGCGGGATGTTTTATAGCATTTTTCGATAAATGCGCTATTTAACACAAAAATAATTATTCAAACTGGATCACTAGTTCCGGAGATTAGTGCGCTCAAACAAATAAACTTGTCAGCTTTACACATATGTAAGTACCTAATATGATAACACCCGCTTGCACCAGTTATGTTATGAATCCATAGTATGCAATTACTTTGATCGACCCGGGATTTGATACGTTTTCGTAGATCGTAGATTACTAAAAATCGGCCTTCGTACATCTGAACAATAATATGAAAAAATTAAAGTTGAATAAAGAAGTACCGCTTCCGCTTAGGTTCGAGGCCATGAAGCGCAGCCTGCGGCCGAGTGAGTTCTACGGCCTGTGTCGGAACTACGTGCAGCCCTACGACACGGACGAGGCGCGCGGGGAGCAGTGATACATATGTACTCCACAACTTGCCAAAATTATTGTACCACCATTGTTAAAGTATGGGAATATGCTTCTACTGCAGTATAAACTTGAAAAGTATTACTCCCTGTTTAGGTGCGATTTCTACAGATGATAATTATTTTTCAGTATTTTAAATAATTCCTCATGTTAGTGATAAATAAAATGTAAAATACGATGCAAATTGTCCATGTCTGTAGGTGTCATATAGATCAGTTCCCGTACATTTTACCTAAATACTTTGACACCGCTCCTCTTCAGTAATACATAACGTGTAATTTCGTATTCAAGAAATTGTCTAATTGAATTTGTCACATACTGTAGATATTGTGTAGATTGACAATCTGAAAGATTTGTTACTCGTTGTCTTGTCGACATACCGAATGTATTTGTAAAGAACTCGCAAGTAACTGGGTTATAGCATGGACTGAGTAAGTATAGACGACATGCGACATCACGTACGATTGTTACGGCGAGAGGAGATCACAGCATATACTTGTTCATATACTTATACCTTGTAGGATGAGTGTACATACTGTTACAATATACTAATCAGTTTTGTTATGTTTAGTTTAAGACTTATTACTCTCTATGTACTGGGTTTGTACTTGTAACGAATACTGACATATGAGTTAAAGCTAAGCGACTGATGTTTTTAGTTTCATTTTTATGATTCTTTCTAATACAATAAAGCTTATCATAACATAAGTTACATTAATATTTCTGGGAAACGGTAAATTTAAATAATTACAAAATTTTAATCTTTTTTATGTTAAAATTCCATAGATACGTTTAAACTTGTTATGTAATTAATGGTGTTTTCAATATCGTCAAATAGCCTTACCTACCAATATCAACAATCAAATGTAAATAAATGTCTTTTTTACAATGTAAGCAACATAAATATATTAAATTAAGAGAAATAAACGTGTTGAAAAAATCTTTGTCGTGGTTTATTTATTAGTACAGTTGGTTGGTTGGTGCTGCTATCAAATACAAGAGAAAAACAAAATATTTAACAATGGAAATAATTTAATGCATTTCTTTATAATAACGCAATAGGTACATGCGACCCACTTTGTAATGATTAATCAATTTGTATTACAATATTCTAAGTGCTACTATATTACTCATTTACCTAATATAAGAATTATTTTTCATTATATACACATACCAACATATACTTTGGAAATAATTATAATGTAATAAGTATCCCAGTTCAAGGACTCTCCAATCATCATTAACTCCATCTAAACCTATAGATCGTCACAAAGTCACTTTCATATTTACATTATGATTTAAGACATGAGTTGGCTGTAGTTGTAACTTGCTCTTTGTGCTGTAGGAGCCGCTGAGGGGTCGATGTTTGGATTACTGCTGTCGTAGTTTGTAGTTAAAGGTATTCTTGCTATTTACTCCTTAATAACAATATTGGAAAATTTTCCGTTACCAAATAATCGTCGTCAAAAATAACAGCAATATTCAGCTCGAATTCTGAAAAATGAAATACAAAGACTGTAGTGTTAGAGTACGGCAGGAGTGTAGTGTTAGAGTACGGCAGGGCCGTGTGTCGCGTGGGCCGTACCGATCTTGAAGTGCGGCGTGGTGGTGGTGGGGCACGTGAACAGGCGCGGCAGCACCATGTACAGCGGCACGTCGCGCGCGCGGCACACGTCGCCCTCGCCGATCTGGATGTTCTGGATCTCCGTCGCTGCATCACGAATACCCCATTTCATGATTTGCAAGCTTTATGTACAAAATGCTTTTTGTAATGAGAAAAGATTAAAACAGGTTGTTAATTTTTTTAACCGACTTCAAAAAAAGGAGGAGCTTCTTAATTCGACCGTATATTTGCTTGTTTTTATGTATGTTCGCCGATATATCCGTTATTTATGAACCGATTTTGATAATTATTTTTTTGTTGGAAAGGAATGGTCCCATGATAAGGAAATCAGGATCTGATGATAGAAGACCAGGGAAACCGAGGGGAACTTTTAAAAATTATAGGGTGACTAGGCCATTTGTTAATTTTTTTTTTTCATTAAGTATAAAATCCACTACAATCTGTTAAAGGTCTGGAGTCGATCTGATGATGGAGCCGAGAGCCACTCGAGGGAATCCTCGACGGTTAACAGTAGCTACGTTTGTGTTTGGGTTTGATTAATTTGTATTGATGAGAACTTTACACCTAGGTGGGGTGGGGTGTTATTGTCAATAAGGGTCTGATGATGAAGTAGTGAGATAGTTAGGGAACTCGTCAACGGTTACCATTAGCTATGTTGTGTTTGGGTTTGATAATTTGTATTGATGAGGACTTTACACCTAAATGGGATGTGATTGTCATTAAGGGTCTGATGATGAAGTAGTACGACAGTTAAGGGAACTCCTCGGCGGTTACCAGTAGCTACCTTGTGTTCGGGTTTGATAATTTGTATTGATGAGAACTTTACAGCTAGATGGGAGGGGGAGTGATGGTCATTAAAGGTCCAATGATGAAGTAGTATGATAGCTAATGGAACTCCTCAATGGTTAAGAGTAGCTTGAATAATTTGTATAGAGGAAAACTTTGCATCCATGTGGGTTGTGTATAATATTCAAAACTTCAACTACTAACTACGTATACTGTGCATTACGGCTGATGAACCGTGATAAACATACTGACCATCCTTAGAGTATCCCTCAGCACAGCCGCAGGTCTCGACGCGCACCAGCTGCAGCTCTATCGACCGGATCGGCACCGAGCACTCGTCCACTCGGATCTGTATAGTAGATAGAACACTAAGTACTGACTGAATGCTGTAGCAAATGGCATTCAGTGGAGGTAGCTCACCTTGCCAGTGAGCGGGCTGTCGAGTGCGCAGACGGTGGAATGTATCTCTGCGTAGACCTGGAAGTGAGGCATGGGCCGCGAGCCGCCCCCGGCCGCGCGGATACTGGCCGGAGTGATCTCACACCGAACCGGCTTCATCGGCGCCGGATCTTGCTGGGAGGAAACATATATACAAATTCAAATTGTGTAACGGGGCAATTCTATTTCGTTTGTGTCCGACGCACACGCACAACTCTAGTGGCAACACACCACCTCTCTATTCCACTTACCCCGCTTTCCCGCCACTGACTGCTTGACGCTTGCGTAGGAGCGTCACGACATGACATGACATAACGAGAACGAGCGTCCGGTATTTGTACCGCGAATATTTGAGTTTTGTATTGATATAGTAATTGTAATATAGTGCAACTTTCTTTTATTTTAGTTTTTATCCAATATACAACTTTAGGTACAGTCAATTGTGTGTTGAATTCTTTTCTCTTCTGAGAACCAAATACGCGACTAATACCATTAAAGTTGATTAAACTTGTTATTTTTGATATTATGATTATTGCAAGCTCAGCACAAAAAGAAATCTTCAACTGATATCATGACACAACTAATTTAAATTTTATTTAATTACCTGTCTGTATTGCACGAAAAACTGGCAACTAGCATTCACTGGCTTGTTCAGAAATGATCTCTTCATGTTACATTTGAGTGTGTACATAATATTCACAAACACTCCATGGTATGTTTCCAACAAGCCTGGGTACCCGGGCGACACAGCCTGGCGTGCGCGCAGTGGCATCTCAAATGGAATCTCTGTCACTCCTACGGGATCTTGCCCGGTGGCACCAGCTCAATGCATGTGTTGATAAGGTTTATAGGCTGAAATGTATTGTATAATGTATAAATTATGTATTCTTTCAAAAACCCATACATCTTTAGGTTCAAAAGATAGGTAAGTATATTTTGAAACAACATTATCAATAGATGATTGGATTAGAGCCCTACACTTTTTTATATATTATTGATGGGTCAACATTTGGCCACTCTCTCGCCAATTAAACTAATTTATTCAATTCAATAGTGTTATTCTCCTTGGTGGCATATATAAATATAATAATAAAATGTTCATGGATCAGAGCACTTGTAGGAATCAGACATAGGAACACTGGTTCACCAAAGTTTGCATTTAAATGAAGTGAGTAAAACTTTACCTTGATAGAGTTAGAGAATGCCTCAAAGATGCCCACATTTTTTGTGCTGAGCTGTAGATTGACAGACCCCTCCATGGTGAGAGACAAACCTTCATGTCTCACATCACTGTTACTTTCCACTACTACCACTCCCGCGATAGTCTCCTAAAACCATAACACCAGTGATATACATATACTTTGGGAACAATATGAAGTTACACTAAATGTTCCAATTTTTTAAAATATTCTGAGTTATAAACAAACGAAGCACATGTCAGCTAAGTAGATAAGAGTTATTCTTTTGAAATAAAGGAGTGTGAATGGATACTTACACCCTCATGATAAACTTTACTCGCTCTTTTTAAAATGATTGCTACTGAAACTGTTGACATCTTGCAAATTTTATATTTGAATTAAAGGCAAAAAAGGATATACTAAAAGTAGAAAGTATTTTTTATACTTCTTCGTTCATTCGACCCACTATCATAACTTTAAACTGCTGTTTTTGTTCACTATTAGACAATAATAACAAATCGAGTCTTTCCACTTTCATTTGACACAAACACAAGTTGATTTAAGAGTTTGACATGAGTTTTTCGATTTATTTACGTCAACAATGTCAAGTTAAACAATACGTTTTGTTTTACTAAGAATATACGTTTAGCTAGTTATACCTATTGGTTACACATCCAAACGAAAAACGGATTATTTGATATTCTTATGAATCAATCAATTTGTTTTGACAAAATAAATGAATAACTTCTTTATACTTTTTAATTAAATAATTTTATTGAAGCCGAAAAGAAATAAACCCAAAACCTATGAAGCTAAACGTGATTCTGCTTTATAGCGATTGGTTCATATTGTTTTCCAAGCTTAATGGATTGGTTATATTATTGAAGACGGACTGATTCGGTCGGTAAATACAATAATTCATTTTAGTTTCATTGGACAATATTTTTGACTATTCAGTAAATTCCGTTGGTTTGTGAAGAATATAATAGCACTTCGTTTTTGTTTGTAATGTTACATACAATTTTTTACCTTATGTGTAGGTAATGGAACACAAAATACAAATACCATAACGTTTTCTTAAAGTTGAGTTTGTGTAAACGTAATGTTTTACGTCACACTATTCTGACATGCGCACAACAGCGGGAAACTGATGTCAAATTAAATGAAATCAGTTGAAAAGTAATGTCCAAAGAGTATAATAAGTATAGGGGTAAAGAGTTGCCACTCGTCAAAATTTATGCCAATCAATTTGAAACGCCATCTGAAAATTGAATCCAAGTATATTTTTTTTTTACTAATGTCTACAGATAATCCTAAGTATAGCTAATGCCAATACTACCAACAATGCACCTTGCAGGTTGGTACATTGAAGGTAGTATTGGAATTAGCTATGTCTGGTAGCTGCAAAATCAAAGAAGTTATTAATTACAATATTACATTTATTTTACAGTAAATACAAATTAACATTTAAAAATTATCAGCTAGTAGGGAAATATCAGACGACAGATTTGTTCAAAGTATAATTCAAATTTTAGTTCTTTTTAATTTTATGTTTACAAATTTCAGATATAAATATGTCGTTCAAAATTTATTTAAATTAGTTATTTTTTTAATTATTGATCCCACAAAGAACTAAAATTAAAAATATTTACTGTTCACCGTTGTTTACACAGTACCTAACAGTAGTTAACAATCTAATGATATAAATTAACCGTAATACCTACACAAATGTAGTACATTTTACCATCGATTTGAATCGCTTACAGTATTTACAAAAACATAAAATTATTATACAATTTACATAACATAACATACATAACATCACGCCTTTTTATCCCCGAAGGAGTAGGCAGAGGTGCACATTTCGGCACTCAATGCCACTGTACAATGTAACACCCACTTTTCACTATTATGTTATAAGTCCCATGTAATAGGGGGTGAGCCTATTGCCATATACTGGGCACATTTCCAGACTACTCTACTACTACTGAGATTTTTTTAAAACCCAGTAATACTTTGCCCGACCCGGGTATCGAACCCGAGACCCCTTGCCCGGCAGTCGCACTTATTATTATAATGTCGAAAAATATAGTGCTTAAAAATAAGTCTCAGTCTGCCTCTCAGTCAGTCTCAGTTTTCTAGTACTTTTTTTGCTAGTTGCTAATAATGCCTGACTTAGTCGTTTCCTATATCTAGTTATATTACAGTCATTTTTACTAAACAACTACAGATTTTTCCTATCCTCAAATTTAATATTTTTATAACATTATAATGAAACAAAGTAATATTATTATTATAATAAATACAAATGAAAATGAAACAGGCAAAATAATGTGGGAAATCCCAATTCAGACAGACTTCACAGTTGCCCACAACAGACCGGACATAATATACACAAACAAAACATCCAACACCACATACCTCTTTGACATAACTGTACCATGTAACTACAACATAGGAGCAAAAGAAATTCAGTAAATACCACTTTTTAAAGACACAACTCAAGGCTAGACGCCTTGAAATATTGAAACGCATGTTAATTCTATAGTAATTGGAGCCACAGGAGTAGGTACTAGCCAAAAGCCTCAGCAGATACACAGACAAACTAGAAACATAAATAGACATTAGCCACCATTCACACAATAATCATTCTTAGCAAAGTACTAGGAGACACAGTTTTCGTCACATACATTCCAGATTCCGATCAATTACAACCATCTCAAGCGCAAACACCACATACCACTCAGTCAACCATCACATGAAGCTCACAATCCACATCTGGCACACAAACTACACCCAGTTAGTAGTCAAGTAGTCAGCAGAAGAGAAAGAAGGAGATTTAAAAGTCAAATTTAGAAGGGGCTATGAGCATCGTTTTTCCTGCGGGTTGCGGGAAGCGTTGCCCATTTTCACCAGGTCAAGCCCAAGAAGGAGAGACCTCTACATATATGAATACAAATAAGTAAAACCTAGAATAATGCTGCCAGTCTTTTGGGCACCCTACTCCACGATAGCGATGAAGAAGAATTTTTTGATTCCCCAAGGTAACATTTTTTTTAAAGTGTGAATATGTACCTATTTTAGTTTATTTATAATTTAATATTACTTTGTTGTGCGTAGGTACTTAAAATGTTGTTCTAATTATGATATATACATTAACTCGTCGAGTACCGGTTTTATAGACACAATTAAAGAACAATAGGTCGCGGTCACCGGTGACCGCTTGGTGTTTGACAGTTTAATACATAGAGCAACACGGGCCACCGGCGGACCATTAATACAAAGATAAAAATAGTTTTACAAAAATAATACGGCTTTAATATTTGCAGCGATCTATGGGTTTCTTGTTTCTTGAGACAACAATATACGTCTGAATGTTAGAACAATTCCAAATAGTACCTGAAAAAAAACAAAGATTATTTTTACATGCAGAAATATGTATTTTATTTATTTGTTTTCTTTTATTTATCTAAGGTAGGTGTACCTTACGTGATATTACTGATGTTACAAGAATAATATAGTATTTACCATCTCTAAATAGGTTTCAAGCACTGCTGGTATAGATCGGCACTTTATCCGGACATCGTAAGACTCGTAACTGCCGATAAAAAATTGCACTATTGATATTCTGCAATGATGATGCTGAAGTAATATCGATGCAATAGCAATTCCAAATATCACTGTAACAAATATACAAAAGAAAAAGTAGAAATTTATAAAAACTACATAGTTTGGTATCTCAATGAATCAAATAAAATGTATAAATAGGTTCAATAGCAAAAATCATAAACTTGTTGTAGGTTTTACCTTCAGCAACATTCTTCGTATTGATGTTCTTTATTATAAATAAGATATATACGCAAATTAAAGCGTTCCTTTGTAAAATCAAGTCCAATGAATAGACAAACAAACACAATGTACTTTTGTGATTTGTGATACACATGTATACAAAAGGTCCTTTATAGAAAACACAACACGCATCGCAGAACTTCCTTTTTTAGAAAAACAATCACAAAATCCCATCACAAATTATTAAATAATTTAAAATATTTTTGGCAAAAATTTTTACAATTTTGACATTTCAAATTTTTGTTTTTGTTTCTTTTCTTTATCAAGCAAAAAGTATACATATTATATGCCAGTATTAAAATAGTACAAACTACATGCATACTATTTTATAAAATAAGGAGATAATATAAAAAAGTATTTAACATCAATATCTAATTATTAACAATATTATTTTAATAGTTATTTATTATCTAAATAATTTGGAAAATTATTATTGTAATGTTTTAATATTTTTTTAGCCCCAGCGTTGCCGTAAAAAATAATAATTTGACAATCCATATAGTACAAGAGCCTATGAACCCCAGACCTTTGTTATTTACACATAACGGACTTAAAAAAAAGGAAAAGTTATATACCTATAAGGTTTTTTTATGTTCCTTCAGGGATGACTTCGTCGTTTTTTAACGTATTTTGATGATTCTTTTTTAACCGACTTTAAAAAAGGAGTATCAGTTTGATCTAAATGTATATACATATGTTACAGCCAAAGTGATTAATTTGATATTATTCGTAATGACTAGTAATTAATCAATTAATGACTAGCTATTATGAATAATATCTTCGAAAACTTGGATCAAATGGAAATGAACAGGGCTGACGTCTGCACAAAATTTTGAATTTATCGTCATGGGTGTCGTTTTCATGGTTTTCGAGGGTGATAAAGCCGATGGTCCTGTCAAATTGTAAATCCAAGATGGCGTGCGCACAACATTTTTCAATTTATCGTCATGGGTGTCATTTTCATGGTTTTCGAGTGTGATAAAACCGATGGTGTTGTCAAAATGTAAATCCAAGATGGCGTCTGCACAAAATTTTGAATATATCGTCATGGGTGTCGTTCTCATGGTTTTCGAGGGTGATAAAACCGATGGTGTTGTCAAAATGTAAATCCAAGATGGCGTCTGCACAAAATTTTGAATGTATCGTCATGGGTGTCGTTCTCATGGTTTTCGAGGGTGATAAAGCCGATGGTGCTGTCAAAATGCAAATCCAAGATGGCGGCTGTACGAAATTTTCAATTTATCGTCATGGGTGTCGTTTTCATGGTTTTCGAGGGTGATAAAGCCGATGGTGTTGTCAAAATGTAAATCCAAGATGGCGTCTGCACAAAATTTTGAATTTATTGTCATGAGTATCGTCTTCATGGTTTTCGAGGGTGGTAACAAAGATGGTGCTGTCAAAATGCAAATCCAAGATGGCGGCTGCACGGTATTTTCAATTTATCGTTATAGGTGTCGTTTTCATGGTTCTCGAGGGTGGTGAAAATGATGGTGCTGTCAAATTGTAAATCAGAGATGATGACTGAACGAAATAGAGTTAGTGCATTTATCGAGAAAGATAAAGTATGTGTGTGAATGTGTGTGTGTGTGTGTGTGTGTGTGATAGAGAGACAGAAAGAATGCGTGCGACCTATTTTATAGATTTTCTATGAAAATTGAGTATTTTCATATAATATTAGTTTTTATATAATAAAAACGGTGGCCTAGACCTGAGGTTCACAGGCTCTTAGGTTAATGCTTTTGGATGCAGAAACCTGACGCAGTCATTTCATAGAGTTTAGTTTGTCATCCATCACTTACCTAATATCTTTTTAATCTCTATTATTAGTAAAGAGGCTGTCATCTTTGATCGATTATGCCAGCATAACTGTCATTTGATCTAAGTTTAAGGAATTATTTTGTAAAAATTGCAATATAGTATTAAATAAATGTGTATAATGTTATTTTACTATTTCCAAAAAGTATTATTTTAAGCCTAAATTTTAAAATAATGTTGCAACCTTGCTTGGAACTGTGTGGCCACTGAAAATATTAGTTTTGACAACATTTAATTTCAGGTTCGAAAACTAGATGTAGTTGACGGTCCGATTTTTTAAGCTGTCAATGGCTCTAAGTGTGACGGCCCTGGTAATGTCCGCCAGTTGCGGTCGGCTACGAAACATCTTGATGTAATAAATTTACGATTTATATTTATTTTGTTTCGTTCCTAAACCTAAAATCGTGTTATTCTAGTTGCAAATATTGTGCATTTGTGTCGACGGTACAGAGTTCTTCTTTTACGGATTTACTCGAACAGGTGATGTCGATAAGGGCTCTTCGAATGGATCGATATCGGTGACTTTGAGTTGGGGCGAAAAATACGAAAAGTAAAGGGTTGTTATCATGGAGAAGTCCGCTCGGCCGCGGACAGCTCTCAATGAGTGTGTGAAGGTGGTGGTTCGATGTCGGCCGCTCTCGGAGAAGGAAAAGAATGAGGGCTACGAGGAGGTGAGTCCCTTGTAGTTGATATTGTTTATGTCGGGCATCAGGCTGCGCAGACGAGCTGCGTCGCGTTATCCTGCCTACAATACCAGCTAAAATATTATTATTTACTAGATATTGAGAAAAACAATCAATAAGTAGGTACTTACTTACATTGAAACAGTTTTTAGTGTGATTATTTTATCTCGGTAATTAAAATATGTTTTATATAAATGATACTTAAGCTAAAACTATTATTGTAAACACAATATTTATTTTACTCTTAGGTACAAAGTACACACTCAGTATACACTCTTCTAGTAAATGCAATATTTTATTTTTAATTTAGTCTGGAACCTGTATCTGTTTCTACCTCCTTATGTTTTTATAAAGTATGCACAGCTCATAAAATTTACCAAGAGTCAATATAGAACTTTATTGTTATTGAATATTACATGAAATTACATGAAAAAAAAATATTGAAACCAAATGAATTAACAGTTAACTGGTAATTTGTTTTAAATCTGATTATTATTAGATTTTAAATTTTGTACTTTAACAGTTATGTAATATAACTATAAAAATTGAATATAATATTATTATGGTAGTTTCAAATAAAATTTCCATTTTATGACATGAGAACTTTTTGCAACATTGATATTTATTTGTATTATATTAAATCTATACTTATAATAAATCTGTAGAGAGGTCAATTCTGTACATAAAATATATTTAAAAAATAACTATCAAGGGGTAGTTAGGGATCGCTACTGATGCCAAAAATGCAATCAGTAAAATTTTTGTCTGTCTGTCTGTCTGTCTGTATGTTCGTTATGGAAACAAAAACTACTCAATGGATTTTAACGAAATTTGGCACAATTATTCTTCATACTCTTGGGCAGGTTATAGTATACTTTTCATTACGCTACGATCAATAGGAGCAGAGCAGTGAAGGGAAATATTGGGAAAACGGGAGAAGTTACTCCATTTTTTAAGCTTCCGTCGCGTGTGCAGGCTTATTGGTTAAAGCTGCATAGAAATCATGTATGACGGAAATATTCTCCTTAAAATTATATTAATTCTAAAAATTATAGAGGTATATATAGGTAGATTATGGTCTGAAGTGATACATAGGCATTGTACCCCTGGGATCGCGGGCGAAGCCGCTGGCAGAAGCTAGTACATAATAAGAATAACATAGGTATTAATTTAACCCTTTGAATACTGTCGTTATAGACACAATTAAAGAACAATAGGTTGCGGTCACCGGTGTCCTCGTGGTGTTTGACAGTTTCATCAAATCACATCACCTATATTTATTCTTAAACTAATCATGAAATAAATATATTAAGGTTGACATTATTTCTAGATTCTCAATACAATTATTATTACTGGAAACAATTATTTTCAATTTAGAAACTACATTTTTGGATGGCTATTGATAATGTAGACTGCCTTAAATATTACTACACAAATACTAATCCCTAATTCTTTAGGTAGTAGTTAGTTCTTTATTTCAATTTACTTGCTTGTTGGTAAAGACTATACACTACCTATTATAGTAGAGCTGTAGCAGACACCATATCAAATGTGTCCTGGATACTGGAGGCTTGTACCTCCATATGACATAATTGTACAGCATAGACTACTGGGCTCTGATTCATGCCACTAGGTGCATGAATCATGCTCTCAAGAAAATAAGTGTTGTTTATAAACTATGTGATTGCATTTATATTGTCTGAAAGCATTTATTTACCTTGGCCATACAAATCTGAGATCAGAAATACTTGTTTATTTGTAGAAATATTTGTCTGAAATTCACCCTTGGTCTGCTGGAATGTAAGGCTGTATGTTACACAATGAATGATCCATTGTGTGCCCTGGTCATAAATAATGTAGTTATTAACAGTCAAGAAGTACAATCAGTTCTGAACATAGAAATGTTCAGAAATATATATCAATGTTTTTATTACTTGAATATTTATGGCATGACTGATAAATACATGGCAGTGGTATGCAAAAGAAACCAACAGAACATAGGTAAGTAATAGGTATCTAAGAATATTTTTCTCACTAAACATAAAATATAAACCACATAATTTATTACTTGGAAACATTATCCACACAAAGTTAAAAAGTATATCTGATAAAATGCATTATTATCAAATGAAAACACAAGATCATCGACATGATATAATTCGTAATTTACGTATTTGCTGTTACTAAACCAAATACCTATGTAGGTATTAGTAATAAATTAGGTAAGTTAACTAACCTTTGCTATAAATTTCATCTAGTTAGATCGAAAATATTTATTAATTACGCAACTGAAGAAAGGGTCAAAATTAATATAAAAGGATTTGCTCCAGTTATTCAGACGTAAAATACAATCTAGTAAGATAAAAAACACAATAACAAATACCTGCCTACATTATGTGAGGATCTGCCTAGGTAACCTGAGCTCATCTTCTTACTAGTTACACGTTACACATGCTGACTTTCTTACCATCTACAGAGATGAGTACCTACCTTTAAATACAAGAGTCATAATTATGCTTCGGCGATCTCGGACAGGTTCTACCAAGTAGGTTTAATTACACAAACGTGATCCTGACGCTAACTGACGAGTCTCTCAGACAAAGCAGTCCGCCTTGTTCCGCGAGCGCAGTCCTGCATCGTTAATTTAACACTAACACGACATTTGCGATGGTAATTTACTCTGTATTGCAAGTGTTTACGAATGCTTTAAACACTTACCCTCCTTATACGTCTTGTTTACCGGTGATGCCTTCTATCTGCCTAGCGTACTTATTCACGTTTTACTTCTGCATGAAAGTATTTGTTCATCAATCCCAGTGGATCCCTCGCGGCACCACTCGGCTATCGCATTTGCGATCAACAACCTTTAGTCTTTGTTTATCACGAGAAAGACGATTATGTCTTCCTAAAATTTAACGAATTCTGGGTAAGATTCACAGATTTCAAAGATACACAATGATTAAAATATGTACCTAAGGGAAAAAAATAAAAATTATAATATCCCCACAAACTTTCGCATTTACAAAATTAGTAGGATGTTAACTGAACTAATGATATGAAACTGTCTGTTGTTATCGTCATTGACCGGTACACTTCTACTATTGAGCTTGATTTTCCTCTTAAGAGGGGTTTGCCAGAATCATCATCCATGGAAGGAGGCTTGAGGATCAATAAGGCCTCTGAAATTTAAAGGATGCCTGTGCCTGCCAGTCTGACTCTCACTCATTGTTTTGATCCAGTCCTCTCTGGTGTCCCCATCCCCATCCAATACGCTGAGTAACATCAGCTCTTTCCTTATCTACTACTAAACACGCGGCTCTTCTCGTACTACTTATAAATTTATATATTTCCACCAACACAAATGCTGACCAAGTTCTCATACACTGGTCCCACCTACATAGTTAATATTTATACATAGAATAGATTTGATTTCTGTTACTTAGTTCTTCCCTTACATGGATTCGTTATTATTAGGACTCAGCGATAATGTATTAAATTATAGATAACTATTCTCAGTTTCGAAGAATATATTATCATATAAAGTTATTATAGATGTCATGTGTTATTTGAAACGTAAGTAGGTGAGCATAAATGCAGCAATGTCCATACGTGGTTGAGCCATATTAGGCGCAGATCATCTGGTACACGCGACCTTCTGCTGCCCGCAGCCACACGACAACGCACCTCGCTTTGTATCACACGCAATCAATCTCTGCCCAATTGGAATATTCACTTCGGACGATATTAAGCTTCATTTTAGGGTCACGGTACTTCAGGATCAGGAGGCAGATAGATTAAAAACTCTTAATTCAGTTCAAAATAGTGTTGAATTTTCTGAAGCAATACTAAAATCGGAAAAATAAGTTTTTAAGCGTTTGCTTATATGTTTGTATATACGAAAATATATGTTCATTAATTACAATATACAATAGTTACGGTGGATCGTGTATTCCATGCTCTCCCGAGTCGGTCCCTCATGCCCAACTTGTCTGAGGATCATTGTCACTCTTAGTTGCATCGGGACTTCTGGAGCGAGTGTTCTGCTTCCACCAGCGTCTGTCTATCGCGTCTCTTAGTACAGAATAGAATTTAGGGATCGATGAGTTTTTTACTTGAATTCCATGCAATAGTTACTAACTATGATAATAATGCTTCCAATGTTTGCATCCACTGCTGTATTTATGTACAAGTAGCAGAAGCAGCACAGCCTGCAGAGCGCAGACAAGTCGTCGTGTATTCTGTATTAAAATAAAATGCAGTAGATATCTCACGTTGGTAGGTAGGTATCGGTATTGTATTGAACTGAAACCATTGTCAGGTAACTGCCTGTATTTTTGGAGCAGTCCTCTTTTTCTGAATAGTGGACTCGACGGCGAGATGCCAACACGAGTTTTTGTTGCGGTGAAACCTAACCAGCGGTTAGCGGTTTCTGTCTACAATTTGGTCGCAAATATTTAACTGCTTTGAAATCGAGCATCGACCTTGGAAGTAAGAGATTAGTGATCATTTGGTCAGAAAAGTTGCGCAACTATTACTTTTAGGTATAATTAGACATGAAAATGTTTTTCATCGTCGTTTGTGGTGTCCTGCACTACTTAGTACTTAGTCAAACTTAAATAACTAGAAACCTATTTGCTGTCTGTTATGTATGATACAAACGACGAAAATATTTATATTAAATGCATAATTAATAGATATTCTAAATTTCTGGCTATGGAATCTCCTTTTTATTACCAAAATTAAAAACTTTATGCCAATGTTTAGTAAGATAATAATTAGCAAAAAATGTATAAGTAATAGATATCCCTTACTTAGATAATGTCATCATAATACAAGATGTACTCATCTCTTACATAATACATTATTTATTTATGAAAACTGATTCACAAAAATAAATACTGACACATGACCACTGAAACAAAATGAGCCTTTATTAGTGATGGTGTGATGTTGTTAATTGTAAGTGTGTCATTGATATTGAGTTTTAAATGTTTTGTTAAATTGTGTTTAGGTGAAGAAGAAACGCACAGAGCAGACTTGGTATGAGCGGCTGTCCACTAAGACTCCGGTGGACAAAAAAGCATGTGATGTCCGATTACAGGTGTGGACTGTGGCCGCGGGCTTCGTGGGGACTCGGTACTAACTCGTGCGGACGCTGACCAGCTACCAGCAGCGCACTAACACGGTGTGGTCGCAGCTACCGGCGCCAGTCGGTCGGAACTACGATCTTCTGTACTTACTGTGTACTAACTCCTGTAACTTTGATTTTGACAATAGTTGTGTCAGCAATTTCAAAGACATCATCTATAATCAAGGATTTGTTGTAGCGATTTGACTAACACACAGACAGGTGAAGGCGGTTGCAGTGGTTTCCTGGAACAAAGCCACGATTATATTGTATTCGAGCCATTCGATACTCTACTGAGGTGGTAGAACATTAATTGTCGTCTCGTCTTTAACAACACGGTGGTGGTTCTGGTGGTATCGGTGCTCACTTACTCATTTGTTCAAGGAAACGAGTCAATATACGAACAAATCAATACGTCAACGCTTTCATATAACACGCGGTAGGAAACATACACTAATGTACGGTATTCGACAGTTGCTGGTCAAAAACGCACGATCGGCTGCGTCACGTACCGATCAACTCACAATAGTTTGAAAGAAACTGCAAACTACAAAAGCTGTATCGATATTGATGGTGTGGTAGAGGTTGAGACAGCGAGGAGCACAGTCAAAGTTACGATAGATAATATTGTAGGCATAGCATTGACTACTGTCGATGTATGTATCTTTTGCAGTTTCTGAAAAGCAATAAGCAATCGGTGGTGGTGGAAGCTTGTTAAACATCTGTAGATACCCTAGTGTTGGCTTATAAAATGATTACGTAAAAAAATAACAAGCAACAAGTAATCGTAGATATAGGTGTACTACAGTCTACAGTTTTCTGCTACCACTAATCTTAAAATTGTATCTCATAACTTAGATTCATAGATGAGATAGAGTACCTGCATAGACAAGCACGTCCTTTGAGGTTATCAAGGTAATATTACTTAACTCCAATCCAACGAAGGCTGAACTCACATGGCTATTTTGGTGAAGTTGAACTTAACTATGCATAATATTATGTTACTTGCGAGATATAACAAAAATATATGAATATGCAGTGGTCCTTAGATCTGAGACATATTGTAATACGTATTTGTGGTGACAGGTGGTGAAGGTATGGCCGGAGCGCGGCGCCGTGCAGGTGTACAGCCCCAAGGGGCAGGACAAGATGTTCACGTACGACGCCGCCTACGACTGCACTGCCGACACTCAGACCATGTACGATGAAATGGTGAGTTGTATTCATAGTTCATACTTACACTTTATTATGGGTTAAGGATCACCTGCTGGTAAGCAATCTGCGCCGCCCATGAACATCCGCAACACCACAGGAGTTACAAGTAGGTATGGTCGGGGACTTTTGCGCCACTACTTACTTTTCTAAACTGCGCCTACTTGCAATTCTTGCAGACTTGCATTCATAATCAACATCATCATCATATCAGCTCAGGTTCATCCACTACTTGGTATTGGCCTCCCCTTTTTCTGTCATACTTCTCGATATTGTACATCCCTCATATCATCTGTTTCCAGCGACTTTAACGATATCGCCCATTCGACTAATTTTTGGACGAAGTAAAGTAGTGCATGTAAACTCATGAAATTATGATTTAGTGAGTACGGAGGCTACTGAACTTTGTCTATTTTCATCATAATTATGTAATTCAGTTGATGTGCGAAGTAGGAGACGGTAAGTGTGAACTAATCCCGCATTGATTAATAAAGCGTGTGTATAAAGTATTGGCTAATTTTGTTATCTTTGAGAGCTGCAAGGAGCAGATATTTTAGATTTCAGTAAGTAAACACAGAACGTTGTAATATTCGACTGATGCACAAAAAAGTCGTGGTTAATAGTGGAAGTGTGTCAGTTTCAGCGGAGCGTTGTATAATATATCGTAAACGTATGAATATCAGGAGAAATCCGCGAGTACGTCCGCGCGCGGCGCATTCCCTCGCGCTGTGACGTCGACACCGACACAATACTGCTACTGCTGTACGTAGGCACTCGTTAGTATTGCCACTACTGCCAAAAACATTACTTCCAGGAGCCAAAACCATAAGGGCCGCGGTCGATTCTTCTTTCTAAAAAAAAACATAATTTGTTATTTGTAAGAAACAGTTGACGTCGTTCCTTATTTCATACTTCAGTAATTCAGTATTAAGTGCCATCTTATCATAAATCGGTTGATTTGTAATCTAACATCAACCCCACGCTTTAGGGTGTATCAAGCACTGAGTGAGTGCACATTTTCATTAGCTAATCAATAAGTAGTAGATAGTGGAGAGAGTCACATTTATAGTACAAACACAAATTATTAGGTAACTAAGTACGAGCGAAACTAGCGATAACATCGTGGGCAGAGAGAGGTAAGTAAAGTCCTTACTCACAGTATGGCCTTCGTTATGCCAATTCACACAAAAACCTCATTGTACGCAAAAAGCCTTCAGGTACCAATCAGTCTGACTAATGGCATAAACCTTACCCATAAAAATTAGTTCTGTAGCTTTTTGTATTTTGGCGCGGACTCAACTCGATTTGTAATACTCATGTTTAAGTTTGATGTAGTACCTACTGCTGTCAATATAATACGACGCCGTCGACTTGTTGTCGAGTGTTGTCGTCGTCCAGGTAACGGTGGCGCGGCCGTCTGATTAGCCATGTGTTGCTAGTTCCAGACCCCGCGACTGCCGCAAGTGAAGATATCTTTTACGACATTTATTTATCAAGGACGGTCCCTTGACATTCTAATTACACCATTTTACCTGAACAAAGTAAATAAGTCTGGGTCGTTCTGCGCCTTGTGTTTACATCCATCGAGTTATGTCTAGACTAATTCAAGCTAGCTAAATAATGCAATACTGTCGGATCAAATCATGATCAACATCTTCAAGAAATATATTCCTATATACCCTTTACGGTAAATATTAGTTTCGCAATGGTAATGTGAATGGCAGCATGTACGGAAGTAGGTTCGCCAATGCTGAGGGCGGAAGGTGGCATCGTGCAGCTACCGCGAGCCTCCTACGTGCACTGTTGTACCACTTTCAATAGCTGGCATTGACAGCATCGAAGGTCCCTTCAATGTTACCATGTTTTCTTCAAAACGTTGTGATTCAACCACAGCGCGTAGGTGGCGGTATCTGCTGGAAGGGGCAACCTCGCCACGGCGCGGCAATGAAGTACGTTGCTGTGTGATGTGCTGATGTAAATAACAAGTTTCCGAATCCATCAACTTCACTTGTCATGTATACCGTATTTGCCCGCCGCGAGGATCAAATCTATATCCTGTACTGCTAGATTAATATGTTGGCGCTTTGCAATCAGTAACGGTTTAGTATTCTAAGTACTTACTTCACTAAACCGGCTCACATTATAAGCACTATTTGATTGGTTAGCCTCCAGCGAGACCAAAACTCATTTAATACTACAATAGAGATAAACAAAGCGCATTGTGGGAACAATTGCAACGAATATGACGCGTGTACCTGCATGGTGTATTGTGTAGATCTATATCGGAAATCAGTGATTCTACTAAGATAACATGATTCAATGAATGTCAACAACCGTAAATACAATAAAAAAAAACATAGTTCTGAAAAAGGTCGACATCAACTCGGCAATATGAAGGAATGACGTCATTGCGAGCTCTGAGCGCATCGCATCAAGGTAGTGAGGCACTGAGGCCTCGTAATGTGGAGCATTGGTTGGCAGCTGTGTCACTGTATCTACATCAAGACACCACTACGCTGTGGGGGGCTGCGGCTCCACGTTACATACGCCATAAGGGAGGAGATCTCCTGTTAGCTGTTTACATCTATGGTGACTCATCTAGAAAGAAAGAAATAAATAAACAAAGCGCATCTATGTTGCTTGAAACTAAAGGTACTAGGGATTGCTCCGTCTAAGCAAAAACTTTTATCACTTCTTACCTAACTGCGAACAAGTACTAAGCAACCGCAATAAAAAACAAAGTAAATAAATTGCACAAATGAGAATACTTACATATTTTGCACAAAAAACATTATTATATAAGACGATTATAGTTCGTTTGAATAGCGGCGTTGAGTAACCCCTTGATATATTTGTATTCCGTAACTACCAATGTAAGTATGACTGAGTGTCTCCACGACAGGACTAATTTAGCAAGTAAGTATTAATGAGGAAGGTACCTACGTCGGTACTCAGAGAAGGGGCTTTCATATGGATGTGCATGTGCCTGTCGTGGTCGTCCGAATCATCATTCTTAGTTAAATTGTATAGCTGTTGGTTTTCCAAGTCAATAAATAAATTCCGAAACAGTACATAAGTGCTGCTGTATTAAATAAGGGGTTGCCATAACTTCCACGCTTCTTGTGTTTGGTGGTCTATAAATAGGGGTTTTGTTATTATCATGTGTGACACAGGGTGGTTGTTCCAGGTTCGACCGCTGGTGGCGTCCGTTCTGGACGGGTTCAATGGCTGCGTGTTCGCGTACGGGCAGACCGGCACGGGCAAGACGCACACCATGGAGGGCACGGCCGACCACGAGGGCATCATCCCGCGCGCCTTCCGCCACATCTGGGCACACATCGAGAACAGCGCCTCGCCCGACGTCACGCACCTCGTCTCCTGTTCCTACATCGAACTCTACCTCGAGGACGTCAGGGACCTGCTCTCTAAGGACTGCAAGAAGTTGACCATCAGGGGACAGGTACCTACTTCATTTATGTTTCAAATGAGATGGAACATGTGTTCTAGGAAGCGTTACGTGTAATCAATATAGCCATTAAAGTACGCGTGCGCCCGCTGGTCGCGGACTGGCGGGAGTCGCAGGTCACTGTGTCTGTAGCTCAATACCACAACGATACCACAGTACTGTGACGTCACGAGCTCGCCCGTCACTGCCTCACTATGGACGTCGCTTCCTTCCATTCTCCACAGTAATGAGCTCCGTTGCACTTGGCATCACGCCAGAACGATAATATTTTATCACGAATCTTACGCGCATACGTCACTCAAAGTATAAAAGCTACTAAAACTTTTAATTTGGCAAATGTTTCCAATAGAAATAGCTATGAGCTCATTGCTCGCGCTCTGCACGAGCGTAACCTAGCTCTATAAATCGTCACGATGAACATCCGAAATGTTTACACTCGTATTATCATCACACAATACGCTATTGTAACATTTATTGCTGCTCGTGTAAGAAACAGCGTTTTTTAAAAAACAGGTGAAGTTAATTTCTTTATCTATCTCTCTTGAACTCTTCAGTAAGTTGTTGTCAGTTTTCTGTCACGTCATGACGTCACTTGCCCAAACAACTCAATCATACAACTAAAAACAAAATGGGTGAAACGACATTATTGTGTTGCCTGGCACATTGTGACACTAGCCAAGTAGTCGCCATTACGTAACGACTGCCATTAAACTTCATTTATCATGGTAATTTCCTGAAACATCACGAGAAAGTAATATCAACCTAGTGGTTGTCTGACCCGAGACAGAATCCCGGGAGTTGGAGGATCTCGTGATCTGGAATTGAACAGCCTGTGAGAAGACGATCTTAATAAAATGAATTAATTGTTAACCAAAGTAATGAAGGCACCATGACATGTGTGTGCATAGAACTGGGCTCTAATCACATGATGTAAGCGGGTCGCGACCATTAGCCAGTATGTCGCGATACCTTGACCATCGCGGTACTCCCAGCGAGCTGCTGTACCGAGCTGACCCACCGGGTCAAGGCACTTTAAAAAGAGTGTTTTAACTTGGTACTTAATTTAAGAGTAGCATCAACTGTAAATCTGCCACATGTCAATGATAGAGCTATTACATTGATCAGTAACTGCGATGCCGGTGTCTCGACTACTAAACATATCTTATTGCAATTTAATAAGGTTAAAATTAGACTAAGGAAACTAACCGATAGTGATACTGCTGTCGGTGGTCATCCATTGATTAATACTAAATAGTGTCTCTTGGGGAAATTACTTCCGCTGTACATGACAAAAGCATTTCTACAAATGTTTGCTTGGTGTCAATTGATTGTATAAATTCTCCAGTTTGACAAGATGGGTGCAGCCAATTGTCTATTTAAGTATTTATTTATACAGTTATGACGTTTAGAGCTTAGATCGTATGAGGCGAGAGTGCATTAAGAACAGGCTAGGTATAATTTATTACTTTCCTATATTGTGGTGATTCACTGTCTGAAAGTGATGTCTATTGTCTACCGTAAAAATTGGCGATTATTACTATTTTCCAGAAGAGTAAATTCAGTCCCTAAAGTCCTAATTATGATTAGTCTAGATTAGAGACAATCAGCTGTTAGTATTAGATCTAACAGCTGGTGTAGCTTGTGACTATATACCTACACGTAATGGTGTTAGCTTGCCGTGTACCGGCGTGGGGTGGGCAGAGTGGGCACTTCTCGCGTTCTCGCTACTCGCTAGTACAAGCGACACGTGTCGCGCGGCCGTCGCCTGGCGACGCGGCGTCCCCACACTGGCACGTGCTGTACAACCCGCACAATGATTGTCTGAGTCGACGCGTGTGGCGAAAACGAAAGTAGGTATTAAGATCAACAAACCTACAAATTAGCAAAAGGTTGCGTCTGTTGTGTACAATAATAGACTGGACTCACTGTATTTACATGCATTGTGTGCATTACTATAATTTTATTTTGAAACTTCTTGAGTCATCGCAACTAATGCGCTATACTGTATGTAGTAATATCATAATCTCACACACACACTTACTTGTATTTGTCCGAGTGTAAGAGCAATGCGATAGCTCACAACCTTGGTATGCGTCACTCGGATGCGTCCAAAAATGTCTGCTTTCTGCACTACATTGTGCAAACGATAAGTTTACGTAACACACCTCATTTAACAATGGGTACGCAACCACGTACTGTATTGTTTACGACGTAATTCCGTCAACAAATATGTTATTTACTCGATCCGCAATGCCACACAGACAGACACACCGAGAGCAAGGCCACTATTCTAGTTGCATTCGTTTGTAGGCAGATTGGTAGGCATTACATATTTTTGCATCATCAATGACATAGGTTCCTATTTAGATCCCCTTACTTACCAGCCATGAAGATACCCACGAGTTTACCTTCAATAAAGTCGATATTCGATTAGCCTGTTCACTATCTGCCGAAGTACTGAAAAACTGAATAGTTATGTTAACAAGTTGACCGGGCTGTGTTGGACTATTCATGAACACGGTAAGAGTTGTGCTCGGGACGTTTCACTTTCTTTATACGACCACTAGCCTGTCACACTTGTGCTTACCTAGGCTTGACATTCACTTGGCTGTCATGACTCATGCACCTGTTACAGATTTCAGGAACACCTGAATCATTTCCTTTTACAAATAAACCTGGCGACTTCCCACTATTGCGATAAACAAGTTTAGACATAGGTACGCGGTGTAATGCCATACTGGAACACAGTTCTGTGAGCTTTGGGTCAGGACGTAACACACAAGTGGTGACACATAGTTCAGAGCTAGTATTGTGGCAGGAGCTGAACGGGTTCTACATCCCGGAGATGACGTCCGTGGTGTGCAAGAGCGCGGCGGAGATGGTGCGCGTGATGCGCGCCGGCAACCGCAACCGCGCGGCCGGCCGCACCGACATGAACGAGCACTCCTCGCGCAGCCACGCCGTCTTCCTCGTCACCGTCGAGACCGCGCACCGCAAGACCAACAGGATACGGTCAGTACTCACCGCCCCACACCACCGTTACCCGCCGGGACACTAATAATATCATAGTGCAATCAGGCCAAACACCAAATTAACAGGAAAACTATGTGAAACTACATTCTATTTTAAATTCTTTACTGACTGTATCGGTAAAATGCAGGCAATTACTCATTGTTATTGCTTACTCATGTTTTTATTCGGTTCACTTAAAATATTTGGTTTACGGGAGACCTTCATGAAAACACCAGCGACTATATTATGAAATTCTCTTTAATCAAGGGCATGTGGCCATATAGCGGTGTCGTTGTCGTAGAATGACACGGTAAAGTTATTAATCTGCGTTGACGCCAGAAAAACAAAGCATTTGTATTACTTTATTTGTAAGCATTGGACTTTAAATAGTTAAATTACCCCGGAGGAATAAAATAGGGCTGGTCGAGTTCATTCGATGCATGTGGCATTGAATGAACTCGTCTAGACTAGAGTATTGATTAGCCGCGCGATGTATGCCGCGCGAATTATGAAGTTTGGAGAGGTGAGGATGGAAACTGAACAACAACGAACAACTTGTACTAAATTGGTTTACTCATCCAATGAAACGAGGCACGTTGACCCGCCTTTGTCCTCCGCCGGGTACAGATTAGACGAAAAACGAAAATATTCAATGCACTAAAAACGTTCATTTTGAAAGATTCTGGGCGCTCCGCCAATTCGCATTTATCTACAAATATACCTAAATGATAAAACATGAAAAATACCTAGGTATTGATTTTTACGAAGAACATACGTCGCTCACCATTTCAACTCCATGAGGCTATTGGAACTTTCTGTAATTTTTATGTCTTCAATATTTTTAAATGAATTTTTGACATACTACTTAAATAGATAGACAGATTCTTATGGAAGAACCCTTCAGCTTCCAGAGGTTCAAACCACCTCTGTACTGTATACTGTACCACTTTCTACTCATGGTAACTTCTGACATTTTTTTTTTAATTTGACAAAAAGACACACAGGCATTTGTGTTCCTCGTGGTATTGTTATGGCTTCTTTACTAAAACATGGTGTTTAAAAAACAATGTCGACTCTTTCATAGAGCGATGAAAGAGTACTTACCTACTTAGTGTAGATCAGCACGTAAATTGTGGCAATTACTGGTGTAATGAGCAGTCGTCACCAAGTGTACCACGACCCAGTGAGTGGGCGCCGGCAGGCGACGTGCTCCCGACCTATTGTGTGGCTCGCCTTCACGTGCTGAACACGCTCCAACAGAACGTACCAAATAAATAAGTTACACATCGATCAAATGTATTCTGTAAGTGTCCGAGCTCCTCCGTATGAGATGAATTACTCGATATACGACACGTACGAGAGCAGTGACGATGAAGACTTCAGGTAAGGCCACATCTATTTGTCTATTCAATACAGTTAGCATCTATAGGTGCATGCTAGTCACAGGTTCGTGGTGCCGCCTCCACGTGTTTTTTTATTATTATAGCATACTTAAGCCGGTAAACGAGCAGACGGATCACCTGATGGTAAGCAATCGGCGCCGCCCATGGACACCCGAAGCACCAAGGCGTTACAAGTGCGTTATCGGCCTTTTGGAATTGGGAATTTGAGGATTGTTGAGGATATGGGGATTCGGGAGACTAGGGAGACTATGGAGGGGGGTAATTGGGCATCCGGTAACCTCACTCACACGACGAAACCCAACGCAAGCGTTGATTCACGTTGGTTTTCTGTGAGGCCGTGGTATCACTCCGGTCGAGCCGGCCCATTCGTGCCGAAGCATGACTCTCCCAAACTTAAAATAAATAAACATATTGCAAATATCCGTAAAGTAGATGCAGTCGCATGTCCACAACCACGTGCCAATAATTATGTAAACATACAAAATGTTATTGTTTGTCAAACAAACAAACTTCCCTTCGTATCATTGCCTACAATCATCCTTCAAATTCGTTCCTCACGAGAGTATCGAGCGCCCCGAGCCGCGCGTCGTATCTAAGCACGGCCACTAATTCATTCCGTAACAACGCTAATGTATGCACGACAGGGAAGTCACGACACGCCACGTGCGCGCCGGCAAAAACTTAATGCTCACTGTCGTCCGTGAAACATTTGTGATTGTGCTGCAGCTACTAATACAGCCTAGTAATTGAATGTATCGACGCCGACGGTGGAGGGCTGCACCCAGCTACTGAGAAAATCATAACAATTCTAACATGTTGCATAACACGCGGGCCTTCTGAAGCCTGTCCTGAAATGATAAGCGCGTCAAATACGCGCGCGTGCCTTGCATTACATAACAATAATACAGCCACTAGTTGTACTACTGCCAGTCGCAACGCAGACAATGAACACAGCAAGGCTGCAGCAGTGCACGCCTGCACGGTGCGCCCCACGTCCCCACCACTCGCCGCGCTCGGGGAAACATTACACTGTTACAGCTAATGTAACAAGATGACACTTACAGACGTACTATTGTGACCATTCTAATAATGGGCTGCCTTCTGCCTTCCAACACACAGTTTGAAATAGTGGAAACTTTTTGGAATAAATATCAGAACCTTCGAAATTACCCTGATGTCCATTTGTCCATTAATTAGTGCCGAGCGAGACTCTGAATGTCCTCAGACTTAACAGTAGAATTGAATAGACTGATGTTGCGATACATTTATTTAGTGGTTATGAATATTATGATGCAACGTGCATAGTAGTAGACGTCGCTAAGTCATACGCGACGTGTTGCTGAATAACGCTGCGAAGCCTAGTGGCGCGGTACTGGCGGCGGATTAACCTCGTTTCCAGTAAAAATGCGATGGAAACGTGCAAGTGTAACTTGTGCGTATTGATACAAGTTGGCTCAGCAATGGGACTCGGCGCCGCATCGTATCGGTTGGATACAGTCATTAACGCAGGCAGGAGTAGATCTGTAGACTGCGTGATTTTCGATTTTTCAACGTGTGGTGGAGATCCAGCACATCCACCAATCGTGAGTGGCTCTAGACGTCTTGGCTGCTATTTCCTTATTTTTGTTTTACAAATGATCACGATATCACAATCTTAAATATTTGATGATTTCTTAGAATGCGTGTATTTGGCGTGCTGTTACTACGCTTGTTTATTATTCATTTTCAATCAATATTTCATTGCTTCAATAGAAATTATATGTTCGTTTAGTGATTATACTACCGGCTTTGTTCAGTAACAATAATGAGGTGTGAACAATAGATACACCTACGTCCTGAGATATGTATTCGTCATCAGGAGCATAGTCTAACTCGTGTTCTACTAGTATTCCTATCCAAATGTTGTACTGTAGTCGGACTCAATGAGCCTCGATATACCCTGTAGTGGGTGGTGGAGCGCGTCGGCGGCTGTGTGTCATCTGTTCTTTACTTATGAAGTCCTGGTACCTACAGTGCGTACCAAGAATGGAGATATTGGCTGTAAACTGAGTGACTAACTAACACATTTCATGTGTAGGCATTGAGTCACTGACTCCTAAGCTGCACGAGATGATCTAATTACAATAATTTATTGCTAAAAATACTCGTCGGGCTGCATTATAACACCAAAAGCATCCAAATACTTGGTACCTTTGTATGAGTGTACGCAGTAAATGGACACAAATACAATAAATACTTAATTTGACAGGTCTCAAGTCAATAGATAGCGAATCTAATCTCAAGTCTTGTACTGATACTTGCTAGTGTTCAACACACAGAGTATCTTTATGGTCGCAAGTTGAAGTGTTTCGCTTACAAAATATAGATTCGCACTCCAATCCTCCAGCCGTTATCGCAGCGATAACACGTTGATTACATTATAATAAGTCGCGTGTATCGCTCAAGTGAATTCAAATAGGTTTGTTGTTCTACTCAAGTAAACCATGCCCTGTCCGTGATGCCTCACGTCCATGTCTCAGTCTACAGTCTGCACCACGCACAGGTGTAGAGGACTAGCCAACAGGCGGAATGTTTGTCGGCGATTTACAAGCGGAGGTGTAGCGGTGCCGCGGTCTTTGTAACCTTGTTTTATTCGATACACTGCACATTTGGAACGAATGCTGTCGTTTTTACGATTTTCATTGTTATATGATACAGTACTTCGATGCTTATTGAACTCTCTGTAGTTGCAGTACCTACGGTTAGTTCTTGCATCGCGCCATATTCATAAACACTGACTATCACTAGCGCAGCGTTTCCCTCTTTGTATATCACACTACTAGTGTGTGCGATTTGCGAGTAATTGTAATTTGCGTGTTTCTACAATTACAGCAGTAATGACTGGCAGTAGCGAGCCAAGGACGAATTTCGTGTGTTTGTACTTATTGCGGAGGTGATGCATTACCCGAACCACTGCTACTCGGCTCACGCGCGCGCTCTGTGATACAAATCACGGTCTATAAATGATGTATGGAGAATAACAGAACTGTTCTAAGTAATCTGCGGTGACGCAGGCGCTGCTCGTTGCTTTTGCACTTACAAAATAGCACATTCGTTTACTTCGTATTCATAAAACCCATTTAGTCAGTAGTCCAAGACTTTGACATTGTATGCAAGTTGCAGAGGTAATATCTGAAACCTTGTAACCCTTCTAGACTTCAGTCACAGTCACGTATTTGTCATCTGTGTCATGTTTGTCACAACTCTTTTCCTTCGTTTATTTTGTTTTTAGTCAAACATTAAACTAGGAACGCAAACAGTCCTCCATATATGGGTAAAACTGAGTATCTTAGGAACCTTGTTATTATGCCTATCTTCTGGCCTTTTCCCAACTAGGTTGAGGTCGAGAGCGAGTGTTACTCAGATTGGGCCGAATATTGGTGCGTTACGTACAAGCTGCCAAGTCTTGCAACCCTCACCCTTATTAAATAATACCAGATCATATTGCGTGAGATGCGCTCCTGATTCCTGAGCTTTCTACGTCTTGCTCTTTCAAAGCCATCCACTAGTCGCGTAAAACCTAACGGGTAACCGGGGCTCCGGCTCGACGTGCAGGAGGAGTAACGGGGTGGTTTTTAGTCAGTAAGAGTCTGACACTCCCTCCCGCCTCACCCAGGCGGGAACAGTCATTAAATGATTTTCCCCCCTTAAAAAAAAGCCATCCACTAACCGCGACGGTTTCTCCCCGCTGTAGTCTATACTTGCCTACTATTTTACTACAAGTCCTCATACATTTATATGTTTATTAAGTACTTAAGTTATGGTCAGTGGGTTGGTGACGATACCGCGGTACAATCGAAGTAAATACATGATGTAACGCGCGATACAATGCTTGTACCTATTGAACAAGGTTGTATTTGTTTAGGCAACATTAAACATCACACGCGCCTTCGTTTACACAGTTCTGTAAGTGTTCGGACATATGTAAACATTACATATACGACCGTGTATTATGTAAGCCAACATACTATGTGCTTGAAGTTGACGTTGTATGAGTAGAGCAGTAGGTCAATTAACAAGCTGTTGCATAGCTTTCAGCTGTTGTATTTTGGTGACATTAAATTGTCTCTGTGATAACAATAACAGTACTATTCATCGACTACTGAACCGACCTCATCGTGTCTCTCTCTACATATATTCTTAACCCTGATGATTAACCGTCTTCTTTGACGGGACGACTATACGGCAGTGGCAATACAAGTTGAGACAATTTCCTGGCCAGCAGTCACTGTATGGCCCAGTTTGGCGACGCAATGTATTGTGTACATCGTCTCATTACTCACACTGCACACCAGCCTCCGCTTATCAGTTATTGACCTCAATATTATGCTACTTATTACGATTCAGGTAGCGATTACACTCCTTTATATTATAGACTTCTTTGCTACTACCATAGCCCTCCTACTGTACACGATACACAATCCTGTATGTGAATGGGAGGATCACAGGAACGTGTTCCTTGTAATACGAAGCACTCATTACACAAGTAAGTCAGTCCGTGGTCAGTTCTTGTGTCTCCTCTCTGACTTGTATAGTTTATCAGCCAAAAATATCTTTCTACAGAATAGTTGTATTTGAGCTCGTTGTTTGCAATCGATAAACTCAAGGTTACACCTAACAAAGTAATCATCTACGTGTAATTTAATTTGATCGTTTTTATCGAGTAAGTTGTTCAACTGCGGACAAGGCGATACTTAGTCATGTCTAGATGGTATCACGCCAGATGTTCCGACGCTTGCCCCTGCCGCGCCGGGCCGCCGTCGGTGCTCGCTGCCCACTCTAAGAAATGTAATGTGCTTGTAGCCTAATGTTCAACGGAACTACTTTATTTAGATTACCTTTATAAATGTTATATTTTTATGTTTTATCATTTCCGTGTTACGAGTACTGCCCTCGCTTTGCAGTTCGCAGCCTTTACAACGTGCATACTGTAAATACTACTTATGAGAATTATTTAGTACATTCACGATGTCTTCATTGACTAGCCCGATCAAATCATAATTAATTATTATTTACATATACTATTGAATCGGATAAGCACCTAGGTAATGGATTTTATGCACGCCACCAGGTCGTAGGTATTGTATTAGTAGATAGTATGCTCATTGCTCAGTATGCGCCTACATATCGTAATGTGAATGAAGCTGTGAGTACGACGAGCTCGTCGTGTGCAGGCACGCAGTGGCAGACACGCGGTGGGTGGACAGCATTGCGGTCGTAGGCAGACCTGTGAGGCAGATATCGTAATCGTAACACTAATCACTCATAGTATCACATGGAGCCACTGTGACGAGCTTGAAGGGCGCACAAGTTAATGCTTAGATACGACTATTCAGTTAGCCAGCAAACTAGGACATACAAATCTGGCTGCATATATCTACGCTCTACTGGAAGGTCACAGTATTTAGTGTATTTAATCAGGAAGTGACGACAAATAAACATGTCTTTTTGTTACATTTTTTCCTTGAATAGCAAAATAGAGAAATCTATTTGTAAAATACGACACGGTGACAGCCACTGCTTCAGGCGCTGTGATACATTGCGAGTGTCAGGCAGCCAGATGCGTTGCGTTGTAGTAAGTTACTATTTGTTAGCATAACAATAAACATTTCACCAGTTATAACCCCATGTAATGGGTGACCCTGACACAATTTTGTGCACCTTTACCCGAGCCGGGATTTTAACGTCCTACCACCGAGTATGTCACGGCATGCTATATAGTGCACTGTCTTGTTTGTTCACGTGTGCCTGGCAGAGAGACCAGCCAGGCACTGCTGTATCAATGGAGTAGCAAATACTATAATATACTACGATCCACCAATAACACATGACACAAGTGCTCGGCGTGTGGTGACCTCAATCTCATTAAAATTAAATAAAAATGAGGCTAACTCGAGTAGGACGACTACGTCTTCTTTCTATACTGGTCTTGATAGACCATCAACCCTTTTGTATGCACTAAGTTTGTAAAAATAATGCCCAACTGGAACTTCTTACAGCCTCCATAAAGCCTTGTTAGAAAGTAGGATAAAACAACACAGGACAAACAGTCGTATTTTGGTAATACACCTCAAAAAGTTAATAAATATTACAATAACAGTGAACTATTGTCTTTTTAACAGTCTGTAATTGGACCCGAGACAATTAAAACTCTGCCTCCAATAATTACAACCTGCACAACTTGAGCTCGAACAAAGTCTTAGCAAACAGACATTAACCAGTTTGAAGGTTTCCTACTTTACAACGAGGAAATACAATAAATAAGTTCTAACTATCTGCAACGATGTTATGTGATGTCCGTGCTATGTACATACCTAGTCGTCACGTTTGTTAGCAGTGTGCACTTGTTATATTCACATATTTACTGATTATTTAAAGTGCAAAGATTAGTATACATTTATAATATCATACTAGATGGTACCGTGGAAAATCGTGTCCAGGTGTCAGGGTACTCATTCACAAATGATCCTGTCCGCAATACGCACTGAGTCATCAGCTACCGACCGCTCTGTCGGTTCACACGCAGCGAGCACCCACCATACAGTTACGTACGCGTTGTTTGGGAGCCTACATGATATCAATTGAGTTCTGATGCATATCATTTATTATTCAACTATATCCTTACTTCCTTACTAATATTATAAATCGGAAAGTGAGTTTGTTTGTTTGTTCCGTTTTCACGCCGTAACTACTAAACCGATTGCTTTGAATTTTTGCAGACGTAAAGTTAGAAGTCCGGATTAAATAATAGGTACTTTTTATCCCGGAAAAATATGATATTCCCGAGGGAAAACAAAAGTATTGTTATAGATGATGCTGTGTATAATATGTCACATAGGCTACTTTTTATCCTTTTGTGACGCGAGCGAAGCCGCGGGTAAAAGCTAGTACTAGATATGTTTGAGTCATCATTACTAAAATGTTGTGTGCTCTATACTAGCAGCTTCTGTATTGGAACGGCGGCGCTGGGTTTGAAGTTACTACTAGAAATCATAGTACTAGTTGTAACGATGCCTTGAAACTGATTGTGTATTAGCGAATACATAATTTGCCAATTAAAGAGTTGGCAATCTCCTGAAAAACTAGTGACACTGTCTGACCTCTGCTGGAGGGAATGTCATTGTGGCCGAGCTCAGCTGTACGGTACAAACAAAAGAAATAAATCGATTTTCCTTCAAGGTCCATTTTCTAATCTTATCAGAACAACTAATCAACAAAGACAAGCTTAGCAAATTATAGTAGTACAGTGTAGTAGGTACTGATTATTTATATTGTGTTTATTATCATGCATTATTATAGATACTATTTAAATTAAACTTGATGCTTCATCGTCGAGATCGAGTGCAAAACTTACACATCCTGTATATATACTAGCGGACCCGACAGACGTTGTCCTGCATATCCACTTGAATGTATAAACAAAAATTCATTCAAATTAGTTCAGCCGGTTAGGATGACTAACCTAGACAACGACTGCAGTGCCATCTGCCGGGCTGAATTGTGAATCTAAACCATTCCCAGATCCCCTTGAACACACACAAAAAATTCATCAAAATCGGTCCAGTCGTTTGAGAGAAGTTCAGTGACATACACACTCACAGAAGAATTATATAATATAAAGATATACACATCAAGTATGTGTACTTTGTTCGTTCATTCAAGTATGCCTTAATATGAACTTAAGTAATGTCCATAGTACTACATTGTCATGTGATTGTATACCGAGCGGAAGCAGTCAATAGAAGAGCGGCGAGCAGCTCTCCACTCCCTCGCATCACGTCCGACGTGACACCCGGTGCATTGGCCTCGATCAAAGACATTACACCGATGTAGGGACTCATCTACTTTCATTTACACATTACTGCACACTAACAATCTTCTACCAAAGATATCTTTATTATAAACAACAACAACTTTAAACTGTATTTCTTCAAATCCAAGTTCCAGTTTCTATTGTGATCGGTCTGTTATTTAACCCCTGTTTGTGAATGACTCCACAAGCATGCAAAAAGTCCTCCATTTTAAGAATTAGCAGCAAGACTGCAAAAGAAATTCTTGTACAAGATAATGGAACTCTTACAACTTATGATTGACCATTGTATATTTGAGCTCAGAAGATCCTTATTTGTGATGTTACGTTTGCAGGGTGGGTAAACTGAACCTGGTGGACCTGGCGGGCAGCGAGCGCCAGCGCAAGACTGGCGCGTCCGCCGAGCGGCTGAGGGAGGCCTCGCGCATCAACCAGGCGCTGTCCTCGCTCGGGAACGTCATCTCCGCGCTCGCTGAGAACAGCCCGCACGTGCCCTACAGGTGCGTGCAAACACTAATAGTAACCGTTTGAAGACCGACGTCCGACCAACTAAGTTCTGAGGGATTATTAAGTGGAAACTATTTTATTTTCTTCTTCTCTATATAATAATATCTTCTGATTTATTTCGTTGCCGAATATCCTTGTGACGCGCCGGGCTCCAGTGTTCTGGTGTATTCGTGACTTGTACTGTAGATTCTGTGGCACAAAAGTTGCGGTTATAGAAGGTTGTGACAGGCTCGTCCCGTTTTAAAACGTTTGTATTGAGATGTCGCCATGTGTTGCAGAGACTCGAAGCTGACCCGTATCCTGCAGGACTCGCTGGGCGGGAACAGTAAGACCATCATGATCGCCAACATCGGGCCCGCCTCGTACAACTACGACGAGACCATCACTACACTGCGGTACGCGCACAGGGCTAAAGGTAAAAAATCAAAATTAATAAAGGATAAGAGCACGTCTCTAGTCTAACATCGTCCGTTTATAGGATACTTAAGGGTTGTGCTGTGTTTTCTCTGCTGTTAAATTCTGATTAATCGTCCGTGACCGTGTCGTGTATCCGCAGCGATAAAGAACAAGCCGGTCCGCAACGAGGACCCGAAGGACGCCAAGCTGCGCGAGTACCAGGCCGAGATAGAGCGCCTGCGCGCGCTCATCTCGCAGCGCCGGACCATCGACCGCCGCCCCAGGAAACTGGCCAAGCCGCGCGCGCTGCCCGCGCCCGAGGACAACTGTACGTCTTACTCTGTGCTTACTACTTACGTAAATGTTATGTCGTGATTTCAACTGAAGAATTATTGACGTTGTTATTTTCTTACTTCCAGCTGAAGAGGAGACAGTCAGTATAGAAAACGAAAACATACTGGCCGAGTCTACGATAGAACAAGAGAAGAAGCAGATGGAGGAGCTAGAGCAACAGATCCGTGCGCTGGAGGAGCGGTTGGTGCAGGGAGGCGGAGGGAAGGACCTCATCAATAACCTCAACGAGGCACAGCTCATACTCGAGCAGAGGAACAGTGAGATCACAGAGCGCAAGAAGAGGGAGGTCGAGATGCAGCAGAAGATAGAGCTGGAGGAGGAGACCACCGCCATCGTCACCAACACCTTCGCCACGCTGCAGCAGGAGGTCGACCACAAGACGCAGCGGTATGTATGTGTGTGTGTGTGTAATATAAAACATTTCCCAAAATGTTTCCTTTTTTATATCTTTATTAATTTAGAGTCTTTTGATCACATAAAGACCATGCCAGACTCATCATTCCCTAAACAGATTTAACAAAACTTACATTAACTTAAATTTTACTCCTATTTTATATAAAAAGATAGCTGCTGGATAAAGGTTGTGACAATATACGAAAAACGCCAACATTTAATAACCGTCCGACCAGAATCAGACCCGAGCATACGGCGCCGAGCGTTCCGCGCGCGCCTCGAAGAGTTATAAAGCCACCACGGATGGGGTCCAACAGGGCTGATGGCGATATGGAGCTGCGGAGAACTTAATAGGTTAACGGGGCTCCGGCTCGAATGGCAGGACTAGGCACGGGGTGGTTTTTAGTCAGTAAGAGTCTGACACTCCCTTCTGTTTCACTCAGGCGGGAGAAGTAATTCGATGATTTGATACATATTTATTTTCGGGCGAGAGACCCACAAATAGAAAAGTTATTTCGAATGAAAGGGAACATTTCGGGAAAATTTTTCATTTCAATAAAAAAATGATATGTGGCCAACTGTGACATTCTCGACAAAGGGTTTTGGAATAAAAGGTAGCTATTGACCTTCCAAATCCGTAACGCAGTGTGTGTGTGCAGGCTGAAGAAGTGCCTGGCGCGGTACGGCGGCCTGCGCGAGGAGATGGTGGAGCAGCGCGAGGCGCACGACGCCGAGCGCCGCGACCTGGAGGCGCTGCAGGCCGCGCTCATCGCCGAGCTGCGCCGCGGCTGCTCGTCGCAGACAGCTTCGTGCCGCTGGCCGGCCGCCCCGCCGTGCTGCGCGCGCGGTACAACGACGACACCGACGCCTGGGAGCTGCGCGACCACGCGTGCGTGCCGCTACCTCGCTACATGCTTTTTCTTAACTTGTTTCTTTGTTACAAGGAGAAAGGAATCTAACAAACAACCTTTTTTTGCTTAACTCAATCTATGAATATGGTACTCAGAAAGCCTATCTAAATGTATCGCGTGTGTACAGGGGTGTGGAGCCACTAACGACGCGGCCCGGGGCCGCCGGGCGCCGCCGGGGCTCCAGCGCCCGGCCCGCTCGGCGCCGCGCTGAAAACGTGTTGGACCTGACGCCCATCCCCCTGCCGCCCACCACGCGCCTGTACTCCGCGCCGCGGCTGGCGCCCAGCCTGGCGCCCGCGCTGGCGCCGACGGGCCGCAAGGAGGAAGTGGAAGCGGTGGCCAGTGTAGCGACGGTGGCGGTGGCGGGGCGCAAGTCGGCGCGCGCGCGGCCCAGCACGGCGCACCACCGCCTGGGCACGGCCGGCGTGCGGTAGTGCGGGCCGCCCCGTGCCGCCCCGTGCCGCCCGTACCGCCCGTACCGCCCCGTGCCGCCCCGTGCTGCCCGACGTCGTGTCTCCGTGTACGTTCCGGTCGCGTCCGGCGTCTCCGCGGAAATGTGTCGAAGTACATTTCTCGTGCGAGAGCGACGCGTACTCGCGATGCCCCCGCCCTTGTTGTAAGTTTTATACAATCCGATCGATCGAACCCGGAAGCTTGCCACGCTTGCCGCCCGCCTGCGACGTCGACGTTTTATTTTAGAGAATATATCGGGCGACCGTCGCCGCAGTGCTCGCGGTCGTCCAGTGTCCCAGTCTCCTAGTGCAGTGAGCTCCCAGTCACAAAGTCCAGTAGCGAGGCGCCGGAGGACGTCGCGGCGACGCGAGCCTCATCATGATCTCACTTCATTTCCCAGTATTTAAAAGACAAAGATTCCTTTGTATATTAATTTGAATACATAAAGTGTATGTATTGTATAGGTCGTAGCTACAAGTTCACGCTCGAGTCAGGCGAGACGTCGCTGCGCACTGCTGCTCGTATTGTTTAGGTTGTTGTTTGTTTTATAAGATTTTATTTTACCATTGTTGTCTCTTTTGTTTTTGTAAAATTTTATTTTGTGCCTCGGTACCAACACAATGTTCGAGCTAGTGATATTAGATAGTTTACATTTACAACGATTGAAATTATGCCGTGGAGCGCGTTGTTGGTATTGTCGATCCGTATTATAATAATGTATTATTTTGAAGGCTTTGTACATAGAGGGGATGTGATGCAGTACTGTATGTTCAAACAAGTTACCAAAGAGTCCGCCGTCCTCAGTCGGGCAGAGCTCCGCTCGGTGCTCTCGTTTCATTACGTGTAAATTTATTTGTGGATATGTTGATAATTATAATTTCTAAACAGTTTCTAGTCAATGATGATGAATTATATTCTTGTATACAAAATATTGTAAATAAAGGTATTTTAGGTATTTGAAAAGTATCCTTAATATCGAGTATGAAATAGAGTAAGTAGGTTGCTAATTAGCGCACAATACTTTTTGAATACCATTTGTAACTACTGCCATTGTCATACTGAGCGCATATCGGCAGTGCCAGTAGTGGTCACTGGTGGCCAGTAGTGGTCATTAGTGGTCAATAGTGATCACTCAGTGGTGGCTATTATTGACCACTACCTGCCAATAGTGGTCAGTAGTAGTCATTACTGGCCAGTGGTGGTAACCAGTGGTCAGTGGTGGCCAGGCCGGTCGAGTGGCGCCAGACAGTGGCAGAGTGCGAGTGCGTGGATCTCACAAGACACGCTCACGTCGCCCACATTTCTACTTGCTTTAAATTTAATTAAATCATTTTATATTTTGGGATTGTGAGTTATTTATAATGTATTCCTTATATTGGCTTTATATTTAATTTAATTTAAATTATGAATGAAGAGGATCATGTATTGTGATATTTATAATTTGGTAACTGCTAGTCAGTCGTGCCGCATACACGCTTATACTCACTAATGAAATAAACATTTTAAATTGTATGTCTTTATTTATTTGTACTTTACCCTGAACACTTTACAGCATGGCCATGGCCTATTGCACTATTGACCACACGACTGTTGATGACGATGGTGACAGACTGTAGTGCAATGTCTCGCGGGTTCGATTCTCGCGCACAAAATTATTTGTTTGATCCACAAATATTTTTCCAGGTCTGGGTATGACAATCACAGAAATAAATTTAATTTATACAATTTACAGAAATTAATTCGTCACCTATAAGATAAACGTCCCTCTAGATACATATAAGGCGCCCTCTATCGATATCCCCGTGCATATCACTTGATTCAGATTTCCAAGACGTCCAAACCATTTTAACATTACTTTAAGTTTCTAATCCTGGTCATTTCTTCTTGTAGTCTTGTTGCAAGCGTTCATGAACCACAATACCCACTGACTATCAGGTGGGCCGTGTGCAATTTTACCACCATCGTGGTATAAAAACAAATCTACACGTGTATAGTAGGTAACTCCTCACGTTATTTCACTCAATCAATCTTCTCACATTCTATTTCTAAAAGTACTCATCTCTTCATCATTGATTACACATTTGTATTACTGTTTCAATGGTAAACCTACAACGAACGAACTAGTGAACTCAAGGACTCAAATTGGCGCCAAAATAATTTGTAACTTATATCCTCCTTAGAAACCGCATATTAAAAGTCAGTTCATCCGTTCAGCAGGTATTCCGCCACAGACTAATTGGCATTGGTTAGTGTGTGTATAATCTAAGGACTTTGCATATTACTAACGAAGATCAATATCTCCAGGCTTGTCTGGCAGGAAAAATTCCGGACGTATGGCAACCCTGACTGGGTGTTGCCACAACTTCAACTGACAACCGATTGATTATTACTATTGTTCAGGGTCGTGGAATCCCTCGGGCAAACTAGGTAAGTACCTAGGGCGCTAGCTTGCAGAGGGGCACCACTAAACGCGCTTTCCTAATTGCCCATTACCCAAGTGACGGCGGCGCCAATAAGATAGGAGGTGCTTGCCTAGGGCGCCCTCATGGCTAAACCGCTAAACCCGCCTCTGCTCTTGTTAAAAGACTGGCCTACTAAGCATCTTATTTGGGAAGTTATGGCAGGCTAGTCCCAATGACTTGAATTTATAAACAAATGCATGAATGACGCAACTGTTCTTTGATCACCAGTGACGGTAGTGTTGACCTCTGGTTTTTCGTCCAATGGCGAATTAGCTAATGCCTCACCATTGGATGTATAATATTTGACAGCTGCAGTGATTGGGCAAAACACATTATAAACGTTGCGCCATCTAGTGACCAAAAATTGGTAGCCCCCTTTCTAGTGATGTCGACGACAAGTTTGGAACAATCTCAAGTCTGATTTCAATTAATTTAAATAGATGTCGTCTGTGGAGAATTTGATTAATTTCCATATATTTATTTTAAATTCTCTATAAAATACATTTTTAAATACTACTTACAAAGACAAAAATAATATTTAAAAATATAAAAAATAGGAGCCGACCAGTAGCGGGAGCATGGTCCAAGCTACCGGTGGTTAGGGCTCCAGAGACAGAAACCTCCTCACGATACGTGCCGTTTCAAGGAGAACTGCCTTCTGTATCAGGCCCTTGACCCAACTGCCTAACGCTAGCCTCCTAAGGTGGTTGTCGAGGCTATTAGGGATTAACCCATTGGCCGACACGACTATCGGCACAATGATAGCTGAATCTACATTCCACATGTCGACAACCTCGTGAGCCAAATCAAGATATTTGATTTGTTTATCTTTTTCAGCTTTCACGAGGTTCTCATCATGAGGAATAGTGATATCGATTATCATCGTGCGGCGCACTTGTCGTGTTGTGATTAATTTTACTGTTATAAAAATTATATGTAATTTTCTTTAGTACACAAAAATAACAATTTATCTAACTATTGTATTCTAAATCCAAACTATACAAGTTTCCTTTTTATTACTCAACAGTTTTAGTTTTTAGATGATAGTAGTGATGCGTAGAATCTATGCATAATTATGTAATAATACAACTTAGTAATGCCACTGGCTCACTGTGTACGACACAGAATTAAAAAAACAAACGTTTCTAAACGAACGATTATCAATTTCTATTTCTAAACAACTGGTAGTGATGTGAATAGACGATAATAATAAAAATCCTAAAAACTGTTTGTTGTCTTCGTTGGATTGGATCATGATATTTTTAAATATTTTTACTTTAAGATATTGCGATCGCATTTCGTATTTGTAACCTGTAAAATTAATAACACATTACTAGTCTATGAAAACACATAGCTTTAGGATATAAATCCACTGTTTTTAACATACCATTCAGATATGAAGTACTAGTCTTGAAAACGTGATACAGCTTGTTTAGCAAAAAAGTGTTTACCGCGGTGACAGCTTGAACTAATATTGGTTTGGGCTGAAGCACCCACAGCATCCCACGAATAAAGTAACAATGTTCTGAACATGGTACCTCCTTTTTTTAAACTAGATGAAAATAACAAATATTGAAATATCAAAACAGATTGAGTTGTAGCGTATCAGGTTGCCACAGGTACGATACTAGCGACCAACCATTCCAAACTCTTTTTTGCCAAGATGTATGTCTTGTTTTCAATTCACTTATTCACTACAGAATTTGCCGTGTTAGTAAAGAATTACAATATATTATATACAGGATTTTTTTAATAAATAAATATTAAATATTTTAGTATTTGTACAATATTATGAAGTGATAGACAAAATGAATCAATGACGGTTATTAGAAAATATCGATTCGTTTAAATATGGCGTCGGTACACCACTAGTTCTGTAACCGTCAACAGCATTCAAAAGTACAGTGGCTTTGTTATACTCGCAAAATGTGAAATATTTTATTTTAATTTAAAATAACTAGAATAATGGCGGAAAAATTAAAGGATTATCAAGTTATAGACGTTTTCTGCGGTGGTACGTTCTACAAAGTGAAACACAAGGTCACAAACAACATATTTGCGTGGAAGGCGTACGATTGCTCCGCGTTCAGTAACGAACAGATACAAAACGTTGCAAATGAAGTGAAAACAATAAGTAAAGTGACATCCAAGAACTTATTGCGATACTACGACACCATTTTCCATACTCCGTCAAAAACATTGTACTTTGTCCTTGAATACAATTCATGGCGAAGTGTGCAAGAATTGATAGAAGTCTGCAAGGCCACTGACAAGTTCATAGCCGAGAGCTTTATCTGGTACCTGCTGCACGAATTGGCTCGAGTCTGCAAGGCAATCGAGGACATACACGTCCTTATAGTGCAAAAATGTATAACGCCTGGATCCATCTTTGTGAACGAAAGTGGCGAGTTGCGCATCAATTGCTTCGAACTGACTCCGTCTACGGAGCCCTCAGATGTAATGCGTCAGATCGCTGAAGTAATTCACACGCTGTGCTACAGGCCTGGCACTAACAAGATAAAGGAGTTTCCCTATAGTGATGATCTCAGGGACATTGTAAGCTTTCTTATGGACGAGAGGAATGCCAACATGCGCCCAGATGTTGTCCTATACCATCCTACTGTTCTTATGAATCTGGAAACAAAAGTAAAGCCTAAATGTTTAAATGAAATAATCACTCGGGTGATCATTCTTACACAACTTCCGAGGTGAACAAATGTGACTCAGAGAAGGCTGGGGAGTTATGCAGAGCTGTTGAGCCTCTACCCAGGACACTGTTCAACATAGTGGACAGTCCTATTTACTGCAACATCAGTCCGAAGAGAAAATCAGACATAGAAACAGCTCAAGCAAGCTCGCCAACCAGTCCCCTGTCCCCTACACTGGCTGCACTCGCTCTGGAGTTGCCTGGCTTTGTTCCTCGTAGCAGGAGACCCTTTACTGACACATTAGACACATTCAACTGTCCTCAGCAGGTGTCTGAAGAAACTCTCAGCCAGCAGTGGATGTCACGTCTGATTGCGCTTCGCCACCGCGAGGAGTCGCTCAATAAGAGAGAAAGGGACTTGGTAGCCAAGGAAATAGTGAATAGTCCATCTACTAAAATAATACCATGCAGGGCCTCCATGGACTTGGCAGGTGAGGGTGAAAGTAATGGTATAACCTTGCCTCTTATGCTTACACAAGCTAAAGATGATAGACGAGATTGGGTATCGCGGCGACGGCGCCCACGGAGCACTTCAGTGCGCTCCAAGGGTCGCAGGAAGAGTTGTGGCTATGAGGATCTGGACAGCTCACTGTCAGCCGACGCCGGAGACGGTAGCATCATCGTGACCGGCGCTAAGTTCACTGCAGACAACATGCCGCGCCGCAACATCTTCCCCGAGGTGTCTACCAAGAAAGTGCACTTCACATCCAACAACCCATTTACAGAGAGTGATGACAGTGTTACTTTAACTTTTTATGAGTTGGACAATGTGGATGCAGAAGGATATCAAGTGCCGAGGCAGGAGGCTCTAGCTAAAGACATCAGCAGATTTAAATACTTGGACTTGAAGAAATCTACTTCTGAAAAGAGAGCTTCAATGCAGTGGGGTCATTCATCTCCTTCCAAAGTAGCCAAGACAAGCAAGAATGTGTTTGGTGACATCACAAACATCAATCCTGGCAATATGAGGAAGACTCCTTCTAAAACGAGCCTCACTTCAAGAAGTTCCAACACATCGAGGCAGTCCATGTTCTCCTGCAGGAGCCATTGGAGCATGGAGTCCACCAGTACCAAGGTGAGTGATGGCAGTATATCTGAGAGGACTCGCTCTGCCATGCGGCAGTGTGTTCCACAGACTCCTGTGGCTCCACCTGATGTTAAGAAATCTAAAAGTCGCAAGTCACTGCTTAACTTTAAAACACCTTTCAAATTCATGACTTCCACTAAAATTTGATGCAAGAACCCAGAAGTAAGTTATTATAATATGTATGTATATCAATTTGTGATTGTAAATTTGATCTCTGATGAAATTTATTTTTGTTAGTTGTAATGTAGTAGTAAGGCAATATATGAATAGTCCTGTATAAGGTATCCAGTAGTATTTGGTTGTGGTTCTCTATGTTAACATTAGTTAGTGATCTACTTGTTTTACTAAATATTATTATAGAATCTAATATTTCTATGATTGACATTTTATTAGTACTTAATGAAATGAGATACGGACATCAACCCACCCTAACCTTAGAATAGTGAAATTATATAAAAGAATATTTTTTTATAAACATTTTATATTTGTAAAGTTAATTGTGTTATAGCACTGTTACCTTGTCATTGTAAATATATGTGAATTGAATATTATGTATGTATAGTAAATTAGATAAATCTCTATGCAAATAAAATGCTATATTTTTTAAATATTAATTGTTATTATAAATCACATAGTTCAGTCATGACCAAGGTAATATGAATTTTAGTCTTTTGTCTTCCTTACTTTGTAATAAGTTTATTTTAAAATACAATATCTTGTGAAGTGCTAGTTGGTAAGAATTTATATATTATGAAACTATTTAGATATTTAAGTAATGGGATGCCATCATAGCTGTAGATTTGTTTAAACCACTGAACTCATTGGTAGGTGGTGCATTAGCACTAGATAGTAGATTAGGGTAAATATAAGTATAAACTAGAAAGCTCTTGTATTGTTTTATTTCAATATCACACTGGTTATCACTGCACTGTTCAGCAACACTTGTGTCCATGTTGTCTACTGTGCGGTGTCTCAATCATTTCTTCTTCTTGAGTGCTTTGTCTGCACCTTCCACAAATTTCTTTGGTAAGCCATACTTCTCTATGAGCAGTTTGGCAACAAAGTATGTCTGGGAAAGAAAGAAAATACATAATTAATGAGATTAATTTTGCACGCATTTGATGTGTATGTGCACAAATTAATAGACACGATACCAAGTCAATATAATAGTATTGGTCTTTTAATAAATGAAAATGTAGCATAGTGGTGGTCACCTGGTCTCCCTGCAACATGAGTTGGTCTGCGCGGGCGCCGGGCGAGCGAGTGACTCCGCACGACGCCGCCACGCCCGTCTGGCACACGTGGCTCAGCGCTGCCAGGTTGAACCCAAACTGCTCCAGGTTCGATACTAACGTCACCTGCTCACACAAATACAAATATTGTGATTTCATGTATTGCAGCAACCTGTGTGTAAGCACAACTGCACTGTGTAGTGTGTACCTTCTTGTTTCCACTTCGAGACGCGACCTGCATCTTGACCGGCTCGAGCTTGGTCTTGGTTAGCTTGACAGTGCCGTCAGAGAACCGCATCTCAGTACTAGGCGTCATCTTCCCCTGCACGCTCGACATCAATACGTCCCATTTCATTGCCTCCTGTACATTACATAATACATTATAATCATTCGAGAGCATTTTTATATTGAAAGGTAGGGTGAAGGTGCACATATCATGTTAATATTGATTCCATTCATTTATTACTAAGAATATTAGATTTATATACTTATTATTGGAAAATTTCGATCCACTGACTAAATAATGGATTTTCTATGTAATGTAGTATAGTACAGGTATATATGGAAGAGACTACACATTCAGCTGTCCTCAGTAGTTACCTGTTCAGGTTTCCCGGTAATCTTAGCAAGTACTGCGTCTAAGACGACCGCTCCCTTCAGCTGCGGCGAGTTCAGCTGGCGTATCTTCACGTAATCCGTGAGTGTCGTGCGGACCTCGGCCGCCGTCAGCGCCGTGCCTTTCCTAAACCACAACACACGTAATTCATTAAAGCAGTGTCATTGATTGGTTATTTCCTAGTATTACATAACTTTAATTTCAAAACAAATAGTCATGGTCAGACCGTTTCCACTTACTTGAGCGGGGCGAAGAGGTCGGCGACATTAGCAGTGACGCAGAACATCTCGCGTACCTGCGGCGCCACGTATTCAGGCGCGGCTCCAGTCTGCGCCGGCGCTACTCGCTCGCCCGGGACGTGCGCGCGCACTTTAGGGTGTGACACGTTCACCGCGACTACGGCATCGACGCCTTTTTCTATTTCCCGCACCTCAAGCAAACCTTCCTTAAACAGATTATACTTCATAAGGTTATGTTTGATACATAATTCATCATCCAACAGATAATTTCATACCTCTTTCAATTCGTATTTAGTCAGTGCATATACATATAAATATTTTACCTGATGCATGACTTCAAGGAACTTTCCAAATTTTTTATATGAAGATTTTTTTACTTCTAATGTACGGTCAGGTGGACACAGAGCTGTTAAATAGGTCCTGAAACAAGGAATACAATATGATATTTTTGAGTTACAAAGATAGCTGCATTAGTAAAGCAGATTTACTAGTAGCTTGCTCACTGACCCGTATAGAAGATTCGTTTTGAGTGGTAATTCAATGTTCTTTGCTTCCAACTTCAAGAAGGACAGTAAGCACCATTGCAGTAAACCATCCATGTCTGTCGGGATATCATCCTCTTCTATCTGGGAGTCTTCTGTAAATTAGTAACAAATAGCATTTTATTTATTTGCTAAAATTATTATACAGTGAGAGCTGTCAGTCTTTGTAATGTGCTCATATCACTTATGAGAATGAGGAAATGTATGCTGAGAAAAAGAAGACTGGTGAATGTGTGTATAAGTAAATATATCACCAGTTAATAGTGTGTCATCTGTATTGTCCTCCTGTGTGAGCTGTGCCTCATCCTGCAGGTTGTCGGGTATGACAGTAGGTTCGTTCTGTACAGAGACCGGCGCGGACGGCGCCTGCCTGCCCAGACTGGGCCACTCTTCTCTCACTGATGGCTGAATGGATAGCTGCAATCACAACACAACAACAGTTATTATACCGTTATTTCCGATGTTTAGAGACTACTCTTGCATAAACAAAGTTAGGATACGATATTTCAACAGGTAAATAAATTTAATATTGATTGATGTATTGACAACAAATTAAAACCAATATCACTTAAATCAAACCAGTAGCTTTTTATTTATTGATATTTTTGTGGTTAATTTGTAATTTTTTGACCAAATCCAAAAGTGTTGATATCTCCAAAACTAGCCACTTTCGGACTAGTACTGAGCCTACTGAGGTACTTTACTTTGGGCTAATTTTTTTGTAGGAAATTAGTTGTACTACCATCTCCGAGAGGAATACTCGAGTTACAAGTCACCATGTCTATAACGTCGAAAGTATTTATTTCCAGAAGAAAATAAATAATGTGTCTAATATTTATACTTCACTAAAATTAATAATAATCTACATAATCAATAAAAATTAGTCATCTACCCTATTCTAAATTTCATTTATTCTAACAGCAACCTATAGATAATGTCGCGGAGAACCTAACGGGTAACCGGGGCTCCGGCTCGACGTGCAGGAGAAGGAACGGGGTGGTTTTTAGTCAGTAAGAGTCTGACACTCCCTCCCGCCTCACCCAGGCGGGGGCAGCCATTCGATGATTTTCCCCCCTTAAAAAAAAAAAAAAAAAAAAAAAACCTATAGATAATAAATAGCTAGATATAGTTATTTGCATATACTATACCTGAGTAACATGTGCAGTCAAGTCTATTGTGATGTCTGTGGGGCTGTGACCTGCAGGGCCTAGTCTAGGCCTCTCTACTTTGCTGAACTTGTTATCCTTACATAATAAGTCACCAAAAACATGTAGAGTTTCCAAACACACACCTCTGAAAACAAAACAGCAAAATATAAATTTAATGGTTCAAACTCACAGGACTAGGAAGTAAAGTATTCTGTAGGATACAAGGATAACTAACGCAGGTCGCAGCAGCATGTCTGCACTGGACATTGCAGCCCTTCCCACAATGCAGGCGGCAGCATTCTCTTGGGTGCACATAGCAATGAGACTGCCTCGCTGAAACATTGGGAATCCAATGCCCCCGCTCGGAATAGCCACTCCAGGCAGGTACACAGGTGCACCACCTTGAACCTGATGAACAAATCATGTTTTAACATTCTGAGCAACTTATCTTTGGCCAGACAATATGTTAGTTGACAGGTAGTCAAAGTCAATACTTTTATTGAAATGTCAATCTGCCTCGTTGGCCGAGTGGTTGAATTCAGTAGTAGCACGGAGTCTCGAAATGTGTCCGGTACATGGCAATAGGCTCACCCCCTATTACATGGGACTCATAACATAAATAGTGAAAAGTGGGTGTTACTTCTGTGTGCACCTCCGCCTACCCCTTCGGGGATAAAAGGCGGGATGTTATGTTATGTGTCAATAACGATACTTTACTATGAATTTTGTATTGGATCGCGACTTATGACGTCATCCTATTTCTGCATCAAATAGCATATTTATTTCCTTAAAATTAGTGAGAAAAAATCCAAGTTGGTAAATTGTTAAACCAATGGATGAGAGTATGATTATGTTTTAAATATTTATTGCATTGAAAAATTTAAACAATTTATTTTAAAGCTAGGAAACTAGCCATTTGTAAGGATACAACATACCTTGGGAAGTACTGGAGTGTGAATTGCCAGTACAGGCACTAAGTTAGGCACCTTCCACAAGGCACAGACTGTAGGGATGAGTGCTTCACCCGTCTCTATGACCATAGGTATGCCATCTACTGAGTAAACGTTCACCAAGTCGCCTGAGTGCAGAACTAATTTCATACAGATACATGTCGATTTTACAGAAACTATTTCTTTTACTTTTTCTATGGTTGCGGACGGGAACTCATCCTGTATGCGTTGTGCTAGGTGTTTTCTGTGAAATATACGTAGTTTCTTCATTAAAACACTGCAATTTTCTTTAATATTTAACGGCACTAAATTCACTAAATGAAACCATGCTCTTACTTTTCTGAATTCTTTAAAGTATTGTTAGATTTTAATTTATATGGCTTAGCGAACATTTTGTTGTAATTTCTATTAATAATAAATGAAATATTCTAATAAGGATTTCATGGAAGTATTGAATTTAGCTTAAAAATAATTCAACTTGAAACTTGGCACGATATTACGAATACGAATACGATTTGACTTTGACGTTTGAATAACTTTGAATTTGAAGTTGACGTATAAAATTACATTTGACGTAATTTTGTAATGTCAGTAATAGTTTCATTGCCATGTTGAATAATATAATTTATGCTCATCCCCATACACTGACCGATTTATCAATAGGTTTTGAAATAGTATGTTTCATATCCTTCCTTCGATCAACTATATATAACTAACATTAATCATAGTTAATCGTATGTCGAATGTTTATATCATTATTGTTGACATAAAAAATGTTTCATATTAATATAGGTAGTTATTATATTTTGACTGCACGATTGGCACAGTGGCGGGGCAGGTAGCTGCGGCGTAACTTGTCATGGGTTTAATTCGGAGGAATGTTTGTATATCCACCCACGACACGATTTATTTTAAAGAAAAGATAAAAAGTAAGAAATTTTGTATATCGTCAATTTTATTAATACCAGTCTACAGTGATAGTTATTTACTTACTATTTAGTTACAATAACAGTATTTACATAATTACAAAATGATGACAAGGGGGTGTTACGCTGCTATTTTAAGAGTGCGTCTTCTGCTTCTTCTTTGAAGTTTAAAGGGGTCCTAATGAAATGATAGTTACGAGTACCTATATATTTTTTTATTAAAAAGTCTAACCCGTCGCGGTCGTGTGTCTAAACGTGGATCCACGCAAGACACAATGTATTTTCTATTGTGTCTCATATCGGTGCATTCAAGCGGTTAAAGAATTTATTTTTCATAAGACCTACATAAGTTCATTTATGTAGGATACATAAAAATTGCTTATATCTAAGTAAATATACAATTAAATGTTACATTGTTGTTGCTAACATTCTTGTTATTTAACGCCTCTCAGTAAGCACATCAATACTTATAATAGGGTAGTTTCGTATATTATATTTTAATGTCCGTCTGGTACTTTAATTTAAAACTTTAGACACGTGTTTTTTTTTCTTTTCTCACAAATTGAAATACTTTCGACGATATACCTATTAATTTGAAATATCGTGTGACGTCACCGCGTGCCACATTTTGTAGCACGTTATGATGTAACGACCTCCCACTCCTAAACTTTGTCGCGGGGAACCTAACGGGTTACCGGGGCTCCGGCTCGACGTGCAGGAGAAAGAACGGGGTGGTTTTTAGTCAGTAAGAGTCTGACACTCCCTCCCGCCTCACCCAGGCGGGAGCAGCCATTCGATGATTTTCCCCCTTAAAAAAAAACTCCTGAATTTTGCGCCATTTTATCTAAGTATTGCAACTTAATACGAGAAAATAAAAAATACGTGCCTAATATTTTTTCATTATGTAACTGACGGACTAATTACTTAGATTTTTAATTTTGATATCCTGGAAACCTCCCAATTGTCTATAATTTGTAAACTTAATTTATGTTTCCATTTCAATGTTTATGTTATTACAATGTTTTATGTCGTCTGTAAGTCATTAAACAGCTGTGCTGTCCACCTTCAAACAAATTATGGTTTTTGCCATAGTTGGTCCGGGCTTGTCTTGGCGGGATTAAAATAAATAAATATCTCATAGTTTGGTATATTCCCTGATGTCGTAGAGCATTATTATAATAAAGAGGAAAAAATTAAGCTCTGTTGAATGCGATTTAATTCCTTTTCTCAGTAACTATCAATGCTAATACTCGTGCGTTTTTAGCGGAGTTGTTACATCAATCTTTATTTACGTGTACGTCGTGAGTCGTGAGGGGCTGCGGGCACGCCACGGGCCGACGGAGGCTGGCGGTGCAAGGCGTGGAGGTCGCCGACAGACCCTACACATACAGCTACTACGACATGAAGCCGATGTTATGGAATGTACGAATAGGAAAGTATTTTTTCTTTTCGATTAAGTGAGTTTAACAGTTAACTGCACAAATGCCCTAATATATTCAGTTAAGCATAGTTGTGTGTATAAGGAATCAGAGTTGCAAACGTTAGGAATATCTATCGACTAAGGTGTGATACCACGGCCTCACAGAAGACCGACGTGAAACAACGTTGTGTTGACGATTGTTGATGGGGTAAATGGGCATCCGGTAACCTCACTTCCCCCCTCCCTTTCCCCATTCACTGAATCCCCAACAATCCTCAAATTCCTAATCCCAAAAGGCCGGTAACGCACTTGTAACGCCTGTGGTGTCCCAGGTGTGCATGGGCGACGCAGATTGCTTACCATCAGGTGATCCGTCTGCTCGTTTACCGGCTTATCCCATAAAAAAGGTAGTACTTGGCGTTGATAATATATGAAAACAGGCGGATCTAAAATGATTAATAACCCAATGCATTAGGTGACGCTACACTCAGTAAGTGCTCTGCTATATTAGTAAATGTTTTTTATAATAACATAACATAACATCACGCCTTTTTATCCCCGAAGGGGTAGGCAGAGGTGCACATTTCGGCACTTAATGCCACTGTACAATGTAACTCCCACTTTTCACTATTTATGTTATGAGTCCCATGTAATAGGGGGTGAGCTTATTGCCATATATACCGGGCACATTTTTCCAGACTCCGTGCTACTACTGAGATTTTTAAAAACCCAGTAATACTTTGCCCGACCCGGGAATCGAACCCGAGACCCCTTGCCCGGCAGTCGCACTTGCGACCACTCGGCCAATGAGGCAGTCATTTTTTATAATAACTATCGTGAGAAATGCTGAATTAACTAAAAATGACGTGTTACATAAATAAAGGTACCTATTACGTACGGAGGTACCTAATGATGTAGGTACGGGGAAAAACGCTCTACTAGTTTCGAGTCACAGAGAGAGCTTTAAAGCTTTGAGCTATAAAAATACTTAATAAAAATACAGAGTATTTTTATTCATTAATTAATAAACCCCAATCATACATTTCAAATACGTTTTTACAGAATTGGTTTCAGTTTGTCGTGACAGTTGCTTTTAAGGCTACTTATGTACTAGGAGATAATGTCGTGTGAACAATGTAGTGCTCAGGCTGTTTCGAAGGAAGTCGGTCAAGTGAGCGAAGCCTGAAGCCCCGAGACACGAACTGCTTAGAAACTGGAGCAAGCGGAGTTTGCGGACCACAGCAACGAGATAAATGCAAACACAGCTGTTTGTTTGCCGCACGTCCAAACAAACACGTTTGACTTCGTGTATATCCTCGTTTCAGTAGCTTATGATGTAAATATTTTTTTATGGGGTAAGCCGGAAAACTAGCAGACGGATCACCTGATGGTAAGCAATCGACGCCGCCCATGGACACCCGTAACAGCAGAGGCGTTACGAGTGCATTACCGGCCTTTTGGGAATTAGGCATTTGGTGATTATAGGGGATTCAGGTATTTAGGAGATTGGGAAGGGGAGTAACTGGGCCTCTGTTATCCTCACTCACATGACGGAACACAAAGCAAGCTTTATTTCACGTCGCTTTCGCCGAACATGCCCAATCGTGCCGAAGCATGGCTCTCCCACACTTAAATATGAGCGTTTCGTATTTATTTGTTTTAACACTTTTTTTACATACAATTATACAATGGCGGGCTTAATGCCGGATGGCATACTCTATCTCTCTAAATATTGAGAAATTTAGGGCCCTGGGTGGCCTGAATAATAGCTGGCGTACAGCAGGTGATTAATTAATTAATTAACTATTTCGACACACACGGTATCAATAGCGCGTTATCTCAAGAAAACTAGGATTGTAGGTGTGAGCACGTGCGCAATATTATTGATAGTTTTAATGTTAATTATTTGTTTGTTATTTGTTATAATCTTACAAGCGCAGTTCCACACGCAAGTACCAGGAGAGAAGCACGCGCGGGCGGTGTAGTGTGGGCGCATGTTTACTATAAGTAACACCTTAATCACGCCACTACAACTTTGCTTCGCATTAATATTAACGTTGGAAATATTTTATAATTTATAAAACCCTTCCGGTAACCCTGCTCACACGGCGAAAAACGCAGGCGTGGTTTCACGCCGGTTTTCTATGAGAGCGTGGTATCACTCCGGTCTAGTCTGCCCATTCATGTTTTAGTTTGTCTTTTGTATCCCACTTCCTACATTTGTATAATGGACAATACTAACAGAAATAATGGAGAATACTATCAACGCAACCCAAATGGCAACCTTAGGGCTCGTACACAAAACTGTGATGCGATGCGAATTCGCAACGCAGAAAATTACGATGCGAATTGCTGCGGTATATGCTCAAGGCATTTCCCAGGGTGGCCATTCCTTCGACGACGGTCAACCGTACTAAACGTATTTTAAATTGAAAACTAGGTAGTGACATGGATCGTAAAAAGAAGTGTGCACTTATAATATTTTTTTTATTATAACTTTGACTGCACGGTTGGCGCGGTGGCTGGGCAACCGGCTGCCGTGCAACGTGTCGCGGGTTCGATTCCCGCACGGGACAACACTTTGTGTGATCTACAAACTGTTGTTTCGGGTCTGGGTGTCTTTGTGTATGTGAACTTGTATGTTTGTAAACGCACCCACGACACAGGAGAAAATCCTAGTGTGGGGCAACGTTTAAAAAAAAAAAAAAAAAAAATATTGCTTAGTTAGGAGATACAGGAAAAGAAACAAAGAAGATTTTGGAAAGATAAGATTTTGATGCGCGTTCGAATTAATTCGTAAGTACATGCACGCGCAGTTTTGTGATGCGACAACGCATCGCAGTTTGTGTACGACCTCTTAGTTTCAGGGATTACCTTGAAATTTATTAGCATAGGTATCAGTATACTTAAGTTCCTAAAGATTGTAGATGCAATAAATGAAAACAATAATAATTAATTATATTATCATTAACATGAGTCAACTCAACAGAATTGTACCATAGACATAAATCTCACGATAATAATTGTTAATCCCACGCGAGATCAG